AGAAAAAAAAAGAGGACTCGCATGCTTTACACGAGTTGTACAGCCGAGAGAAGGAATTCAACATAAAAAAAAGTCCCGAAGCCCAATCTGTGTGTTGTCTTGCCTTCTTCTCTCCCTCTCTCGTGGTCATAATACCGGAAACATGAAGGGGAAAAAAACAAACCCGGATGACCTTTGCTCTGCTCCCCCCCTCCTTGCTTAATCGAACGTTGCTTTGTTTGACATGAAAACGCCTCGTCCCAATGCTTTCCCTATAGGTAATATAATTGTAAAAAGGGGGATGATTTCTTTGCCTCTCCCTCGGCGACTGGTTTGTCAGCAAGCCAGCTTCCTTGTTTCTCAAAGGATCCAAAATCCCCGAGTCTCGACTTTTTCCCCCGGTATGATGTGAAGACGCCGGTTTACAGAATCGAAGTGTAATGGTGGTAGTTTGTAGGTTTTGTATAAGAATTATTTTTTCGTTGTCTCGTCGGACTGTTCTCGGATCGCCGAGGTCCAACTCGGACCTCTTCATTCGGACTTGGCCTCCACCGCGGCCCCTTGCCCTTGGCCGCTAGGATACGGTTCTGCCTGTCGCCCTTGTACCGCGTGTCTAGGGCGCGGTCCCAGAAGGTGAAGAAGGGCTGGGAGAAGTTGGTCTTAATGCCCCACGTCTGATGGTGGATGTCGTGGTAGGCGGCGTTGTTGCTCGTGATGTGCTGGAGAGGGTCCCACGGCAGGGAGTAGCCGCAGTGGTCGTCTACGGTCTTGACGGTCGAGAGGCAGAAGAACAGCAGCCCCTGCCTCGCGGTCATGCCGGTGAGGAGGAAGGCGATGCCGGCCCCGAGGGTGTCGAGGAGGAAGCCCTCAAAGGGATGGTTGTAGAGGGCGCCGTAGGCGTAGGGGACGTATAGGCGGTGATGCCTCGAGTGGAAGGTTGCTGAAGGAGCCGTGTTAGTCAGATGTTCGCCACCCATGCCGAAGGATCTCGGCCGGGTCGGGCCTTGACTGCAACTTACTGTACATCCATTTGTTGACGTGCATGAGGCGGTGGAGGAAGTACTGCCATGTGTCGAGGACTGCGATGGCGGCGAAAAGCTGGAATCCGGGGATGACGAGCCAGTAGATCGCCTTTGCGACGAGCAGCTCCCAAGACGCGAAGGCCGGAACGACGGCGTGCGACCCGTCCAGCTCGGCGGTAAGGAAGGGGTAGTGGCCACCGGCGAGGGCGCCGGCGATGAAGGGGTGAGAGGCGGACATGTTCTTGGAGATAGAGGCGGCGTTGAGACCGAGCAGGCCGAGGAAGGTGGGCAGGGCGCGCTGGGCAATGCGGACGCGGGTGGCCCAGACGGCGACGTCATAGTCCTCGCGGCCGGTAAGCTGCTCTTCGTCGATGTACTCGAGGAAGACAGACATGGCGACCTGGATCAGCTGCTGCAGGACGACATCGCGGGCAACCTCGTAGCGGGAGACGTGGTTGCGCTTGGTGATCTCCTCGGGAGTGTGCAGGCGGTACTGGGGCCACACGTCGTAGACGTCGATCAGGTGGAAGAACATGGACAGAACCCAGTACACGACGATGGGCAGGAAGATGCGAAGGTAGATGTCCGGCACCCCGGGGATCATGTCGGCGTAGGGCTTGAGGGTGTATTCCGGCAGCGGCGGGAGTTCGCCGGCCATTGACGTGAAGTTTGTCGCCATCGTGGGTGGGATCGTTTCGTTTACCATTGCGGGTTTCGGCGGCAACTGCGCTCGTCGGTCGGTCTCGGATGTGGTGGGATTAAGGATTGGCTCGGTCGAGGGAGTATCAAGTTGCTTGTCGCCGTATGCAGGAAGGCGATAATGCAAAGGAATAAAGGAGAAAGGGAGGGAGCGTCGGCGTGGCGGGCAATGGCAGTTTTGGAGGAGTGGACGTAAGTTGGATATATGGGATGCTCAGTCCTCGGGGGAGGGATGTCGAAGCAACAAAAGCGCAGCGCAGCGACAGGGCTGAGACGGAGAAGTAAGGTCAACAGGAAGACCAAGAGTGGGAAAGGTCGGCAGACTTGTGGCGAGTTAGTTCGAGGTTTCACTAGCCTTGACTGGCTTGGCCCTTGTTCGCAATGCGCAAAAAAAAAACAGTGCAAATCCAATTGTTCAGTCCAACAGAGTGACCTGCTTGCTCGGTGTTCGAAGGCGCCCGATGTTAGGTACTCGCAGGAAAAGGCACGGGGGTAGTGATGTCTTAGCGGCAACGTCGGGGTTACAGGAGGGCAATTTTTTCCATCTCTCTTCAGGACTAGGATGGGCGCAGGCGTTCGGGTTCCCAGGCCCAGGAATGATGCGCTTTTATCAATCTCGCTTGTGAAAAGGCGCGGGCCTCTCGCCTTTCGACAGTCTCCCGGTTTTGCCACGGATCGAACCACAATCGGGCTCCCCCTTCTGGACAATCGATCTGGCGAGGACGAGGATTAGAGAATTCTCGGCCGCGGCATCCGTGACGCTCTCAACCGGTAGCGAGTGCCCAACGCATTTGTCCCCTGGAGCGAGCTCGCCCTGTACGACAGTCGGCCTACGACCCTCCCTTACCACCATCACGGGCCAGCTCGCGTAAATTGCGGCGGGCTTGTCAATGTTGTCATAACTTCTTAACCATGCGCGCGGCTTGCTACGCTGTCGTGTCAGCCCACCAGGCCAACCCCTGTCGCTGCCGTGGATACGCGGACTGCTCGGTAGCTTATATAAGCCCGGCCACCGCGATGCGATCGGGCGACAAGCGCTGTCTGGTGGTGCATTGAAGAGGGGGGGATTAGCTAAGGCAATTTTACTATGCGATGCGCCCACTCCAAAGCTGTCCTTGAAAGGGTCAGGCTTTCGGTGTGATTAGACTGAGAAAGGGGAGATTGGCGAAGGTATCGATCCGTCGACGATATCGAACTGTCCCCAGGGTTTACCTTGATCGCAAATGCCATCCCACTCCGGCCCATGTTGGCCTTCTCACAAACACCAGACCAGATGGTGTTCCATGTCAAGAGAGTTCATGTGACACGAAAGGACTGTCAGAGACGGGTAGAATGGACTGGATTCACCGCTGCCACACATTCGCAGAGCGCAGTTGAGGCTATCCCGGCTCCGAGTCTCTAGGCCCAGACGTGGGGTGGATACCGTCCAGGGCCCTTCAGCGGCAGCGGCGCTGTTAAGGACTTGAATGCGCCTACATTACGGCTTAGGTAACACATCCAAATTTCGACCTTCGAACACACCGCAATGCGCCGCCATGTCTGGTACCCAAGGTCCAGGACTCGAAGAGAATAGCCTTCTAGTGTACTGTGGGTATCTCTACGACGGCAACAACAGCGTATAGCTACTATGTATAGCCAATAGCTCTCGGAAACCGCAATGCTGAGATAACAAAAAGTTCAGAAATCCCATCGGGTTGATATCTCTGTTTTTCCTAGCTCAGGTTCACCCGCAGCGTCTGGTCCCACGTTTCGCGCGCACGTTCAGTGTTCAGTGTTCTCGCCCTTCGGGCTGCCCGCCGTATTGTTAGTGACCAGTATGTCGATGCCGGCCGCACCCTTAACAGGGAACCGCCTGGCCATCTGCACCAGTCTCAATCTAGACTAGCGCCCAAAACCCCACCAAACACAGTCCTCCCACTTACCAAATTTGCGAACACTTTTCGCCCTTCAAAAGCGACCCCCCTTCTCTTTGCTCGATCTCTCACTTCTCCAGACCCAGACAACGAACTTCCGTCTCGCCAACCCTATCCTCCCGACCTTCTCAGACAAACCGCCAAGATGCTTATCTACAAGGTACGCTCCTTTTCGAAATCGAACAATTACAACCCATCGAATAGCCCATGGCGTGCTGGCGCACAAGCTGTCTTTGTTTTACCCCTCCTTCATAACCCCGCCGCTGTCAGGCAAGGGGGAAGAAAAACAGAAAAAATATGTTGTTTTGATATGCGAACTCTTGGGCTGACCGAACCCCGCACTCGAACAGGACATCATCACGGACGACGAGATCATCTCGGACTCCTACGACCTCAAGGATGTCGATGGCATCGTGTTCGAGGCCGACTGCGCCATGATCACTGAGGGCACTGTCAACGTCGGTGCGTGAACCCCCGTCCTGCGGCGCTTACCCCGCGCTCGCTACTCCCGATACACGAGACGAGATAGGAGCAGCATTCTGACGATTTGCAGACACCGGTGCCAACGCCTCCGCCGAGGAGGCCGACGAGGGTGTCGAGGACACCGAGGTCAAGGTCAACAACATCGTCCACTCTTTCCGCCTCCAGTCCACCCAGTTCGACAAGAAGAGCTACCTGTCCTACCTTAAGGGTATGTGGATTCCGCCCCCTATGTTGGCACATTTTGAGCATGTTCTTGGACCTCAGCTGACACAGTCCCCTGCAGGCTACATGAAGGCTGTCAAGACCGCCCTCCAGGAGAAGGGTGCCCCCGCCGAGAAGATCACCGCCTTCGAGAAGGGCGCTCAGACCTACGTCAAGGAGAAGCTCCTCCCCAACTTCAAGGACTTCGAGTTCTACACTGGCGAGTCCATGAACCCCGACGGAATGTAAGCAAACACCCCCATCTTTTTCATCTGCTCAAACCCATACTAATCAGATCACAGGGTCGTCCTCCTTAACTACCGTGAGGATGGTGTTACTCCTTACATCATCGTCTGGCAGCACGGTCTCACGGAGATGAAGGTTTAAATCTTGACGGGGCGTTCCTGTTTTCGAGATTTTGACGGTGTCGGACCGATTTTGGCCTCTAGACACCTTGCTACAGCGTCCATCTGCTTTGGCATATATCCCTTCAAATCCGTAGCAAGCAAAAAAATCAAAAGTGCACTCGGTGTTGGCCGTATTTAACGACGACCCATTACGACCTCAATTTGCGTGAACTATGGTGCCCCGCCCAACTTGTCTGGTTTTCAAGAACCATACCCCACAAGGTCAACAAAACGCCAGATGCATGCCTCAGGTGACAAATGCACCAACCCCGCCTCAAATGCGATGTTTAGATTACTCAAAACGTCGGTTTCGTTGCCAAGGGGATCGGAGGGGGTTCATCATTGTCACCCGGTCCTGGTGCTGGCGGAGCGGGTGCGCTGCTCAGCTGGGGTTTCTTCTTTGGCGGGGGAGGAGGCGGCTTCTTCTTCCCGATTGCGTTTACTAGCCCGGGCGGAGGCGACAGCGGGCTCGGCGCCGCGCCGGCGTTACCTGTGGTTCCCTCCTGCTGTTGGCCAACCTGTCCAGCGTATTTTCCGACCTTATCGGAGATGGCGTATTTCTGATTCAGATTGTTCGCGCTCTTGACCCCGGCAGCCACCTGTTCTCCATGCCGCTGGCGGAAGTTGTTAAACGTTGACGCAGCGGAGCGGGCGTCGGACATTGATACGGATGAGGGGTTCTTGTGGAAATTGGACGCCGTGCGAAGGGCGGCCTGCTTCTGCTCCATCGTCGTGCCCTCGGTTGGGGGCGGCGGGCTCGACGACTGGCCTGAGGATTTACCCAGCTTCGCGAACCGGTTCTGCAGCTCGTTCATCTGTCCGCCGGGCGGAGAAAATGCGCCGTTTCGCGGAGGCGGCGCTGGGCTGCCGGCGTTTGATCGGGCTGGGGGTTCGGGCGCGGGTCTTCCTATTCCTAGGGCCGGTACCGAGACGCCTGCGGCCCCCAGCCTGTTCATCGCATTCTGGTTCAGATAACCACCGCCGCTGGATGCTGCCGGTGCCGGCGGCGCAGGTGACGTGACTGACGTTGCGGACGGGGTCCTGGGCGGGAGCCGAGGAGGCAGACTGGGCGGCGGCGGCCGTGCGGCGGCTTGACCAGGAGGCGGCGTTCTGCCGTCGGCACCATCCTTCCTCCCTGGCGGCGGCGGCAGATGAGCCGTTGAGAGTCCCGTAGTATCAACACGGTATGGTCGGGGGGGCGCCTCTTCCTCTTCTTCCTGCTGCTGGTATCGATTCGGATCTTCGTAGGGCGGCGGTGGTGCCCCAGGCGATGCTGCGTTTGAACGCGAGGGCGGCAGTGGAGGAGGGTTCGCACCAGGGATACGCTTCGGCGGCGGTGCAAAGGTCGAAGGGTCTTGTAGAGATGATAGCGGCCGGGCGACACGGCCCTCCTTATCGGCGTCGTCCTTGTTCCTGCCCAACAATCCGTTCTGTGCACCAATTAGTCTGGCATCGAATTGCGTGCTAAAACCTCGTTAAGACGGTGACATACCACTTGGCCTTTGAAAGTGGTGCCCGCCTTCTCAGGATGCCAGCCATTCTTCATTAAATTCCCAAAGTTGGACATTGTTGACGGGCTTTTCGAACGCGATTTGTTCGACAAAAGGGGAGCCCGTTGGGTGTAGGATTCGACCTGTGCTGGTGTAAAGGAGAGAAGTCGTACTATCGTGCAATTAATGTAAAGGCCGGTGGAGGTCCAATTTGTCTCCAGCAGCGGTCCTCTCCGCCAGCGCTCCATCCCAGTCCTGCGTGACGTCGGTTGCGTGGCAGTGAAAAGACAGGCGCTTCGCCCCGCTGTTGAAATGCCATATAGGGGTGTTCCGGCGCATCGAGCGCTGTGAGATTCAGTGGTGTGCCCGTCTTGGACGCCTTGCGATTCAGGCCCACATGCGCCCCGAGCGGAAAGACCCCTCGTATCCTTCCCGTCCGAAAGTGCCTTACCAAATATTGACTTTCGTCGCGTCAGTCGCGTCTTTCAGACCGCACGTCGCAGCCCTCCCCGACTGCGATCCTTTCCAACAGACCCATCGGCAATCAGCCACAATGGCGCAACGGAACATCATCGACGTCGAGCTCTTGACGGAACATCTTGGATATGCGCCGATTGTGAGTACGCCCTTTTGGTCCATCAGACGTATTATACGACGAAAACGTAGGACTAACACAGTCGCAGTCGCTCCTCGATAGCATAATCAACAATGTCAACGCAGTAGCCGACAAGACCCTCGACCGCGTCGAACAGGGTCTCTCGAAGGCGCCCCCCAAAGCGCTTGGATTCGAAAAGGCACTGAAGCAGAGGAGGCCTCCCCCGGATGCGTCGGTTAATGTCGAGGAGATGGCGAAGCTCGAGATCATCGACGGTGTCCACAAGCTCGAGACCCTGCTGTGCGCGGCCATCGACAAGAACTTCGACAAGTACGAGCTTTACGTGATGCAGAACATCCTAGGCATCCAGCCGAATCACCGCAACTGGATGCGCCTTGCCCACTACCACGGCCTCGAGTTCAACGCTGTCCACGAGGACGCGCCGACGAGGGAGAGTGTCGATGCGCTGAGGAGGAAGTTGCAGGCGAGCCAGCGGCTGAACGTGATTTTGCATGCCGAGGAGGCCAAGAACGCGGCACTGCTGGCAAAGCTGCGCGGGGTCATTGGCGGTAGGCCCGCCGGCTCGCGGGCTTCGCTGGGAGAGGTTAAGGTTGAAGGGGCGGACGGCAGCGCGCCGTTCCAGTTCTTGCAGGAGAAGGGCGATCTTACGGAGGGAGACTTCAAGACGCCCCTTACCACAACGACGGCTTTCAACATGTCACAGCTGCAGGCGCTGCGGGCGCTGTCGACGTCATTGCGCAATATTATGCCCGACTTGAAGGACCCGTCCAACGTCGAGGATGGGCCAGAGAAGAACAAGAGCTGGAGGCGGGAGAGGATGGAGTATGTCGAGAGTGCGACACGTAAGCATCTCGAACATGTGCGAGGCTTGGAGCTGGGGAAGGACGGAGAGGTCCGCGACGGCGAGTGGCAGGGCGAAGGGAGGAAGTTTGCCATGGGTGAGGTTGAAGGGTTGGAGCAGGTGGTTTCTGGGCTGGGGGGAGGGTCCGAGGAGTCTGCCGAGCAAAACGATCCCGACGTGATGGATGAATCATGACGTCAAGGTCGATTCGGACTTCATAAGACGAAGAACCCGACTGCCTGATGACATACTCGCAAAACTGACGCCGAGACGAGCCTGCTTCAGTACGCTCGACACCATGCCCGAAGAAGCTTCAAGTCGATCGACATCTTCAGTAACCGAGTTCTAAAATGGCGCTCAGCGACTCCGCCTCGGCTCGACGCGACCCGGCCGAACGCAGCGCAGGAGTCGATGCAGTCCGGCATCCCCTACATAATCCTTGGGCTTCAGGGACATGGGCACTACCGATCACTGACGCCAGTCGATCATGCCGCATGGTGGGACGAGAGCATCAGTGTCGCCACTTGATCAACTGCGATATTACGAACCAATGGGCAATTGAGACCGGCGTCGGTCTAGTGCGAACCGTGAAGACACTGGGTTCGATCTCAAGGGTACACAAGTCGCGTGAGAGCTGTTCCGAGCAGTTAGCTTGACATAGTGAGCCTTAGGCAAGGTAGGGCTCTCGTTGAGCCCGACTCAGTCGCTAGGGTAAAGTCGCGATATGATACCTAGCACACATAGGCGCGATATCAGAAATGGCGATGAGCACACGCATAAACCCATGATAACGGTGCATCATGGATACATAGAGGAAACAATATATTCAATTAGCAAAAATAACAAGAACAAAAAAAATCCTTATAGCTTCAAGGACCAGTCTTGAGCCCTGAACCTTGGAAACAACCATTTTACTCGAAGCATTGAGGTTTTCATACCAAGTATTTCCATATCAATATGCCCTTCACTGGATTTGGCTGTTGAATGAAGGGTCGGATGGCACTAAAAAAGGAGGCTCCTTCCGACGTGAGGTCAGCGTGAAAGGAAGACTAGGGATGTTTAGTTCTGAAGAGTGGCGGAGCATAATGTGTATGCTGTTCTGGCTAGGGCTTGGTCTGTTTGAGGCTGCAAGTGCTCGTGGTACAGCTCAGCACACCTTGTTTCAGTACGCCAGTCTTCTAGGATAGAATCTTGGCCAAATTTTCCATTAGAAATCTTCTGCTATAGGGGGTTGCACCGACGGAGGGGTCCGCTGGTGACAACTGCACTTACAAACTGACACGACAGTCCTTTGGAATGTCCTTCCGAAAGCATGTTACAGATTTATATGCTTCAGTAGTAGAGCCGCGGTGAAAGCCTAGAACAAGTGCTGAGAAGCTCGTTCTAACTCTGTCCAACACAAACAGTGGACGATGTAGGTATTCAAAGATTGTATTTCCTTGACCAAACATACAAGTCACAAACAATACCTTGCGTCGGTACGGTCCGATCAAATCACGATGCAGGTCAGTGAGAAAAGAACGGTCTCGCGAGAGGGAGCAGAGGCGCCTATCAACGAACTCGGATGCACCGATACCAGACTCGCTCGCAGGGTCAAACAGCAACGGATTGCCAGAGCAGGGCCCTGAAATATCTTGTTGATGGAGTTTTGTTCCATGGCCTTGGAGCTGTTCGCAAATCACAGGAAGATTTCCGGCGATACACCTCGGTCTGTAGAGAGGTAAGCCATCATCCAGAAGATAAATTTTGGCTGGCTGAAGCTTCGGACTTCATGTCTCTCGATTGACTCAACCACATGGACAAGAGATAGTGTCAAGTACTTTCAATTATATGTAGAGTTTGAAGGATTCAGTTGTAGAATTTACCCATGGGAGAAGACCCCAAAACAGTTTTTGGCAAACACTGGCATTCTCAAAACTCGCTGTATCCGCTGCAGATCAAGCAAATACTATTGCAATAATGTGAAGTCGCATGGCGACGCCATGCATTTGCTGGAATTACTTGGTATAATTGAACTTAACTACTTCCTTGTGGCAGATTCGGAAGGATGGTGCAACGGGCTAGACTAAGGTCAACCGTGGATATAGTTTTCCAAGAGATCACAGTCTGAATAGGGACGATGGTAGTTGTGATGCTAGTACAGACCATTACTGAGGGATCAATAGTTCGTTGGCAAGACTGCGTCATTAAGATCACACGGGATAATATGGTCAATTAAAATACCAAACAATTCAGGCTTTTGGTCGAAGTTCCGCCGTGGTGGAAGTGCCAGTCTTGTGCGGGACCGCGCTCGTCTCCCGGTGCTAGTTCCGGAGCCGAGGCCCACCGTCGAATCGGATCGGCGGTGGCTACCCACCGCATGCCGGGGACCGGGGCCTCCTGGGAACTCACGGTCCCTAGAACCCACACTGAACAGTAGTACCATAGCTACCCCCTTCCGGTTCCAAGACGCAACAGCAACTGGTAAAGCTGTTCTATCATGGAAGGAAACTCCAGAATCGACGGCCACCGACATGACGAGGCAACGGCTGTGAATCTGAGCTTTTTCCAATGGGGCGACGCCGTGTCATCCGGATACATCATTGCACTCAATTGAGCCCTTCCCCCCCGCCTCATTATCGTCCCAAATGACAAGCAAGGCTATCCAGGCCTTCCGAATAGAGTCTCGCTTAACCTCGCAGCCAAGACAGCAAGGTTACAGGAGGGACGGATCGAGCAACCAACTTACCAAGCTTTCTTTCGCACCTACTCTTCTAGGAGTAGCTCTGCATGCCCCGTACGACGTCGCGATCGACCTCGCTAGACATCTTCACCACACCAGAAGGCAGTTCGCTGGGGCAGCGTACGATTGCATGCTGGCACGCGAATTGTGAGAGCGTCATCCAAGCACCTCGGTCTTGGCTTGCATGGCTATAAACCGTCAACCCCTCACTGTTCACTCACTGAGGCTATCATGCCAAGAGGAGGACATGCGCGAGCTCTTCCGCGGGGGGGTTTGACGCGTAAAACACATAAAACTACGCCATTCAAAGACATATAAAGGATGCTGCCTGCAACCGCCGAATGCAATTGGTGTTCTACTCCAACAACTCGATATATTATGCAAAGTCAGGCAGTTGTGATGAAGCTTGCCGTCGCCCTCGTCCTCGCCCCTCTTGTCGCGGTCTCTGCCCTCCAGCCGGTAGCCGATAGGGCGCCGCGGGACAACAAGGTCAGCTATGACGGCTACCAGGTCTACCGTGTGTCGACAGCCAACGCACCGGGCGACCTTTCCCGTTTGACTTCGTTCCCGTCCATTGACCAGAAGGGCTTCATCGAGGTGGCGATCCCACCCAATGAGATTGATGACTTTAAGTCGTTGGATCTTGAGGCGCAGCTCTTGGACGAGGACCTCGGCAAGCTGATCAGTGCAGAGTCTGTAGCTCAGAAGCCTGCGTCCTTGACCAAACGCGGCGAGTTGCCCTCTCTGAGCTGGTTCGACTCATATCATGCCTACGACGACCACGTTCAGTACTGGAAGGACCTCCACGCCGCGTTCCCGGACAATTCGAAGTGGCTGGACATCGGGTCGTCGTACGAAGGTCGCAGCATTTTTGGACTGCGCCTTTGGGGCGGCGAGGACACAGGAACCAAGCCCATCGTCCTATGGCATGGTACTGTTCATGCCAGAGAATGGATCACAACTTTGGTCAGGCATCCCAATCGCGCGACAAAACCCCGCGTTACTTACAGGCTTGCAGACCGTCGAGTACTTGACGTACCAGCTCATCGATGGTTACAAGTCCGGAGACCAGAATGTTACGGCCTTCTTTGACGCATACGATTTCTACATCGTGCCCTTCCACAACCCTGATGGTTCGTATAACTTCTCGTGACCACTTGCTTTGCTAACCATCTGTCTGCCAGGCTTTGTGTACAGCCAGACCACGAATCGCCTCTGGCGTAAGAACCGCCAGCCGCGCTCCAACACAACCTGTATCGGCACCGACGGCAACCGCAACTGGAACTTCCAGTGGGATTACCCTCTCGAAGACGGCAGTGTCTCCGCCGACCCCTGTGGTCAAACCTTCCACGGGCGGTGCCCCGGCGACACGCCCGAAAACATCGTCCTCTCGGCCCTCTCCCGCGAGCTGGCCGCCACGCCCGGCGGCATCCGTCTCTTTATTGACTGGCACAGCTACTCGCAGCTCATCCTGCTCCCCTGGGGCTTCTCGTGTGAGCCAGAAGTACTACCCAAGAACCTGCAGGCGCAGCGCGACGTCGGCGCCGGGTATGCGGCCACCATCAAGGCGACGGGTGGCGAGGAGTATGAGGTCGGTCCCTCGTGTGAGATTCTGTATTACTCAACCGGCTCTGCGAGAGACTTCCATCACGGCGCACTCAATGCGACATACTCGTGGAGTGTTGAGTTGAGACCCAAGAGTGGGACTGGGGGCTCTGGGTTTATTCTGCCACCGGAGTTCATCTGGCCGACGGTGAAGGAGCATTGGGAGGGTATCAAGTATGTACTTAGCGTGGTCGGCTAGAGTATCGGTCAACGTTCTTGAAGACGTCTTCGGTATATCAGTATGTCGGGTTAAGCTCGAGCTCCAGGGCCCCTTCGAAGAGGATGTATTCTATCAATCTTGCATGATATGATCCAGAAACACCGCTTAGAAAGCCACACATGAGGTGTGTGGAGACTACATGAACGGTGCTTCCACCAAGAGAATTATACAGTTTCAGTGTCCTTTACTGTCAACCTAGTTATCGTATAGGGAACAACAGTGGCTGAATAACATTTCAGTCTGCTACCCGTTTCGGCTGGGATTTGATACATACGGTCCCTCGGGTCTCGACCGATGCATCATCTACATCATCCCGAACTACAGTCAACTTTTCCAAACAATAATACGAATTTACAAAGGGCTTGTGGCTTTCGTTGTAGCTGCACACCTGAGCGGCGTGGGTGTTAGAGAATCTAATCTAATAAATTGGTTTTACATCTGTTGTCTACTTGTTGTACAAAGGCGGGCGCCGAACGCCGCGGCAAATCCTACACATCGTACGAGCCTGCTACATCCCCTCCAGCAGGTCGTAATCTCTGGCAGCAGCCCAAAACGCATGCTTCCAGAACCGGTCATTCTTCTCCGCCGACTGGGGCCGAGCCTGTTTGCGAACCGTAGAAACCAACTTTTGGGCGGCGTCCCAGTCCTGCCTGTGAATCAGCGACCGCAGCAGGGGCTCAAGCAGCGGGAGGGAAGGCCAGATGCCCCAGTCGTCGAGGTCGTACACGATATCCAGCGCGCTGTCGAGGTCGCCGGCGCGATGGTAGTGCTTGATAACGCTCTCCCAGAAGACGCGGTCCGACAGGGCGCGCGTGCGGGAGCGACGGTCGGCAACGAGGGCGCGTAGGGAGTCGAGGTCTGGCCGCTCGCGGCTGACGTAGTACTCGACCAGGATCGTGCACATCTCCGTCGAGGGCTGCAGGCCGCTATTGCGCAAGTGGGTGAGGACGGCGGCGACCGAATGATCGGCAACGTCGCCCGCCTTGACAAGGACGTGAAGCATCTTGGCGAACGCTTCCTGGTTGGGCTCGATACCGCAGGCAGCCATCTCCGCGAAGACCGCATCGATAGCCTCTCGCTGTTCCTGTGGCGTTTGTTCCTGAAGGTTCTCAAAGGCTGCTTCGAGGATGATGGTAAAGGTGGCACCATCGGGCGTCAGGCCCGCCTGCTTCATACTAGCGAGGAGCCTATCCGCCTCGTCGGAATCGCCATTCTTGAGCATCCGCGAGAGGAGCATGTTGTAGGTGTAGATGTCGGGTTCCATGCCCTTCTTCGTCGCCCAGTCCAGCACCGCGCGTATCACGTCCATGCGGTCCTGCTTCAGCAGTCCAGAGATTGCGGCATTCACACACACGATCCCAGGTTCGACCGCCTTGCTTTGTGTACCGTTCTTCACTGCAGTATTCCACAACTTCTCCATCTCTTTCAATGCGGTCATTCCTGCTCTTTCTGGACCCAGGTGGCCAAGCGCGGCTATCCTCACTGACCAGATCTGCTCGTCCAGTTTCAGCCCCGCCGCCGTGATCGAAGCCCACAGATTCTCAATCGGGTCCAGCAGCCTGGCCTGCTTCCAGCCACTCATCATCGACGTGTAAGTCCTTACCGTCGGCTTGACTCCAAGCTTTTTCATGTACGTCAATACTTCCGCAGTCATTCTGGAGAAGTTCTCCTTTTGTACACAAGACTTGCTGCAGACATGGAATAAGATGTAGTCAAACAGCTCAGGGGACCTGCGAAGTCTCCGAGTCCGGTCTTTGTCGTTGACTGGATTGATAAGATCCCTCCAGGCCTGCTGTGCCGCCGCGAAGTTGTTCGTACGAAAGGCCAAACCAAATCGTTTGTGCCAGAGAGCATACGAGAAGTGCCCCGAGGAGCGAGTACGGTCCGAGCCAGCAGCAGCAGCAGCAGCCGCCGCCGTCGCATCCGACTCCTTCCAAGCTTCGGGCGCCTTTCGAGTCACTCGCCAGCTCGCCCTGGGCTGGACGTAACTCCAGAGTTCGGGATAGCCGTCAAAGGCTTGCTGGAGCATCTCCTGGTCAAACCGCTTCACGATCGGGTCCAGTGCTTCCAGTAAAGGCTGTGCCTCCTCCCTTGCCGCAGTCAACATGTGCTTGGACTCGGATAGCAGGACGAACGTAGTCACAAGCGCGGGGCCAAGGCCGTGCAGCTCGTTCAGCGCATACAACGGGAAGAGCGCGCGAAAAAGTTTGGCAGGCGCCTCCGTACCCCGCATATCTGGCCTTGAGGTGAGCCAGAACTCTGGTTCCGAGCCCAGGCGGCTGTCAACGCGCCTCAAGCCCGAGAAGTGTTTCCAGCATTCTACCAGATCGTCCAACAATCGATCCTCCACAGGTTCGGTCTCTGACTGGGACCGGGACGACACTATTGCCCGCAGGAGACCGTTGATGAGCTCCAGCCTTCTCACGACTCTGACGTTGTTCAGATCGGCGTAGATCTTGCAGATATCGGCAGTGCTGGGGAGGTCCGCATTATCGATGGTCGAAAACTTGGTATTTATTATCTGCTGCATGGCCTGAGTTGCCTTGGTCGTGAGAACCTGTGGCAATCGGGAGGTCGGGTTTCGCGAGACTGGCACTAGCTTCTTCGACATAAGCGTGTACGACTTTGCCGCAACATCCACCGCGGGAAGCTTCTCCTTGTTCTGCGCGATCTTGTCGAGTTCGTCGGCGAGGCGGTAGAGCTGGTTGACATCTAGCCTAGTAACCGGGGACGCTTGCGGTTCGCTACTAATGGTTTCTTCAAACAGGTCCAATGCCCTCTGTTTCGTGTTTTTGTCACCGCTGCCCTTTTTTTTCCATGCGGGTATCCGCGGTCCATTGTGCGATTGGGTTCGACGTGGTTGGCTTGTCGTTCTTGAGGTCTCGGCGGTGGCGGCCGGGAAGCTCGCGGTCGAATTCGGTCGGACTGTGTGGGTTGTCGCTGCGCTGGCCAGAAGCCTCGAGCGGCATTGGGCGCATACCGTCCTCGAGACCAGCATGGCGTCTGGCGAACGAGCGTGTTGAGGTGTTTGGAGCGTTTGCGACAAGAAGCGTGGCGGTAGTTGGTGATGCAAAAAAACCCACGTCGGAGGGTCATTGAAAAAAGTTCCCAGGAACGGGAACAGCACGCCGATCTAGCGGTCCGAGACCCCTGTCCGCTTCTCGCTGCAGCTCTCCGTCACTGAAGCTTGGGCCACTCACCTTCAACTCAGATATTCAGCTTGTCTTTCATTCATTCATGAGATATGAAAGAGCATCATATTTGCAGCAAGACGATAATATGCCAGGATGCATCGGATTTCACTGCAGCCCGTAGACAAGATGTCAAGGAGTCTGTGACAGGTTGAAACCGTAAAATAATTGTTCAACTTAGTACTGTGGTATATATGACCCTTCATCCTAGCCCTCATCCCATGCATCACATATCAAATCTTACATCTTGGAGATAGTGTTCTCGAACTTGCCGTCAATCTCACGAATCTTGTCCGCCGACCGTAAGTAGCCGGGCTCCTGCTTAAGCCGACCAATGTACTCGAACACACGCGGGTGCGCCGCTCGCGCGGAACCGCCAGGCCAGCTACCCAGAGTGTCGAAACGGGACTCCGCCGCAATGAGGGCGTAGCTGAGGAGGATGTCGGCGGCAGACAAGTGCTCGCCACAGATGTACTTGCCGCCGTTGGGGGAGGTCTCAAGCATCTGGTCGATCAGAGCGAGGTGCTTCTTGGCGTTAGGGAACACCATCATGCTGTAGATCTTGTTGGCGACCACCGAGGTGATGGGTCGGACGAAGAACGGCACGTTGTCGGATTTGAGGGCTGCATGTATGAGTTACGGTGATCCGTCTACACTACGTGGGATATGGCTTACCTCCAATGACAAGAGACAGAGTCAGGACAGGGAGCAGACTTCCTTCGGTGTAGTGGAGAAGGTACTGGCACCTCGAGTACTCCTCGGTCTCGCCGCCGAGCTTGCCCTCCTGGCCATCCTTCCACTTCTTGGGAATGAGGTTGGTGTTCTGACCAAAGTGCTCGCACAGGTATTGGGTCATGTAGCCGCTCTCAGCCAGTGTGATAGACTCGCCAGAGCCGGTGGGGAAGATATCGATCACGGGCGACTTGCCCAAGGGGTGGACCTTCGCAAGCTCAGGCGGCGCCAGGAGGGTCTGCTTGTTCCTGTGGAAGATTTCAATCTCATATTCGACCTTGAGCTCCTCAAGGAGCCATAGGATGTTTTGCGCTCTGGACTGTTCAAGCCTGGGATGCTTTGTCAACTCAGTTCCATGGGAGTCTTGAGGCCGACTCACCAGTAGAGCTTGACTTTGGGCTTCTGCTCGGTTGTCATAGTGCTGACGCGGTGGCTTAATCAAGCTTTTGAATCTGTTCAGGATAGTCACGACTGGGTATGTAGTACAACTCCGCGATACTCTTCAACGCAAGCAACTTATCACAACCGGTTCGCCTTGTGATAAGGTTATGTTCTCACCGAGGTCATGTCCCTCATTTATACGTCACTAGCTCTTCGGAATGCGCAGGGCCCGGGCCCACCAATTTCACCTTTAGCTGCTCTCAGAACAACGAACACTTGGACCATCTGCTACCTCGCCAGTTGAGCAGGACGAGTCCCCACAATTTAGGCTTGCCTCGGCGCCGATGCCTCGGCGTCGCACCAGATTGAGCGCTTCATCACCGGCGAGGCCACCAAGTCGGGGTAATATCATTTGCCCTGAAATGGAGATCGGTCGAGTTGACAATCTTGCGACTCGCGGTGCTTCAATGTTTCATGCGAACCGCGCGCTCTTTCTTTGGTCTATTGTTTTTCTTAACATCCTTCAAGGTCACTCACTCCAGTCATGAGCATTTAATGTGCGCAGTTGCCGAGCTGTTTCGTGTCGAAACTTCCGTGCAATTGACCACAGAACGAACATCCTCACCAGAGAGCCTGCTGTCAATTTGAGGATGCAGTTGTGGCAACACAAAACCACCTACATACAACAAACACATTGAAGTCCAGCCTCAATAACGAGGGGCCAAAACAGTAAAAAAAATTGTACAAGCGTCAACGACAAGATTCGAACTTGCGCGACCGAAGCCACTGCCTAAACTGGGAGTCTTGATTCCTCGAGACATGATAGCAGGGCAGCCCATTAACCACTCTGGCACGTTGACTGATATTGCTTATGTAAACTTATAGGGGAAATTTATTAATAAGAGGATGCTCTTAACGAGTCAGTGTGCACCCGCCATAACACAGTGAATTCACTTCGAGTACTCTGACTGTACTGTCAGTGCTGCCAGAGGCAGAAAGCACAGTGCTATTTGATTCCATCTTTCCCTGATACATACATTCTGATTGGTTGGTGCCTTACCATCGAGGCACAAAGGCACTTACCTAAGCGCTCAACTCCAAGGCTCGCGATGCATTGTGCCATCATGGAGCCTTGAGTTGCATCTCGACGAGCGACACCGATTGCCCCTCGAACCCCCGCGAAATCACGTCGTCTGACCGACCAAATTCCTTCGAAATCCCGAAAAAGCCCTGAACATCTGTCAAGATGGCGGGCCACCACCACAGTGAGCTCAATTGACACCGAACATATCTCACGGACGAAAGATGCTAACCCAAGAAACCAGAGCTGGCCCTCGATCCGGCCTTGGTCAAGCTGGGACGTACGTTGAACCCCTTCCCGAATTCGATGAGCGAATATGGGTTGGCGACCGATTGAGTCGTGGAGGGCTCCAGGAAGGTTGCAGTGCTGACCCGTGAGCGCCGAACAGACATGCAGAGCAACCGACACATCTTCTTCCGCTGGACCCCGAGAACAGCCCGCGTGACCTTCATGTACGCCGTTTTCGTACCGGTCGTCATCGGATACATTGGCTACAAGACCGACGTGAGACGCCCTTCCCCCAGTATCTCCCCGACGCGAGTGGTTGCGCGGCATGCCTGGACCACCAATACTGACCGATACAGGGCCTCTGGGACCTCCGTGCGAAGCGCAAGGGCGACCTGGTCTACGAGCGGTAGAGGGAGTAGGCTATTGAGAGGATGACGGTTGTAAATAAGCCCAGGACGCGGGTCGGAGTAGGAGGATAGAACAAGCAATAAGCAGAAGTTCTCTTGTGCAACCCGTGGACATCGGAGATATGTCCCAGCACCATGCTAGCAATCATGAATCCCTAGACGCCCGCTGAATGACCGTGATGATGCCTGGTTTTTCCTCCCTGATATCCCTAGACGCCTTACCAAACTCCAAACCACATCGCAGTTCCATCACTCGAAGTACACTTCACAACCAATCATCACCATCTGTCTGGCCTCCGTCCTCTGCCCCAAGACCTGTCAGGAGGGTCTTCCGGCAACCTCTCGCCTCTCCTCCACTCTCCTTCGGGGAAACCGCTGTCCACAAATCCGGAGCGCCGCCTTTCTCTGTCTCGTCCCTGTCTTCCACCAAACGCAGCATCACGGCGCGGTCCCTGTGAGGCCAGGCCGCCCAGACCGCCCCTTGCGCTAAATGGTCCTGCTGTCCTGTCGTTCCGTGCAGTAAGGGCCGGGGCCACAGAGCCGTCAGGCAGCGGCGGCAGAACGGCACATGAAATGTAGTCCCCCACCACAAACTTGGCGTCGCCGAGCGTCTTATCCTTGGCCGTATCGGTGTCCGGCAGCGTCGCCGTCGTATCGGCCATGTGCATGTCTCCCTCCCCCCCCTCGGCCCCGCTGGCGGCGAGAATAGCGGCAGCCGTGCCGTCACCCAACACGACGCTCCCTAGGTCCTTAACCATGAAGCGGGGGGTCTGTGCCTGCGCGTGGTGCGTGCCGGATGGGGCTGCTACATTTCGAGTATCTGGGTATATAACACGGAAGGCCAGCCTGGTGCCTACGGACGGGCTTGGCAGTAACGAAGGGTCTGCGGCGGCGATCTGCTCCGCGAGCTCGGTCAGGGTGCAGTCGGGCCACGTGTAGAGTGACAGTGCGGGTGGCAGGTTTCTCGAGGCGAACTCGTCTGTTCTAAACCGTTGTCAGCGATCCGCATCCGAGGGCAGGTCGCGCGCATCATTGTGGCTTCCACCTTACCTGTGAAATGAACCGTTCTTGCAAAAAAGCTGCAGAAGAAACGGTGCAGTCCCTTCCCGCTCGATCGACGCCATTTTCAAAGTAGTGCCTCCGTGTTGTCATAGGTATCGCAGACGTTGCAAAGGGACGACGTTGAAGAGTACGTACAGTATCCGTACTGGTGGAGTAGTTAGAACAATCTCGAATTTGACAAGCTCCAGGTCCCCTTGTGACGAACAGGTACAACACACGTTTTAGGCCCCCAAGGGATTAGGAAATGAGACAAGCAAAACGGAGGGAGTGCGGGAACTAGTCTTGCGTGTGTGGTGTGCGGGCGTGCGTCCCTCCCCGACTGGAGTCAAGGTCGTAGGCGAGTGAGGCTGTGCAAGTTAAGCGCGATCTTCCAAAGCTTCCATGCATGGATCGTCCACCACACAGGCGCGCAGAGAGGTGTGGGGGAAACAGGAAGGACGGTCAATTAAAAAAGTAAGCTTTTCAATCGGTACGCCTTACCCGGTTTTCTTCCGCTTTTGTTCGACGACATCTCATCAACCTTCAAGCAAGTCGGCGGACCACAACGACGCAGCGTTGGCGATACACGACCCGGACGGGCCCACCCGAGACACTACGCGCACCCAGACCTCGACAACAGCGAGCCCATCGGCCGACCGACCGATAATCCGACCAACGACTGTCCGCCCGCCAAGATGGATTTCGCGGCGCTCATGTCCAAGGAGCTGGACAAGTCAAAAGAGTCGACGCCGGCCTCCTCCTCATCGAAATACATTAAGCGCGCCGACGTCGAAGCGAAGCGCAGGGAGGAATACCTCGCAGAACAAGCCCGCATCGAGGCCGAGCGGGAAGCCAGGGTCGCCGCGAAGCGCAAGCGTGAGGAGGACGAGGCAACGGAGAAGAAGATCCGCGAAGAAAAACGTCAAAAGCTCGCCGAGGAATCACGGCGGCGGCGCGAGGAGAAAGAAGCCGAGGAGGAGCGCGCCCGACGCAAGCGGTTGGGCCTGCCGGAGCTCGTCAAGGCCAGCAGCGAGGACGTCGCCGAGGTCGAGGATGGCATGGAGGACATACCTGACGAGGAGCTTGCGGGCAAGCTGCGCGCGCTGGGCGAGCCGGCCACGCTCTTCGGCGAGGGACACGTGGCGAGGCTGAGGAGGTACCGACGGCTCACGACGGTGGTCACAAAGGGCCCCATCCCGACAACGCTGCAGCTGGTCGAGGAGAAGGACATGAAGGTCGACGGCGCGGTGCCCAAGGACAAGGAGGGACGGAAATGGCTGTTCAGGCAGCTGGCATCATACTTTACCATGGTCCTGACCGAGTACGAGAAGGCCATGGAGCAGGAGCGCCGCGACACGACGGCGAGCAAGACGGCCTACAGCGCCATGGTGCAGAGTCGCGAAAACCTCAAGCCGGTATGTCTTTGCTTTCACCAGCAGACTCTACAAAGCATACTGACGCAGTCTAGCTATTCCGCAAGTTCGAAAAATACGACCTCGACGACGACCTCCTCGAGCCCATCGTCGAGATAGTCAAGGCCGCGCAGGAGCGTCGCTACGTCGATGCCAACGACGGATACCTCCGTCTCTCAATCGGCAAGGCCGCCTGGCCCATCGGTGTCACCATGGTCGGCATCCACGAGCGCAGCGCTCGCGAGAAGCTGCACAACGGCGAGCGTGGGCATGTCATGGGTGACGAGGTCACTCGCAAGTACCTGCAAAGCATCAAGCGCCTTCTCACCTTTGCGCAGGTCCGCTGGCCGCCCACTGACGTGCGTCAACTCATGGGTTGATGAGACAAGTCCTGTTGAGGATCTCTATCATGTCTTCTTTCGAGACTCCAGGGCGTGTCCCGGATCGCGAGTCCGGATGGAACACGAGTGGTGGTTGGTGACCACGGTAGTGGGTGCTGGAGGGGCATGCACATGGGCAGAAAAGACCGCGCTGCCCCTCTCATCCATCTTTTACTGCTACATGATGCCCCCCCTCCTCCCCCCTCCCCATCTGATGACTATTGCTGTTCGATCCCATCTTGTAATATCTTGCTCATGACTGTCCATTTTAGCGGGTGTATTGGAGTCTCAACGCCGTCCTGACTACGGCGACGTGTATTCCCTTAGGGAAAAGGCATTGGGAGGTGGAGGCAGAGCGCGGTTACGATGAATGAGTAGCTGACTGACTGGGCCCTGACCTGGCTGCTGCAGGCCGGTGGGATGGTGGATCAGAGATACCAAGAACAAGGGAACTGCTTGGGGACTTCGGACTGCCTGATGCAGGCTAGAAGCAAAAATTGACATGCCATGTAATAGTACAATTTCACGCACACCCCCTCTTCAGGGCTTACTTGGAGACGCTGCTCCAAACCCTTGAAGCCCTTTGCAAAAAAAGTGTAAATGGCCCCCTCCCCGGTTGCTCCATTTTGTATAGAGTAGACTCACCGGCTCTCGATTGCTGCGCCGTTTTCCCCCCCTAGTACCCTTGATACGAACGAGGGGGCGAATGGAATATTGCCTCGGTGTGATCATAACACCCCCCTTGACAAAAAAGCGCGAATGATCACCATGTCCTTTTTGTTTTTATTTTTTTGAACCCTCAATTACCATTAGATAACTAAAGTGCACCGTGCGAATAAGCACTTGTTTGAAGGAACCGCTACAGGGTCGGGTATTGTTCATAATTCCGTCAGCAGGGTAAGCTTAACCTCGCATAAGCCTCAAGGCGAGAACACGGACCAAGGATGGATTGTCGGATTTACCATAGTACACAGTTCGGGCGAACGATAGCAGGTAGCTGCATAAACGGTGGCATGCATTTTATTCCCGACTAACTCCAGCGGAGGCCGTTCAACTCGACATTTGACACATTTCTATGCTTGCTGCGTAAGCCTCAATCTATCGGCCCCCGGGGATGCCGCGATCAACAACGCCGTCAAGTTCCTTTAGCCGCCCCACCACTTCAGCTATGCAAGGCCTGTGCCTGATTCCAATGGTTCATGGCATGTCTAGCGCAAAAGTGCCATGACGTCTGAATGATCCCACGGAACGATTGAGGTGTTGACATGCGTACGTATGCTTTTCTCCATGGGTAACCAATGATTCGTCGCCAACACGCCCAGCCCGCGTTGCCCGTCGACCGCCCGGCTTTTTAGGCTTTTGGCTACGGCGCCAAGGTGGACTGCCAAAAGTGCCCCGTTTGTCAATGTTTCTCTGCATCTTCAGCTTGCGTCCGATCTGCGGAGAAGAGCCACTGCTCGGCCGGAAGCTCGTTGCAGGAGCACCATCAGCTCGCCTCGCCGCCGGCGGCCGTTGCCCGGTTGGCCTGCTCGAGCCAGAGCTCGTCGATGCCTTGTGTCCCGGCGTGTGCGTTTCCCTTGCGCGCGTTCTTCACCTCCATGTCTGCCGCGATAATGCTCATGCGCCGGATCCGCTCGGTGGCGTCTCGCTCGTAGGCATCGATCGTATCAAGGACCAACCTTTGCAAAGTCGCTCGGGGGTTCGGAGACACGGCGACCAACGTCTGTGGCTCGTGCGTTAGCATAGTGCGACTGTGGCTCCAAATGGGCCGCGAACACGTTTAAACTCACCTTGTCAATTGTGTTGATGCGGGCCTGCAAAACACCGCTCCGAATCATGCCAACGAGCTCGTCGACGAGCGGCTTACCGGGAACCGCAAAGGCCTCCTCCAGGCTGCTCAGAGTGACGCAGGAAAAAGGGATAAAGTACTGCACGATGCACTTGCTCCTGATCTGGGAGTAGAGAGCGGGGACGTGTTTCTGGAGATAGATGTCCAGGAGGTAGTCGGCACGGTACGCCTCTAAGATCGCGAGGCATGCCGAGTAGCGGCCGTTGACGAAGAGTGAGATGGCCTTGCGGATGTGAGGCTCCAGCTCCAGGAACGTTCTGAAATTCTGGTTGTCCAGAACTCGGGTCTGCAGGTCCTTACGATCCATCGTCGCAAGAGCAAGGAGACCACCATACACTGCCACGTCGTTGGGGCTTGCAATAGTTTTGTACTCCGCACCCTCCTTGCCAGCACCCTCTTTGCCGGCATCAATCTGCAAGAAGCTTTTGGCTGCATCCTCAAACTTCTCGAGGCCCATGAAAGCGATGCCCTGGACGATCTTGGTGTACGGCTGCAGACCCTTCTCTTCCTCTCCGTTCTGGACGCCAGTGATCTTGCTAAGATTGGCGATGACCATGGGCCACTCCCGGCGCTGGAGCGTCACGCTGACGAGGTGCTTGCCGACGTCGATGATGTGTTTCGAGGTGCTGACATCTGGGCGCATGCGGCTGTAAGCCTCGCCGGCGTTGTTAAGATCGCCGATCTCCTCAAAGTGACGGCCAAGGTCCTCGTTTCCCATCTGTTGCTCCGTCAGTTTGTGGACTTTTGTGTGTTGCAGATGGGCGAGGACGTAGTACCCGAATGCTTTCCTTGATGAGGTTCATCTTATAACCCTTCAGCTCGCTCTCGAGTTGGTGAGTCTTGGCCTTGTTGGCCCTCTCCGTGTTTTCAACCCATTCCTGGTCGAACAAGGCCTCTGGCTCATTAGGGGCGGCGATGTGAATGCACTCAAAGGCGTCTCGGTAACGTTGGACATCTGCACCCGCCTTGGCTTCGGCGACTGCGGCCTTCAGGGCGTCAACACAGAGCGGTACGCAGCTCCGGCCGATGAGAAAGAGACGCTCAAAGCGGGTACGGCCTGTGGTGGCGGTTAGTAATTGTCCCCTGGGGCGGCGGAGCCTTGGCAGGCGGGCAAAAGGGGCGGAGAGGCTGAGCGACTGTGTGCAGCGAGGCGCAGTTTACGAGAAACAAGGTTGAGACGGGTTAGAGGGGAATGCACACCTTCGTAGTTCTGGATGTACAAATCAAGGTCCAGCTTGGGAATATCTGCAAAGTGACAGCACCGTTAGTAGGCCGCGCGTCTTGGAACCGGTTTCCTGTTCAGGACAGTCGGAAAGGAACGGGAATGCTGAGTTGAGGCTCAGCTCGGACACCGGCACGGCTTAGACGACGCACCTCTGACAATGACACCGCCCTGATCGTCCATCTGCGTAAAGAAGGCCAGCAGGGCGTTGGAGTCGATGTTGGCGTTGGCGCCAGCGGCAGCCATGATGGAGATTGCGATATCGTCGTGTCAGGAGATTCGATTGACGGACCCGTGCGAGCTCCGCTTAATCTTGCTCAGATGATTATTAGCAGGGGGGTCTAGCGGTGGCAGACTGTGTATCGGTGACACTGATGAAGGGGAGGGATGCTATGGTGCGGAGGGCGGTACGGCGCACGGGGGTGGTATGCCGGGCCGGTGAACCAGGTGGTGCGGCAAACGAGATATGGTGGCCGATGTCACCGATTACGGGGTTAGAGTCGTGAAGGGTGGAATGCGCGGAATATGGCAATGAGGGGCTTTCTGGTCTAACAGGGTCGAGCGGTTGGGGAAGAAGGTCGCAGTCCCGTTCGTTGGCCGGGGACAGTGTCATTTGGGGAGAGGGGCCGGCCGGCAAAAGACAGCCTTAGGCCGAAGGGGCGAAGCTTGCTTTTGCAAGGTACCAGGCGGGAGGGAGGGAGGAAGCTCGTAGAAAGTGGGAAAGCGTCACTCACTCACCTCGTGGGATCGGTCGCCTCCGCGTCGCCGTCTCGAGTGTGAATCGTTAGGGGTTGCAGAAGAGAGATAGAGTAAGAGACCCTGTCGTCGTGTGTCGCACTAAAGGATATGCGGGCTTCGAGTGTGACGGGACAGTCCTGGGGCAACGATGTGATGGGTTGGGTGCGATGAGAAGTATGAACGACGATGAGGTCTGACGGCGGTCGGCGGGCAGAAAGGTGGTGCTCGTACTTAGCGAATGACAGTGAGAGACATTTGTTAGTGGTGGTGACACAGCTGGACGTTTAATTGCGGGGTAATTCAATAAAGAGGGATCGGGGAAGGGGGCACCTCGTCTTGAAGCACTAGTACCTGAACTCAACTCACCCCCAACAGTACCAATTACCCTGCAAGTAATAGGCAGCAGCGACACGGTGAACGAACTGGGAAGTGTGCAAATACTGTAAGGAACGAAAAAAAAAAGGCAACGGGGGTCTCGTTGCATCTCTGTGTCGATGATTAGCAGTACGATACGGCACAATTTCGATCACAAGGATCTAGTATATTTGTCTTGGCGATTAACTGTCCGCCGATTGAGTATCTGAATCTGTATGTATTCCGCCAACTAATTACCACCCGAGTCTTCTGGCACCTATGCGCAACCGGCAGCTGACGAAGCCGAGAAGACAAGACTTGTGCAATGTACACCGCAGTCAGATTGCTCTTTACGCGCCGAGTGCGGCCAAAGCTATCGGCGAGTTGCCCGCGTCGGCTGCGACGAGCTAGAAACCAGATAGATAGACAGACGTTTACTTCGACGTCCCCGTGAACTGGATACCTCTGGCTTCCTCCTAGAGGCGAGGCCTCCCCGCGGACGCCGAGCCGCGGCCTGGGTCTCGTTCGCAACCTGGGCCCGCTGGTGCACTCATTCGTTTGATGACCGAGCGTGAGGAGAACTGATTGACGGAGAGATGGCACTGATGAGCCGGTAAGACAGCATCAGGATTGGGTCAACTGGCTCAAGAGTCAGGGCAGCTCCTCTCGCCATGGATGAGGACCAGCATCGTAGCTGGGGCTAGGAGCAGAATCTGCATCCAAGCCAGTAGCATGCCCGTTGCAAACAAGCAGCAAAGCACCTACCAAGGCACACCTGAGCTGCGAGCCAAGAAGTGTGCTCGGTAAGGCCAGACATGGAACGTACCCAATTTGACAGATACAGGGGTCGGTAGTTGACCGAGGGTCTGTTCCGGGAGGACGAAGGAGCTGATTTGTGTTGTGCTTTTGCGCCATGCGCTGCAGAACATGACGGCAGCTTGGCCGGCCCACATTACGTGGACGAATTCCATGGCGGCAGACTGGTGCTCACATCGTGGAATTCGTCGTCGTCGCTGAAGGGGCCACGACTTGTCTCGATTCCTTGACCGAGCCCAATTGATAAGTTGTTAGAATGGGTTTCCAATTACGAGGCGTGCTGGATCCCGACTGATGCTGGTTGACAGGGACGAGAGACAGCAAAAGATCCCTGCTGGCCAGTCTCGGATTCAGCTTCGAGTTTCCAGTGTAATGATTCTATTGACGGCGCGCCTGATTTGCTGGAGGTTGAGTTGTCCCGTCGGGGCAAAGGTTGACAGAACGAGGGGCTCGGTCTTCATTGCTGTGCCATGGTCGGGTTCAGCCACAAGGTTCAGGCTGGGACGAACAAGGCTGCAGCAGGGTCAGGGTCCTAGAGGGACTTGAGTGCGGTACTGGAATTGAGCGCGTGGGCGGGCAGGTTGCGTGCTTCCAGAGCGGATCACCGGCCGAGAAGATTCAATGAAATTGGGTTGTCAGTATAGGTGTACGAGCGAGCGCTGGAGTCATGGCTTGTATCCATAATGAGATGCGGCGACTTGAGAGGTTTTGGTGGACGTTGGATTGTCCGCGTATGGAACAGAAGGACCTGCGCGGGTCATGCCATCCATCCTTTGTCGTGAGAAAGCGGGCGTTGTGGACGCTGTGGACGCTGTGCTGTAGCCGTTGTCGCTACCGCCGCCGCCGTCGCATCAGTCTTGCTCAGCGGGGGCAGGTACAGCGTTGCGGCCGTGCAGGGCGACCCCCTGCCCCAGGCGCTGGCGGTCGGCACCTTCCCCCTGGACACTGACTGTCCGACACCAGACACAGACAGAAGGAAGAAGAGGCAAGATAGCAAGATCCGAGGCAGCTGGTTCGAGTTCAAAATGGCAAGTGGCTCTTTGATAGCAATGCATCTGTAGTGCGTTGATTGCCTTTGGATTCACCCCGGGTCTTTGGAGTGCAGGTGGAAGGTACGTACAGGTAGCTGGGGGAATCTAAGCGATGTCTCCGTCTCAACTCACTCCGTCATCCTTGGGTGTTCCTTCCCTTGCTCACTCGCACCGTGACTTGTCTGGACAGTGCGACCCACAGTAGTGGCATCTAACGCGCTCCTAGTGGCTGGCACATGCATTGAGACTTCTTTCTCCTTTTACAATGAATTCTGCGGAAATAACGAGGGCGCGCGCGCAAGGGGAAAAAATCCAAAAAAAAGAGAGCGAGGGGAAAGAGGGCGACGTGGCCATTTCCTTGATTTCTGACATCCGTTCACTCCTGGGGCGTGTGCGAGAGCCCAGTCAGCGACCAGCCGCGGTGGTTTTTGGCCGGTTCTGCCAGCAAAAAAACCACGAAAAAAACGCTCGCACTTGGGAGCATCCAGATATCATAATATCCATCTGAGGCTCTCAGCAATTCGATGCATGTTGTCAAGACAAGCGCAAGCGCGAAGGGGCGGGGTGGAAGTCTTGGCAAACGATGGAAATCGAGAATGCCAAGACTTCAGGACCCAGGAAGCTCTTGCCCTCTGGTGTGCACCCACGCACCCCCCCCCCCCCCGCTCTTGGGCTGACGCGTTTTGGTGGGAGCGACTGTGGACTTGGCCTGGACTTGGTGCTTGGCTCGGAAACTCGACCACCAAAGAAAGAAGGGGACGTGGCCCGCCAGTGCGATGCGGTGTGTGGTTCCTCTCCCTCCCCTCACACACACTCCATCCCTTGACCACCCCCGTCCGTCCAAGCACCCCCCAAGCGTTCCCCCCCCTTTCCCACTCCCCAACAGCGACCGGGGGACTCGGCTCTCTTCTCAATCACGCCAATCTGAGAGCAGCACTCCAGCGAAAAGAGAAAATTTGTCGTCGAAATACACCATAGACACGTCCCCAATGACGGATGCCAAGACTTCAGAACCTCATCGTTCCCTCAGCCCCGGGCCCTGTTCGTTCTGTAGGGCGGCAGGCGGTCCATTTTGACAACGTCCCGTCCGCCATGCGACGGTAATCCACAAACCGAAGGCTTTTTCGAATATTCCATGCGTCTTTGATCCCGCCGCTCTGCATCCGCCGAAGGAAAGGGAGGGGAGGGGGGGATTCGGGAGAATCTCGTGACTTTACTGCACTAGAGTGCACCCTCTGCGAGCCAAGGGCCCAAGGTCGCTGCTCTCAGAGGCCAACGGGGGACGAGGAGCAGGACGGGACCACTCCCAAAACGCTTGCAATAACCGTCCCAGGGGGGCGTGAAGCCACTTGCGCACTCAAACATGATAACCTGCTTCATGACAATGCAAGGCCAGGCGACCACCCACGGCAGAGTCGTTGTCTTCGTCGTCGTCGCCATCCTTCCTTGATTCCTGTCTCCCTTCTTAACCCTTTTCTCTCCCCCTCCCTGCCAATTACTTCGCCCTCAAGTCGCCGCCAGCGACAAATGATGTGCTGAACCCTCGATCCCAATCCCGGGGTGACCACGGCGCGCACGCCGGAGGATGTGGGTGGAGGCCGAGAGGGGCCATGGTCACAGATGAAAAGGCAATCACAGATTGATGCCGTCGTCGGATTGCCTGCGACATGACTGGGAGCTCTTGGTACTCGACGACAAAGTCAATTCTCATGTGCTGCATGGGATGACCCGAAGACTGGAAGCTTATTAGCAAGGGCCTAGACTCTTCACCAGCACCCCAGACCGTTTGACGTAGCAAGCTCTGTCCTTACACATTGGAAACTGGGTCTGCGCCGGTGCTGGCTGCCAACACGAACCAATTCCCGAGGTGTAATGGCTGGCGGCATGTCGGCTCTCAAACCATCATCTCACTTTCTCTGGACTTTTCCTTTTCTCTCCCTCTTGAGGGGTTTTGAGTTTTTTTTGGGCATTGCATTGGGCTGGTCACAGCCACACACGACAAAGGGTCCCTGACCGAGCGCCAACGAGGGTACCCTTGGGAGGGCCATCCCAATTCAATTGCATTCCGCCTATTCCGTAGGTGGAGGGTCTAGGTTCCTGTCTTCTAAGTTCGATAAGTCAGTGTTGCCCGAGAAGCCAACTCGCCTGCCCATTCGCGTTGGCCCTGGTGCTGAGGCAATTGTTGGGGTGATGTAGGGCAAGCCGCAAGACAAAGCGCCCTTGTTGACGGGTACTAAGCGACGTGGGAAACCTGCCTCGACTGCTGCGCAGGACCCGACGCACCATGGCGGTAGCTGGTGGACCGTCAGGCGGAGGCTGGATACGATGGATCTACCGGACGACGCCGGGCGGGATGATTCATTCCGTGGCGGTCTGCTGTGTGGTACTGGGACCAAATGGCATGGAGATTCAAGCCAACGGTTGGCCTCAAGCAAGATTTCGCAGACGATTGAGATAGCATAGTACACAAAGGGTAAAAAGGCATACGTACCCCCGGTTCCACCCTGCATCCAAACGCATGCACGAACGCTGCTGGCGCCGCTTGTTTTGCTTCTGTTCCCTTCACCAATCCACAACATTGCAGCACCAAGACGGTAAATCAACCACCAAAGCTTCAGGCATGGCCTTGCAAGTCGCGACTGACAGACATGTAGATTGCATGCATTAGTACAGAGGTATCCGTTCCACGAGTGGAAACGGCCCATGTCGGCGTCCACGTCCCCTCCATTGGTGGTGCTCCGCGGTCGCCGGCGGCGAGTCGAAGGATGGGCTGCATTCCTATCCCGAGAATTCTCCGCTTTTATCTTTATTTTTACACTCTCCTTCTCTTAACTCTTCATCCTCTATTGAGCCAAACCCCACCTGGAAGGGGAGGGTACTCCCCAGTGCTGTTTGTTCAGTTGCTACGTGCTCGACTCGCTCGCCCTCGCCCGATCATTATTCATCGCCCACAGAACGACTGTCTGCTAGCTGGGGCAGCTGGGTATACGCCAAGAGTGGCCTTCCCGCACGGTATCCTCCGAGGCAATTTCGCACCTACCCAGGCAAGTATTCTATCGCGCATCAGTGAGACCATTCTATGAGTGGCATCGCACGTACCAGCATGCGCCCTGCCTGCGCCCGGCGCCCAGTGGCTTCGACGCTGTTCCCTGCCTGGCATCAATAGACCAACGTCGCTACGATTTCCCTCGCCTTACAGATGAGATCCCTTACCCGTCAAGCAGGCGTGCCTCCTTTTTCGCCCGTTTGGCGCACTTGCAAAAGAACCTTCCATTTGCTAATTATACGCACCACACGGCACCAAGACGGCTTAGCCTACCTCGACTCAAGAATGCCTAGCTCGAACTGCTCAAGATAGAAGCGCCAACTACTCCAATCTCGTCGTTGTCATCGGAGTGGTCACCCACTAAGACGGACGCTTTTAACGCGGAAACAAGCATTCCCCTTCCACTCCGAAGCTCAGTACCACCGGCCACCGACCGGAGTTGGGAGCTGCTTCTGCCGTACACATGGGTTGGTTGTCGGGTGCTGCTGCTGCTGTCAGGACGCCCCCTTTTGAATAGAGTCAAATGCCAATGTGCAGGTGTCAGGTTCAGAACCTCGCGCGTCGTGAGCTTCTTCTTCGTCCGTTTTGTTTTGTCTTGGCTTTCCGCGCGACTTAGGTACGTACACCCGACACTACACCCTCGTTCCTCCCACTCCTCCCAGCGGAAAGGTACATGCGTACCTCGCATCACACAACACACAACATGGCCATTCCCTCGCTCGCTCACCCACACAACCATTGATCCTTACTCACAACGAGGCCTTCGGCTCAGGTGGGATATAGCCTCTTACTCGTCTTCTGCGCGCCCTGTTATTCACATGCATCGCCGCGGACTTGATCGGTCTGCTGCTCATCTACAGTTTGTCGCCGCCATCTGTATTGTCAGAGACCATCGACTGCCGCCAATGACTGAGGTGGGCGCTTCAACCGAGCTTCCACCACCCTACCTCCATGATATGTCGCCCCTGCAAGTACACTGCGCACCCCTCCCGGTCTTCCCCCCTTCGGCGGGCCCTTTCTTGGTCCTCTGGGTTCCTCGCACTCTTCCACTCAGTTCCCAGTCTCAAAAGTCTTGTCCCTCTCGCGGTTCCGCCCACCCCCAAGAAAAGCACGAGCGCCACGACATATGTATGGGATTCGGCCGCTCTGCTATGTAATTATGCTCTCTTGCTGGTCGGCTTGCCTGCTCGCCTTACCTCAGTGCCATCTTGGCTTCTTAGGCTACTTAGTCTGCCTTACGGCCGCCCCTGCCACTCTTTCGTTCCTCGCTTTGCTCTCCCCCTCCACCACCTCACCCTCGTACCGATCCCTATCGCCTTTCTCGTCCTAGCTTCCCCATCCCCTCTGCGACGGTTTCGTATTGTCCCCGTTCCCTCTCTTCTTGTCCCTATCCGCCGCGCTACCTGCTGCTGGTGACCTTGCCGGTACACACACGCCCCTCCTTTTCTGCGCTACCACGCAAAAAGCACCAACAGCATCCAGCAGTCGCAGCACCACCACCACCATCACAACTAGGGGGGGGGCTCTACCCGGTGCCCGCCAGATCGTGGTCTGCTAGCCCCGTGTGTCGAATCCGTACTGAGGTATCTTTGCTATTCGACCGCGCTACCGGGACTGCACCGTGCGGGTCCGTATTCCCCATACCCTCGAGTCGTGTACTCTGCCTGTCTCAACCACCCCCGGCCGAGACGCTACCTACCCGCTACGTAATCCATCTCGCGCTCAGCTTTGCGCGAGACTTACACACCTGCCCTGCAACGCACCGCACCGCACCCTGCTCGGCCTTAAACAAGGGCCTTCCACCCCCCCAGCTGCTGCTGCCCAGACGAGGCCCAGCAAGAAGGCAAAAGATCCCCCGGCTCCTTCTCTGGTCCTCCCGTTTTGTTTAAACTTATCTTCCTCCTATCCCCCGCGAAGTCTTGGCACACGTTTCGTTCTTCTCATGTTCAAGACTTGATCAGTCCGAAAAGCCGTTCCTAGCTATTGGGTTGGCTAATCGGACAACGACCCTTGTACAATCTCAGCTATGCAAAGAGCGCATCCTCCGTAACTGCACTTACACCGAGAACCGGGTGTTCGACCAAGCCAACACAGCCAACCAACCATACTTGTCACTGCCACCGCCTTCACAGACCACCACTCCCCTCCCATTTTCTCACTCTCGCAGCTTGTCTTCCTGCTCGATAGCGCAATGAGTCCTCCATCCCGGCCTGTCAAGGCAGACAACTCACCCCCGGATTCCAACATGTCGGACAATGAGTCCGCGGCGCCCTCCACCAACGGCTGGCCTGTCAAGGAACCGCCGTCGCCGAGTGGCAGCGCGCATTCCGGCTCTGACATGGACGAGAAGCCTAGCGAAGCTGGCAACAACGCCCCCGTACAGAAGCGGCGTCGTGTGACTAGAGCCTGCGACGAGTGTAGACGCAAAAAAATCAAGTGCGACGGCAAACAGCCGTGCACGCACTGCTCCGTCTACAGTTACGGTTGGTACCCCCCCCTGATTGCCTTCCTTCCAAATATACTGACATTGCCCAGAATGCACATATGACAAGCCCTCGAACAGGCGGAGGAATCCGGCCCCCCAATACATTGAGGCGTTAGAGAGCCGTCTGCAGCGCGCCGAGACCCTTCTGCGCAAGTTTATCCCGGATGTCGACCTGGCTGATCCCACGCTGGATCCCGCTGTCCAGCAGGAGTTTCGCAACAGGGAGCACGCCCGGGTGCAGACCTCCAAGCTGAGGCACGACCCCTACGCCAGCCCCGAGAAGGACGACGCTCAGCTATTGTCCATGATTGAGTCCATCGGCCAGCTGGACTTGGACGACAAGGGCGGCTGGGACTTCCACGGCGTGTCGTCCGGTGCCGTCTTTCTGCGGCGGATGAAGGAGCACTTCAGGGGTATGATGGGCCCCGTCACCCAAGTCCCGTTCCTGCCGAGACCAGAAAGACCTGCTGGCCTGATCAACCTCGATTCTCCAGCGTCAGTCGCCAGCTCACCCTTCGACTCTACCATTTCCACCGCCCCCGAGCTTCCCCGAAAGAGGTGGCCAGAAAGCTCTGCTACCTCTCGCTCAACTGCGCAACGTGTCTGATCCGCATAGTCCACGTTCCGTCCTTTTACGCAATGTTTGATCGAATCTACGGAAAGCCCTACGAAGACTATTCCAAGGAGGAGCACAAATTCCTGGGTCTTCTTTACGCTGTCATGGCGCTGGGTTGCATGTACCGAAACCTGGACGAGAATGCCCCTCCTGTGGTATACAAGGAGTCGGTCGACGAAGGGTACGCGCCGAAAGCCCCTTGCGCATAGGTTCCATGCTGACATCGCACAGAATGAAGTACTACGATACCGCCAGGCGGATCTTGCAAGACATTACGGAATGCCGGGATCTGACCTCGCTTCAGGCACTGCTCTTTATGATTCTTTTCCTGCAAGCCACCTCGAACCTGAGCGGATGTTACGCGTTCGTGGGCATCGCCCTCCGGTCAGCCCTGCGCATAGGTCTGCACAGGTACCTGAAGCATGAGAAGATTTCCATCATCGAGCAGGAGGTCAGGAAGCGGGTGTTCTGGGTCATCCGGCAGATGGACATTTACGTATCGGCCATGCTTGGTTTCCCGCTGATGCTCAACGCCGACGACATTGACCAGCCGTACCCCAGCGAAATTGACGACGAATACATTACGAACGATGGTATCCTGACCCCTCCCCCAGGGACCTTCTCCTTCTTCGAGGCGTTCAACGCGCACACCCGCTTGATGGAGATCTTGGCCAAGATCCTCAAGTTCGTCTACCCCTTAAAAGGGCTTGGTCAGAGTGTTATGAAGGGAGACAAGCCGGGTGCGACCTATTTGATCAGCTACTCTAGTATCAAGCGGATCGAGGCGGAGCTGCAGGAGTGGTACGAGGTTCTGCCTGCGCAGTGGCGGCCTAGGCCTGACGGGCCTGTCGAGGTGATTCGGTAAGTGTTCCGGAGCATGGTGTCTTGATGTTGCGAGGATCCTGCCTCGTCCCGCCTTGAGTCTGGCCAAGCTAACAAAAACAGCGTCCGCCATCTGCTAAGATTTGCCTACGCCCATGTGCAGCTTGTTCTTTACCGCCCGTTCCTGCACTACGTTTCTCCCCGCCTAAGCATGGGGAAGAACATTGACGAGCTTTCCTACGCATGTGCGGCGGCTTGCATCAGCGTCTCGCGGAACATTGTCCACATTGGTATCGAGATCCGCAAGCAAAACGTGTTGGCCGGGCCATACTGGTTCATGCTATTCACCGAGTTCTTTGCCATTCTATCTTTAGTGTTCTATTCTATAGAGAACCCCGAGAAGATCGGTTCCGCGGAGGTGTTGGAAGATGCTATCGCAGGCAGAGACATGGTTGCCAAACTGCAGTCTAAGAGTCAGGCAGCCGACAGGGTCACCGAGGCCCTCAACGTAAGTTATTGCCCCCAACCGGCGTCTGGGCAAACGTGTGCTAAAGTACGCAGATCTTGTTCGAACAGTTGCCTGAGAGGCTCCAGGAAGCCAAGGCTAGGCCGATCCCCACCAAGAAGCGGTCGGCACCTGGGCAGAAGGCCAGCTCAGTGCCCATACACGGGCATCCGGCCCTGCAGCCGGGCACCGGCCAACGCCGATCCGAAGAACTAAGCCAACCACCGAGCGTGGTGATGGCTAACGGACGCATGCCTCAGCCGCCACTCCGCACCTCGTTCGACGGTGTGCCAATCTCAGAATCAGGGTACCAGGACCCGGCCCTCGCGAGCAACATCCAGGACCTGCTCGGCATGGACATGTCTTCGCGAGCGACCCCCGACTCGGTGAGCACCTCGGCGAGCTCGAACCGGCCGCCGCAGGGTTTCCCGCCGCCACATAGCATGAACCACATCAGCAAGCTCGACTCGCTGATGTTTCCGTCGGAGGATCCTTTCGCCTACCCTAACCAACCCATGATGGAGTTAGGCTTCCAAAAGGGACCCGGGCCGAACAATGTGAGCGGCCCGCAGGATGCGTCCACGTTTATGATGCCCGGTGCATTCGACGACATCGACACCCAGCTTCTTGGCCAGTCGCCCGCATACTTTTTGCAAGGACAGGGCCAGCAGCAGCAGCAACAGCAGCAACCCGGATATGACCTCTCAAGCATATATCAGCACTCGGGATACCAGGGCATGCCCGACGCCGCGAGACTCGACCACGCACGCCGGGTACACATGCAGCAACGGCCTGGAGAGATCGACCGGATGCTCGCAGAGACGGGCTACCAAGGCAACTGGGCGGGGATGCTCGCCAGGAACGGATTTCAGGGTCTATAGGCACATTTCGCTTCAAGTGATACCCAGCATTTATTTGGAGCCCTGCGAGTCCAGGGTGCGATCTATTTTGGGGGTTTAAAGATTAAAGAGAAAAGGACAGACGGTCGTACCGGTTTAGGCGTTACGGTCGTTCCTGATGGAGATTTTCAAGTTTACATGGCATCGTGGCCGGTTTGGGGAGGCTTACACGAGCCCGGGTCTACCTTCGAGTCGTCTGCGCACGGCGCCATGCGTCGACGAACACGTGCATATTGTATTTAGTTATCATGGCAGCTAGCACATTTGCCAATTGGATATAGGATTACCAACATAAAGCCGCGCGGGACACGGGGGCTTGATGGTGGGGTTGAGATTAATGAAGGCATAACAAAAGTGCTCCAGGGACCAAGGTCGCGACACCCACTTGCAACACAAACGACCCCGAGGGTGCAGCCACCATCGAATGGAGTGCAGGTCGCAGCGCATTGCAGCGGCGTGCATGGCGGCGGCGTGCAGGACCGAAGGGCAGGGGAGGGTCGGTATCCGTAGGGCATGGCGCGATGGACGGGCTGCGGGGCGACGGGCGGCGTCAGCTCCAAGCTTCCAAGGCGCGAAGGACGACGGTGAGGTTTGGAGAGGGGAGGGGGTGAGAGGATCTAGGGATCATCGAGTCCTGGATGGGAAAAGAGATCGTGTGGGAACGAACGACGGGGCTGGTGCGAAAATGTTGTCTGGCATTCATTCTGGCCCTCAATTGGACTCCTGGATGCTGCTGTCATGACTGACCGAAGCGGTCATCTTGTACCGCACAGCAGCGCCCATCAACGCCGGCGTACGGTGTAGTCTTGCGGCGGACACGGTAGACGGGGCCTGTCTAGTGGTACTCCAACCGTTGCGGTCGAGTCTCTCCTGGCGAACAAGCGGTGGTGGAGAGTGGGGAGCACGACCAGGGGTAAGGGCCTGATGGAAGTATGTCGGAAAACCCCATACCGAATGAGGCTTTCAACGCGAGTTGATTGGATCTCGGCTCATTTTTTTTTTGTCCTCGACAGACTGTACAGTACCTAAACTAATCGTACCTGCTCCGATCCACAGGGGACGGAGGCTCCCCAGCGACCCCACATTGGAGGAGACACTAAGAACGACAGGGTTTGATGGGTATCTCCGCTAAATCCTTATCAGACTCTCGTTGCGGGGCCTGCCTCCCCGAAGCCGCCCCAAAAGAGAAGGCTCATGTGCCTACATGCTCGGCCGTTTCGGCACCGAGGGAAGCCCCATTTCTTTGGAGCCAGGCACTACCTATGGTACTAGGTATGTGTCTCGCGCGGCAAAGAAGGCCAGGTCGATTGCCGGACTACTAGGCAGCCGTCCTATCACGACATAACCGTCTGTCAGAGGCAAAAGCACCACTCGTTCCCCCCTTCTCCAGCCCTCCGTACTGCTGCTGCTGCTACTGCTACTCCGTACCTTCGGAGGCACCGAAGAAGTGGAGCCCTGCGCTAGACGGGCCACCACCGGACGCACGCACATTGTGACCTTTTGGTTGACTGGAGCCCATCAGAGAACGCCAACTGGACGTCATACTCAGCGCGTTCCGCCCCCTCTTCACACACCTCTTGTCCCGCCCTCCACCGGTCTCGTCTCTCCCCATCGCCAACCAAACAAAACACCCGCATCCGCGAGGCACGTGCGAAACCCGCGACTTGTGGCATCTGAATCTGGTGCGGTCCTTGTCCGAAAAGCCTTGGCCTGCTCACCAAACCCGCCACGCCACGCAAGCGCCGCCCCCCGTCCGAGCCGCATCGCATCTCCAATTGGACCCGTGCCTGTTAGCCGCAGACGGACGACGACCTTGCTTGCCGTGCTGCGGGACACCAAGGCCCTCAATACAGAGTTACTGGAGAGCAACGTCAGACCGCCAAATCCATCCTAGCCCCCGACTATCGACGGCCACCCTCCGGAAACCGCGTGAACCATGGAGAGTGTCGTTGATCATGATGTCGTCGAGGTGGACGAGTTTGATGCTCTGTAGGTGGAGGCCGTTGCGTGTCTCTTCAAGGGGTGAACCTGCTTCATGGCACGGAACCGAACACGGCGCTTCCGATGCCAGTTGCAGTCGCCCCTCCAGTTCCGCATCGTTTACTAATGTTTGTGTACCGCAAGGTCCATCGAGGTGAAGACGGCGGCTGGACCGGTTGAGTCGGTTGTGTCGCTTGCGCCTATCCCGACCAGATTTCCCGGTATGCATTCGCACTGTCCTTTATGTGTCACCTTGATGTCGCTCCATGATGTGGATCGTGTTGATGATGTGAGAACGGCGGCCTTTGTGATACCGTTGATCATGAGTGTGTTACTGTGAGGGGCGGAGTGCTGACTTGACAAGCCAAGCTCCACGCCCGCAAGGTCGCCGCGGAGCTCAACGCCAGCGATGGCCTCGTCTTCCTGCCCGGAGAGCCGAGCCGCAGCTATGAGGATTCGGACATGGGCCCGGCCTTTAGGCAGCGGCGATAGTACGTCCCGAGCTCACGAGCTGCCCGGCGGTCACTGACGAGTAAACAGCTTCTACTACCTGAGCGGCGCCAACTTCGCCGACTGCGCCGTGACTTACGAGCTCGCCTCGGACCGCCTCATCCTCTGGGTCCCCTACGTTGAGCCGCGCCAGGTGCTCTGGTTCGGCTCGACGCCTGGCATCTCGGAATGCCTGAAGCAGTTCGATGTCGACGACGTGCGCTATACGACCCAGCTCAACAAATTCCTGTACCGGCACCTCGCGCCCGGCTCTACGCTGTACGTCATCCACGCTGACCAGGTGCCGCTCCACGGCGACTTCTTCCAGTCCGCCGCCGAGGTGCGCATCGACGTTACCTCGCTGCAGCCGGCCATGGACCAGGCGCGTGTCGTCAAGACGGACTACGAAGTCGCCATGATCCGTAAGGCCACGGCCGTCTCGGCGGCGGCGCACCGGCGGGTCGCCGAGAAGCTGCTGAGGCTGGAGAACGAGAGCGAGATCGAGGCCATCTTCCAGGCGTGGTGCACAACCTCGGGTGCGAGGGAGCAGTCGTACGCCATCATTGCCGGCAGCGGCAAGAACGCGAGCACGCTGCACTACGACGCCAACAACGAGCCGCTCGAAGGGAGAGAGCTAGTAGTATTCGACGCCGGCTGCGAGTGGCACTGCTACGCGAGCGACATCACCCGCACGCTGCCCATCTCGGGCAAGTTCTCGGCCGAGGCCAAGGCAGTGTACGACATCGTGGCCAGGATGCAAGACGAGTGCATCTCCTTCATCCGCCCTGGTACCCTGTTCTTCGACCTGCACGTCCACGCGAGCAGGGTTGCGCAGCAAGGGCTGCTAAAGCTGGGCATCCTCAAGGGCGACCCCGCCGAGATCTGGGACGCGGGGACCGTTGCTGCGTTCTTCCCGCACGGCCTGGGACACCACGTCGGACTGGAGGTCCACGACGTCTCGGGGCGGGAGAGACTGTTGCTGTTGAACAACATCATGGGTGGTCAGGGGGGACGCGTTGGCAAAAGGGAGGTGATTACTCCCGAGATGCTGAGCACCATGGAGCAGGCTGCTGCGGCGGGTGCGGTGGCGGCGGCGCCGCCGTACAAGGGTCGGCAGTATCTGCGGAAGAACATGATTGTGACGGTCGAGCCTGGCATGTGAGTAGCCGATCTTCCCCTTTTCTCCCCTTTTGACATTCTCTTTCGGTCCTCCAACGCCCAGCGGTGGACGGAGCAGAGTCGAATCTGCGGCCAGACAGCTGACAAATCGTGACAACCGACAGCTACTTCTGCCGTGAGTACATTGAGGGCTACTTCCTCAGCAATCCCAGGCATGCGCGCTTCATCAACAAGACGGTGCTGGAGCGGTACTACCGCATCGGCGGCGTGCGCATCGAGGACGATATCTTGGTGACGGACGACGGGTACGAGAACCTCTCGACGGGTGCGCCCAAGGGCGAGGAGCTGTTGAGAGTCATCAACGGCAGGGCGTAGTCGCGCGCAAGAGGAATGTTTCGTGGATTGGGCGGCGTGAGCTCCTTGGGGCGGCTAGATTTGTGAAGCATGGGACGTTGGTTCGTCACGTGTCCATGTTGGTTGTAGACGTGTCGATGTTTGCGTCACGATTTGATTCTTGCTATAACTTGGAGAACGAAAGCGATCTGGACAATGACTTTGCCTGTGTTCTTTGGCCCGGCTACTCCTTCGCTGTCGTTGGCCGTGATTATGTCAACACTCGTTCTAAAGTGGGAATGTGGGAGCGCGAGGCCTATAATTTCAGAATTACCCAACCCTTGCTCTGGAATCCAAGGCTAGCAAACTTTTGGAAGGGCCGGAGCGCCTCGATGTCGCCACGCACCAAAGCAGAAAGCGTGCTCAAGTGTCGTCCCTTGCTTGCGGCGGCTCCCTCTGATGAATGGCGTCTTGAGTATCCAAGGACGGTCGGCGATGAGGAATTGACCGTGGCCCTTGGCATGCGAGCGGAGCGGATCCCGGGGTTTGCAGTGCCTGAGTGCCTCGTCTTCAATCCATTGAGACCGTTGAGGTAATGAGGGTATATGACCACAACGGTTCCGTGACGGACTAGGTTGCTTGGCCTCGGCGGAAACAGAACCTGTGTATGTTCCTCTCACAGTGGCTACCTTCACAGAAAGAGGCATGTGCTCGACGAGTACTATGACCACCCGGCCTCTTGTGAAGTGCCGAGGCTGAATCCAAGCGGCATGCTCCTCATCCTACAACGACCGTTCACACGAGCGTAGCCCAGGCTAGAGGGCAGAAGCCCAGAGTCATCCGGGCCTTATCTCACAACACGTCAGTCTGTAACAGAGCAAGACGATACAAAGGCAAGAGCCGCGCTCGCCGCTATTCCGAGGAGCACAACGTTGCGCAGAGGCATGCCGGGCCACACCAACCCCAGCCCCCAGACCCCGAGTCTGAACAGCGGCCTCCCTTTGATCGTCAGTTTCTGCCTCGAGGAAGTGCTCGCCCATTCGGGCTCGCCCGACTACGCTACCGACGTCGCGGACGACTCTGATAGTCGAACTGGTGACGGCCTTTTGCGCTGGGACAGAATGAACAGGTACGACCTTTAGGTGCTGGCGGGGCCAGGGCCGGTTGACCTCTGAGCGGGAAGACGACAAGTGAGGATAGCCGGCCTCACTGGCCGTGCCTTAAGCAGAGTCACGGTGCTGTTTAGCGGATCGTCTGCCGGGCGGATGCGACGAATTTTCACAAGTCGCCGTGGCAAGTCACCAGAACACATGGTTAGGACCTTGGTTGAACTTTAAAACATTTTTCGCTTCAATCTTCTACTTGGACGTCCAGCACGAACTCATCCTCCACCCCGACGCTGACCGCAGTCCCTGCGTGTGCTCTTTCGTCTTGTGTTACGCCACGCTTCCAATCGTACAAGAGCCATGACGGCCTATCAGCAGATTCAACGCTTCCCCAGTGCAGCCGGCTCACCGCTCCTCGAGCCTAGGTAAATACAGCGTGCACGGTTTATACAAGACGGCCTCCTCACGCGTTATCTTACTCAGTGAGCACCTCCTTACCATCGACACCCTCTACAGGTACTTCTTGGGCATCGAGTTCTTCCTCCTCTTGTACAGAAGGTAGCCGACGACGAGGACAACCTGAGACCCGACAATGACGGCGATGAGCTTGCCGTGGCCGGGGGTGGCCTTGACGATGTTGGACGACAGCGTGGCGTGGTGGTCGCTCATGTAGCCCTTGAGGGAGTGCTCCGTGTTCTTCATTTGCAGGTTCAGGTCGGTGCGCATGGCGCGGATCTCGCGCTCGAGGCCGTTGATGCGGCCCTCTAGGTCGTTGATCTTCTCAAGCTTGCGCAGCTCCTGGCGCAGCGAGTCGAGGATCTGCGACGTCTCGGCGTGGTTGTTTTCGGCATACTGGCCGTGCTGGTTGACGGCGCGGAAGACGGTGCCGATCTGGTGGTTGACCGACTGCAGGCGGTTGTGCAGGTCGGCAAACTGCGCCCGCGACGACGTGATGGAGTCGGCGCTGGCGTCGGGGATGGCGTTCAAGTCAATTGGGTCGGCGTCGCCGCTGCGCGGGTTGGTGTTGCTCGGCTGGCCCTGGTTGGACTTTTGCTCGTGTGCCTGCTGCTGCTGCTGCTGGTTCTGCTGCTGGGTCTTTTGCTGCTGGGTCTGCTGGTGACCGTTGTTGCCACCTTGCAGGCTGTCGGACATGACAACCAGCTTGAAGATCTCGAACGAGTCGGGATTGTCGGCGCTCGCGGCAGTGATACCAAAGGTGTAGCCCGGAGGAATCTTAAGCTTGTCGGTCTCGAAGCACAGGCGGCCGTCGATCTCGACCTTGAAGACGCGGTCAGTCTGGCGCAGCTTGACCTGGCTGGGACGGCCAAGGTTGCGGTAGTGATATTGGCAGTGGCCGAAGGCGAGAGCGCTAATATCGCTCTGGGCCTTGAAGTCGTGAGAGCGGTCGTTCAAGAAGCCGCGCACCATGCCACCGGTGCCGCCGTGCCCGTCGATGACGAGGACAAGGCCTTCAAAGCGGGGCGCCGTATAGGCGGAGCTCATGCCAACGTCGGCAGAGCCCCCGTTGGTGAGCCAGATGTTGAGGTTGCCGCCTGCGCGCTCGGGGCCGTTGGCTCGGAAGTCGATATCGGCGATGAAGTTACTGTGCGTCACCTTCTGGGTACTCCAGATGGAGCCGCGCTGGTTCCCGGGCGCGACTGGTGTGAGTATGATTTTGTTGGAGAGGACCTCAGGCTGGTTCGGTTGGCCCTGGAGGACGAAGTTGGGGACGTGGCCGTCATTGTTGGGTGATATGCTGCTGTTGTTAGCCAGAGCTCACAGGTGGGTTGGCGCACGAAAAGCAAAGCAGCTTACCTGCCGGTGTATCCAAAACTGAGCTCGTTGATGAGGTATTGGGCTTGCGTCAGGCTCGCGCTGAGCAAGAAGGCGAGCGTCGAGCTCAGGGGAGCTTGCGACACACGCATCGTGACTGGGTTCGAGGCAGCGCGGTAGCTACCTTTTGGAGAGAGGGATGGGTATCAATTGCGGTAACGAAGCCGGCCGTATTGCCCACAAGGTCGATGAATTTGTATATTATAAAACAACAAGCAAGGTCCTGCAATGCGGGCAGAATGGAAAAAAATAATTGCAGACAACGTCGGGATACAAAAATGCGTGGGCGCGAGATGGTTGGAAACCCGCCAAGTACGAGAGTCTCCAAACAGGGGTTGATGGTGTGTGTCTGTGGGTTGAGGACAGGTTGGCACTAAAAAAGCGTCAAAAACTGCAGCTACAGCTCCTTTGCTCTTGGGCCGCCAACTGCCCTTTCTGGAAGCTGTTTTACGGCGTTACCTCCCGAAAACGAGCCGAGGAAATTGGCAGGAAACAATGGATTAGAAGAACAATGGGCCACCAGGACCGGCGTAGGGGCTTCTAGGCGTATCTCAGGAGGCTCGTGGGGTCTCGTGATCATGGATTCCAAACGTGAAGCTTAGGTTTTGCTTCGCTGTCTTGGAACGGACCCAGAGCCGTTGGCTGGAGACCTTCACGAAATAAAAGGGAGCCCGGTCCACCAACAGCCTGGAACAGCATGGCCCGAGCTGGAATGGGAAGGGATCCGGAGACTCACCGCTGCGCAGTTCCTTGCATCGAAGCCGTAGTGTAGCGGGGGAGCTTCTCAGCTTCTATTGTGGCTGGCTACATCGTGGCTTCCCCCAGCAAACGCCACAGGAACGAGTTCAAGGGTCTTTCCTCCCGTCGCGTCTCCAACGTCGGCATCGGCGCTGGTTTCACCGCGATTTCTGCACGGACCCACCGACGTCAACCCCTGGCTCCTTCTCCAAAAATCCAAGCTGCAGCTCTATGAGCAGGACCCCTGACGAAAGTGAAGGTGGCCTGTGATTTTCCTTCCACCAAGCAACCGAGCATCCGACTGAAGCTCTCACGGCACCGCCCAGTTCAATGCGGACGTCCCCTTAATCGGACCTCGAACGCGCCACAATGGCCGAATCGTATCCGACCCTCACTCAGTGTGCGCTTGTCGCCGGCGCACTCAAAGTCCTCCTCTTCCCGGCCTAGTAGGTGGACCGCCGACGCCCCCAAACCGAGAACCGCCGCAACTGACACGTTGCGCAGCAAATCCACCGACTTTGAAGTCCACCGAAACTGGCTCGCCATCACCAATAGCCTCCCCGTGTCCGAGTGGTACTATGAGAAGACGTCAGAATGGACTCTCGACTACCCCCCCTTCTTCGCCTACTTCGAATGGGTCATGTCCCAGGTCGCAAAGCTGGTCGACCCGGCCATGGTCAAGGTCTACAACTTGGAATACGATAGCTGGCAGACGGTGTACTTTCAGCGATGGACCGTTATCATCTCCGAGCTGGTCCTCGTCTATGCGCTTCAGAGGTGGGTGCCATTACATGGATGTGGCACAGGAGGGACGCTGATGGCTTAGGTTTATCGACTCTGCTACGGGCGCAACAAGACGAGCTGCCCAAGCTGCTGCAATCTCCATCCTTCTCTCGCCCGGCCTCCTCATCATTGATCACATCCACTTCCAGTATAACGGAGCCATGTACGGGGTACTCATCCTGTCCCTCGTCCTTGCCAGGACCAAGTCGGGCCTGCTAGCCAGTGGGTTGCTGTTTGCGGCGCTGCTGTGCATGAAGCACATCTACCTGTACTTGGCACCGGCCTACTTCGTTTTCTTGCTTCGCGCATACTGCCTGTCGCCCAAGTCCATCTTCAGGATTCAGTTCTTCAACTGTGTCAAGCTGGGCGGCGGCATCGCGGCCATCTTTGGCGTTGCGTTTGGCCCCTTCATTGCCATGGACCAGATCCCCCAGATGATCAGCCGACTGTTCCCCTTCTCGCGTGGTCTCTGCCACGCCTACTGGGCCCCGAATGTCTGGGCGCTCTACTCCTTTGCGGACCGTCTTCTTATTTACGGTAGGTTTTCAATCGCCCGTGTGGACGATACAGGCTGACAGCCCCCAGTTGCACCCCGTTTCAACCTTCCGGTCAAGGCCGAAGCGATCAACAGCGTGACCAGGGGACTTGTGGGAGACACGGCCTTTGCGGTCCTGCCCGAGATCAGCCCGCGCACCTGCTTTGCCCTGACGCTTTTCTTCCAGGCTTTGCCCTTGGTCAAGCTGTTCTTCCAAGCGCCGCCCACTTGGGATGCCTTCATCGGAGCAGTCACGCTGTGCGGCTACGCGTCGTTCCTCTTCGGATGGCATGTCCATGAAAAGGCGATTCTGCTGGTCATCCTCCCGTTCAGTCTCATCGCACTCAAGGACCGACGCTACCTGAGCGCTTTCCGACCTCTGGCCGTAGCCGGGCACGTCTCTCTCTTCCCTCTGTTGTTCACGTCGGCAGAGTTCCCAATCAAAACGGTGTACACCGTCTTCTGGCTGATCCTGTTCCTCGTGGTGTTTGACCGCTTGGCGCCGGCCTCGCGGAAGGCGAGATTCTTCCTGCTCGACAGGTTTAGCACGTTCTACATCGCAATCAGCATCCCGCTGATCTTTTACTGCTCGCTACTTCACCAAATCATCTTCGGGAAGCGGTACGAATTTCTCCCCCTCATGTTCACCAGCTCTTACTGCGCGGTGGGGGTGGTTGGCAGCTGGATCGGGTTCATGGTGGTGTATTTTACATCATAAAAAGCAATCTCTGGGCAATCGCTGGAGCGAAGATACTGTAATTAGCTTTGAAATAAACCAAAATCAAGACAAAGACCATGCCGTGGCCGAAACTTTTGCGTGCCAGTGAAGGACCACCAGTTGGCGGAAGTCTAAAAGAGACGCTTGGTCCCGTGGGGGCCCTGGCGGCAAGAGCCAATTAAAGGTCGCGACTCACGTGCCTGGAGGCTGACAGCAGCACCGACTCCACCACAAGTACCAGGAGAGATACTACATTTTGGAGCTAACGGCAGAGCAGGGGGCCGGGGGTCGTGGGCCACTTGGACACAACCCATTGTCTGCCGAGGACAAACGGAAGAGCAAAACAGGCGCATACCAAGCACAGTTTGAGCCATGCACTGTCACAATTGACCAGAAAGACAGCCGTAGAAGGCGTATATGAGGAAATGACTTACACGGAGCCCGGAGACCCGGAGTGGCCGTGACCGGCGACCCGGGGTTGATATCACGACGTATCTGCTTCCATGGTTGTCGGAGATACTTTCAAGAAATCAAAATGGAACGGAGAAGCAGCAAAAATCCTCCTGGACATTTTAAATCACCTCTAAAGGTGATATGGCGGCGAAACGGTGCCCATCCGGAGCTGGTCCCGAGGAGGCGAGTGTCGAAAAACGACCTACCGAAAGAGGCCGGACGCAGCACAAGACGTATTCCGATGTAAAACGATCAAATCAATGTCTCCCTGGTTGATTTAGTGCTCAATCGAGAGCCCTGGCCGTGGCGAGCTCAACGAGTACAAAGTCGCGGGTGGTCGACGCGGTTGTGGGATTCCCGAGTTGGACGGAGTCGTGGCGGGTGGAGGAGGGTGAGGAGGCCTGCGCAGCGCCTGGGAGATGGGATGCGGAGGCACCGTGGGCCGAACGGGCCAAGCGGGCCAGGACCGCTTTTCACTGGCGCCCTTCCTCTTTTTCCCTTTTCCCTTCCTCCCCAAAGCTCACCACTTCTTGTTTTTTTCCCCTCGACGTTTCACCCACGACTCGCAGGCTTCGCGTTTCCCCCATTCGCCCGCGACCACAACCACGAACATCAATATCGCCATTTGCACCCCCATCAACCGTGCCCGACACGTCTTCTGCGAGCCGTACCGCGTCCGCGAGTCTCGCGTGTAAGTGCACCGCCGACCCGTCCTCCCCTGCCCGACACCACGACCGCGACTCCGCTCTCTCCGGCCGCGACCACAACAACGATCCAGGACCACCACAACGCGCTTGACTCGACTGGTCAATGTTACTCGCGGTTCTCTAGCAACATCTATATTGGCTAAGACAAGGACGGCTGGATTTCAGCCCGCTGCGCATTCGGACCTCGACTCAGGACCATGCCATTGTAGCCCACCGCCACCATGGTACGACCTTCCTACGCGCTTCCAAAGGTCGCCGAGCACTGACGTAGGCCATAGGTTCTTTTCAAGCGCAAACCGGTGCAGTTATTGCCTCCCAAGGACGTCAAGGATGACAATGCAGAGGTTCGCGAAGTGACATTTATAAACGATGCGACGAGTACTGATGCAGGCCCTCAGGTCTGGCACATCCCACAGACCGGTGAGGTCTTTGCCCACTATGAGGACTACCTCAACAGGTGAGACGGCCTTTCCCCTCCCTCCGTGTCTCTATAGGCGCTCGTGCTAACTTGGTGCAGAATGGATTTCTACAAACAGGTATGTCCCCAGTAAAGTGGGGCTACGGGCCAAGACTGACTCCAGCGCGTAGCGGCGGTTCATCTGCCAGATCACAGGGCACTCAGGCCTGACGTTTTTCGAAGCCCTCAAGAGCGAGGTCAGTTTCGACAGTTCCAGTTTCGCGTAATTCGCTAATTCTGGTGCAGCTTGCTGGCGCTGAAGAGGTCGAGCAAGCATTCCCCGAAGCCCTCAAGGGCCCGGTTCTGCGTCGCGTCCAGTTCCAAACGGTCTCTCGAATCGATGCGCTCGTCGATATGGTGTTTGAGGAGTTCAGGGCTGATTACTACCCCGGCGAGGCTGTAACGGTCAGCACGGCAGACGGTGAACGGCTGCAGGGAGTTGTTCGAGAAAAGACTCGGTTCGGCGGCAAAGTGCTGCCTGACGGCACGCAGACCGCTCCCTACACGCGATACACGGTCAGCCTCGAGGATCGGCCTGGCGTTGAGGCCGTGGTCGACGACGACCACATCTTCCGCGATCGCAAGATCTTCACAAAGTCGGTTCTGCGGTCGTTCATCAAGAAAACGGTGACGCGCGAAGCCTGGAACGGCGCGCCGTGGCTCGTGAAGCACGACGTCGCGTCACAATATCACATCGACTCACGGATCCCGCCTCACCTGCGATACGATACCAAGTTAATGGAGCGAAAGCAGCTGCAAGCGCAAAAGCGAGCCAGCCACACCCCAACGCAAGACGCCCAAGGGACGAACGGCGTCAACGGTGCTATGCAGAACGGCCCCGCGCGATTGCCCGAGTTGAAGCCCGCGCCGAAGAATCAGAAGGGCAAGCATCAGTCGCCAGAGTTCCCGCAGGGTCAGAACGGATCGCCAGGCATGCTTGGAGGTCCTGAGGCCGGCATCTTCCATGCGCCGCCGCACAAGAATCCCTTCCAGCTGCCGCTCAACTTCCGGAACCAACCCCTTCCGCATTCGATGACTGCGCCCGAGCCTCCACCACCCCCACCTCCTCCCAAGTACCCCATCGAGGACCTCCAGGTGCCGTTAAGGGAGGGCGTCGTCAGACCGCCGTTAGCATTCCTTTGCAAGGACTCTCCAACCAGCTCTGACGTCGCTGTGAATGGTAGTGCTGGCTTACGCGACAAGCTGTCGATGAAGTCGGTCGGCTCGTTTTTGGAGACCTGGGATACGCTGAACGTGTACTGTGAAATTTTCAAGCTCGATTCCTTCACGTTTGACGACTTTGTCGAGGCCATGTGTGTTGCATCTGAGGACACGACCGTCCAGATGTTCGAGGAGATTCACTGTGCGGTTCTGAAGCAGATCGTCAGCGCCGAAGCGGACGGCGGCAAAGTGAATGTCCAGCTGCCCGAGCTGGACGACGAGGAGGAGGATTCCGAGGAGGAGGACGAGGAAGAGGAGACTAAGGAGCCGACCCCTGAGAACGATCGCCCTCCTGCGAGGGCCACTCGAAGCAGCCTCGCTAAAGCCGAGGCCGAGAGGTTACTTGCGGAGGCGAGGGCCGCCGAGAAGGAGAGCCAAAATGTGGAGCCCGAAATCAAGCACCGCGCCGAGGACTTGCTCGAAGACTACGACTGGATCGAGGAGCTCCGAAAGCGCAACTTTCAGAATGGCGGTTGGGAACGCATCATGGTCGGCCTGCTGCACCAGCTGTCAAAGAACGAGCGACTCGAGGAGCGGTGCGAAGACCTGCTCGCGCAGCTGTGCCCTCCGGATGTGGATCCCACACAGGATACCGTGCGGGAACACTACGCCAACCTCGATGTCAACTACCGGGTGCAGGCGCTGCAGATCGCCTGTATGCTCACGACGCAAACCAAGGCCATGCGCACCTACATGGAGGAGTGCAGCGAGCAGATGACGGCGTTCCGCAAGGAGAAGATCGACTGGCAACGCCAGAGGAAGCAGGCGTAAGCGACCCCGACCGTCGTGAGAAGACAAGTACTGACATTTCACAGGATCGAGGAACTGCGTGCCCTCAACGACCAACGCAAGATTTTGCTTCCTGAAAACATGCCACCATCGCCACCTCCCGAGCAGAAGGTGGATGAAGACATCAAGATGACCGACGCAGACGAGTCGGCAGCGGACGCTGAAGACGAGGTGCTTGACTCGGACGAAGAGGGCGCTCCGCGCAGGAATTTCCGACGCGCCAACGACCGCGCCGCAGAGAGGCAGCGGAAGCGCAAGGAGGAGAAGGAGCGGAAAGAGAAGGCCGCCGAAGCCGCCAAGGTGCCCAAGCAGTCGAAGCAGTTTCTGAAGGTCCTAAAGGATATCCAGAAGAAGGAGGACCTCATCAAGAAGTGCGAGGAGGAGATTGCGGTTATTGACAACGACTTGCGCGAGGCCGACTGTGGGCGCACGCGCGTGCTGGGCAAGGATCGCTTCTGGAACCGGTACTATTGGTTCGAGCGCAATGGCATGCCATACGGGGGTCTTCCCGACAGCTCGACCGCCGAGGCCGAGTACGCCAACGGGTGCATATGGGTACAGGGCCCCGATGAGCTGGAGCGTGAGGGCTACATCGATACCGACCCCGAGTACCAGGCCGAGTACAAGAGCAAGTTCGACATGACGGTGCCCGAGCGGAAGAAGCTGGAAGAGGGTGCCACCAGCGTTTTCAACGCTCACCAGTGGGGCTACTACAGCGAGCCAGAGCAGGTTGACGAGCTGCTCAAGTGGCTGGATCCCCGCGGCTTCAACGAACTGCGGTTGAGGAAGGAGATTGTCGCCTTCAGGGACAAGATTGTACAGCATATGGAGAACCGGAAAAAGTACCTTGCCGCCGCGGAGCCGGAGGAGCCGGAAGAGAAGGAAGAGAAGAAGGACAAGAGGCGGGACTCGAAGCGGATGAGCACGAGAGGCCGCCACCACGAGCCAACGCCCGAGCCCACAAACTACCGCTGCCTCGCGTGGGAAAACACCACTGCGATGGAGGAGCTCGGCCACCTCCACTCGGAGCCGCCGCCGCCGCCGCGTCCCAAGAAGCAGACGGCCAAGAAGAGGCAGGCCGTCGAGCCGTCGCCCGAGCCCGCGCCCGCGCCAAAGACGAGGCGTCGCAAGTAACGTACAAATATTCCGAACGAGGGCTGCACATGGCAGCCCGTGTTCACTGTAATTACAAATATTTGCGCATGACGATATAAGAAAACACCTGGTGCGGTACGAGCCGCCTAGATAGACTTGGGTGGAGTTTGAACTGAACGGGTTTATTTGTTGAGGTTCGGTAGAAGACAAGCGGTGTTCTGGCAAATGAAAAGAAGAAAATGGTCACTCCACACACGATAACGGAGGAGACGATCTCGCTTTTTCGCAGCATGGCTGGCGATGGTTTTCAAGCATTGGGTGGTTCTGGGCGGCGGCGTGCGGTCTGCATATTAGCTACATGGACTATGATTATAGACTCTCCAAAAGAAACATTCGATGGCTAGTGGGTTCGTCTGGTTGCCACGAGCTTGCAGCCGCCACTGAATCACTGAACGTGCGTGCCAAACTCTTCCCTCGATATCCAGTACAGTTCCTGACGTCCCGTTCAGTCGAAGATGCGTCGTATCGAGGGCTCAGCTTCCTCTGGGATACGCGCGGTCACTGCCGAGGTCAAAGTCCATTGCTGTGTCACCAGAGGCAGCCAGCCAGCCAAGTCGTTCGACATCCCAATCGTAACCACAGTACATCGACACACTTACACGCCCTGCCGCTCCGCTGCGACACGATATTCTCTCGCCACCCCCATCGAAATGCAGATACTCGTCTGCAGTATTGGACGAAGTGTCAGCCAGGTGAGCCATCTTTTGACCTACCCTCTGAGGGACGTCGTCTTGAGACACGATACAGCGTGGATGCCAACCGCCGACGTTCGAACCATCGCCTAAAACCTTAATAACTGGCTTTCCTAGTATAGTACAGTTAACCGCTTCTCCATGGGGTAGAAGTGGGTATATTGTATCAAGTTCTTGGAGACGCAGCAGCGTTGGAGAGACTTGGTGCTGTAGAGCTGCTGATTGCGGGGGAGTTTGTGAATGCTTTCAGACTGCCCGCCCACCATCCTCGATGTTAGCATGGTCTTGGCTTCAAGTGCCGATCCGTTTTGAGGGCGAACCCGGGGTAATGTCGGCCGAACAAGCATGCGCTGGCTATGAGACGGAGCCATCAATGGAAGACATCTTCGAAGCGGCGTCAGAGTTACTGGGGCTGGTCCCGGATCCCTGTTGTCTCGGGCTATCATTGCGATGGCCTCATGCGTGGTCTGGGGTGAATCCTTGGCAGCCCGTTCCGTAGAGTGTAGCTTAAAGGTGAACGCATCTTTCCATCCCGCGTCTCATGCCCTTAATGGAGATCAGCAGCAGGAGTCGTCTGCTCTTACCCGTTGTCGCTGCTTCCGTGTTGAATCTCCTTCACTCAGCGCCCCGTCGCTTGACATCTAACCTTACCGAACATGACCACAGAAGACAAAGCAGGCAGAGCCTTTGAGCACGCCGACGATGCAGTCAAAAGCCAGGGTTTGGGCCCCAAACATGCGTCTCTCGACGCCGCTGCCAGGGGACAGGGTGTGTCCGGCTATGAGACCCTGACGTTGTGGGAGACCATGAAGGCCTTCAAGCTGTGCTCTGCCACCTGCTTCGCAGTCTCATTCAGCGCCGCGACGGACGGGTATCAGATCGGGTGACTACAATCGCTACCTTAACCCTTTGGGCACGACTAACACCCTCAGCATCAACGGCAACATTATCGCCAACCCAGGCTTCGTCAAACAGTTCGGTAGCGAACTGACCGCCGCCGGCGAGCCCAACCTCGCCGCCCCGATTCTCAGCGGTTGGAGCTCCATCATGTCCGTCGGCCAGATCATCGGTATGACCACCGTCCCCTTCTTGTCGGACCGCTTCGGCCGCAAGGGTGCCATGTACTGGTATTGGTTCGTGCTATCCATGAGCATCCTCTGCGAGTGTATAGCGAGGACCTGGCCTGTCTGGCTCATCGCGAAGTTGCTTGCCGGCATCGGCGTAGGGTATCTTCAATCCACGGTGCCGACCTACATTGCCGAGGTCGCACCCACGCGCATCCGCGGGGGCCTGCTGCTCGCGTACAACTTCTGGTTCGCGCTAGGGCAGTTCTTCGCGCCCGTGGCACTGCAGGTCATGTCCAAGTACGCCCCCGAGGACTGGCTGACGCCCATCTACACGCAATGGAGCCAGATTGGGCTGATGATCATTATATACGCCCTGGTGCCCGAATCCCCCGCCTGGTGCGTTACACGCGGCAAGCTGGACACAGCCAGGAAGAGCTTGCGCAGACTATACAGAGACGTAGAAGGCTACGACCTTGAGCAACAGCTGCAGCTCCTTGTCATCACCGTCGACCACGAGCTCGAGGTCGCGCGGACGCAGAAAAACGTGCAGTGGTACGCGATATTCAAGGGCGTCGATGGGCGGCGCACCATCACAGCGCTCTGGACGCTCATGACACAGCAGTTTGTGGGGTTAACACTCTTCTCGACGTTTGCGTCGTACTTTTTTAAGCAGGCCGGCATCAAGGACCCCTTCCAAGCGACCTGCATTACGTCCGGCATTAACATCGCCTCGGGTCTAGTCTTGATTCTGCTCGTTGACAAGGTTGGACGCAGATGGATATCGTGTTCCGGGACGACGCTGTCCTGGCTCGCGTGTGTGGCGATCGGCATTCTCGGGGTTGTGCCGAGGCGCGGCCCAACTTTTGTGCTGCTCGTCCTATTTGCTTGTCTTTGGAGTGAGTTGTCTTGATTTATGGATGATGTGCATTACTGACGTGTCGTAGACATCGGCATGACCGCCAACGGAGCGACAGGCTGGGGCTTCATCGGCGAGATCTCTTCCCAGAGGCTCCGGCCCTATACGGCTGGCTTCGGTGCTGCTTCGACAGCTTGCGCAGGAGTTTTTATGAATGTGCTGACTCCCTATAGTAAGTTTGTTCCTCGTCTCGGCAGAGATCAAAACTGACGCTTCTTAGTGGTGGACGGCAACCGCTGGAACTGGGAGCTGCGCACGGCATTCTTCTACGTGGGAGTCGGCTTGTCATTTGTGGTTGTAATGTGGTTCCTGATACCTGAGACTAAGGGGTATGCTCATCACATTCATGACCGTTTGGAGTTGCTGACGTTGAAACAGTCGTTCATCTGCGGAGTTGGACGAGTTGTTCGAGAGCGGGGTTAAGGATTGGAGGTTCCACAAGACCCAGACGGCGACTGAGCGGCTCATCAATGCCAATCAGGTTCAGGAAAGTGCAGAGAAGAGAGGTGTCTAATCGTATGTTTTCAATACATGGTTAAGGGTGTGTCCAGTGTGAGCGAGTAAGAACGACTGACTCCTTCGTCCGGTTCCGAGAACTGTCCCAGGGATTGGCTGCGGTCGTCGCTTCCGCTTTCCCGGTTATTTCATTACGGTAGACAAGATCAGTCTGTAACAGGGCGTTCATCTGAATATATACAGTTGCTGAGCTGCAGTCATTCCATCAGCCAAGTGTCCTGAAGACAGCTGGTGTGATCACTCGAGTCATCATCTGGCAGTTTCCGTGCCCGTATCAAAAGGTTGGCTTTCACTATTTCATTGGTCCAAATGGGGCTTCCTTCTAAATGATGAGTTGATGAAACGTATGAGTTTCGATTGTGGCAGCCAGTGCAGCCGTGCAATTACAAGCACTTGGCCGCTTTCTCCTATGCGCCTTTCGTGTATCAGGGCTGATCGTTGTGGTATTGGCCAGCGCCATGGGACCTTCCATCCACAGGCACATAAGATGCAAAAAAGTGTTGTATGTATTGAGACAAACGGATTTCTTCATGGCAAGGCCGAGGCACTCTCCTTGGTTATCGAAATGCAACGCTATTACCGACGGGCAAGGGCCCGCAGTTCTAGCGATATTGTACTGTCAGAAAGCACACTTTCTTACGAGAATCGAGCCAGTCCCAAACTGATCGGAAGTTTGAAAAGGGATGAACGGACTGCCAGATTCTGTTAAAAGTTTGCCTGTAAGCATCAGTTTAACAGATGCCGTCTCTCAGTGGCGAAGGCTTGGTGATGGCTTCCTCGAAAGACACAATCCCCCACTGACGTCATTGGCTAGAGGACCCCGGTCATGAGGTCTGTGCGGGGAGGATGCGCTAAGCCATCCTCGCTTGTGGCTCCACTTGCCTCGCATTCCCTATTGGGAAACCGAGGAAACATGCTTGGCTGGTCTTCCTCGCCTTAGACGTCCATCCATTCTATCAGCAATCATGTTGGTGGCTTAAACTTGTCTTTATCGCAATCTTCATCAGGGGGTTTCTCTGTTGGCTACGCTGGTTGGCACCTTGGGATCCAGCAGTCTCATTACGACCAGCATCTAGCGACATCCTCTGAAGGAAGGAGGGGGCTCTATCAAACGACACGTATCTAGATCACGAAGTTCTTAGTCTACTCATGCCGGAACACCTCTCATCCTCCCCACCAGGAGCCGAATCTCTGCCCCTGAGGTTCGTCAGCTCTACACACCCCGAACCGAAGAAGAAGGTGGCCCACAAGAAGAGCAGAGGGGGGTGTACATCATGCAAGAAGAGGAAGGTGAAGGTGAGATGCATCCCCTTGGCGACTGGAATCCATCAAGACTCACTGAGATAAGTGCGACGAACTGTACCCCTGCAGCAACTGCCTTAGACGGAACGAAGCATGCGTTGCGTCGCCAAAGCCGTCGAGCCCCGGGGCCGGAGACTCACTCCCAGCTCAGGGGCTGCTTGACACCTCGGGGCCTGTAAACCTCTTGCACATGGAGCTCTTCCACCACTTTCAGCATGCGACCATCCCCACACTCTGCTTTGCAGAGATCTGGCCATCCGTCATGCCGCTGGCATTTAAGGAAGAGTATTTGATGACGGCCATGCTTGCGGTCGCCGCACGGCACCTCAGCATCCTACGACCGCAGGAAACAGCCTACTTGGAAGCGGCGATGGCCCTCTTGTCCCGCAGCTGCGCAATTTTCAGCACCGTGCTTGACCGCAGCGACAAGTACGACCCGCTGTTCTTTACGGCGCAGCTCATTCACTATCTCACGTGGAGTAATCTGGAGTTTCTCAAGGACGAGGGTGTCTCGGACAGCCCTGTGCTGGACCTCTCGTGCGACCAGCTTTTCCTCCTCAGTTCTGGCGTGAGGGTATTTCTGTCGAGATCAAGAGCACAGGGTTCCGACAGTATCTTTGCCAAAATGTGGCAGAACTCCCAGTGTGATGCGCTTGATCTTATTGTCACGGAGCAAGGGATGGACCGTGGAAGCATCGTCGAGGGATTCATGAAGCGTTACGATGAGTTGACACCCGTCGCAAGCCCAAACGGTTCGCTTGCAGAGGTGACTAACACGGCTCCGAACGACATAGAACGTGCATCTTTCCGGGGCATCGTCGATATTTTGTCAGTCATCCTGGCCCTCTGGAACTATCGCGAGACCAGCACTCGGTCGAGTGAGAGATCGGACCTGGAGCGCTACATCCTCGCCTTCCCGCTGTTTTGCTTCGGGCCGTTTCTGGACATGATTGTCGCAAACGACTCGAGGGCTTTGCTTGTGCTGTATCACTTTTACCATACCTCACAGTTGCTTCTGGGGGACAGAGAGACCTGGTGGGCATCAGATCGGATGAAGACTATGTCGCGTTTGATCAAGCAAGAACTGACAAGGCGTCGTCTGGAGACCTCGGTAGTGGGACTGGGTTCATAGATGGTATGCCTTTATCACGTCGGCCTTTCCCATCATAATATTATTGTGATTCACCTCAAGCCGGCATGCCGCAGTGGACGTAGGCAAAGAGGTTAGGAGTGGTCGTTTATTGAGCCTCGTCGCCAGTCCGTGCCGCAGTTCCCTCACCATGAAGATCAGAGTCCTGATGCAAGCTGTATCCAACACGTCCGTCACGTATTCCAAGAACCTCGGAGAGTGCCGAGGGAGATTGCCAGCATACAACCAAAGCCGGCTGCGTGCCGTTCGCTCCACAAACTTGACTCGCACACACCCTGGCTTACATCGGTGGTAACACTGCAACCGATTGTAGCGAAGGGGCATACGGTCAACTTGCTGCACGGGCGTTTGGCGTGACATCGCCGGAGGCTTCCAGTCTTGCGCAACAAGCGTCAGTGAACCAACCCACTTTGCCAGGCCGAAGAAAGACTGGTGCGGCAATGTGACCATGGAATGCTAAAGAATGCTTTTCGCAGTACGGACCAAACAATGCCATCCCTCGTCGAAACCCACATGCCAACCGCCATTAGCAAGGGACGCCGAACCCCTCATCTTGACTTGCCTAGGTCGCGTTATAAATATCCCATGAAAAGACCTCAACACCAAGAATGCAGCGCCGAAGAGCCGGCCCCCACCCCCCTGCTCTCAATGCATTGTTGGTACTTTCTGCATTCATCCCGAATAATTCTGGTGGCTTCAAAGCTCCAAAAGGGGCAGCTGAAAAGAAAGCAAGGGAGCTCTCTCAACACGGTTAGCGCGGGGGCCGTAGCTCGACACCACCGCGACCTGCCGGCCTAAAACTCCCTCCTGAAACTTCGATATGCGATCCACATTCGCGGGGTCCAGACTGATGGCCCTGCGAGTTCGACTTCTTTAGCTTCTGTTAGCTGCAGGCTGTAGTGGCTGGCGGGGACAGCGTTTGCGGCTGCGACGTGGTCAGGTACGAGATGTCGACGTAGCATGCTAATGCGGTAATGTTCATTCTATGGGGTATCAAAACAACCTATAAAAATTTTGGCTTCCCATCACAGTCTAAGCCTACGGCCTGTAGCTCGTCCACAATGTTCTCGTAATAATCCCAGGAGCTCCCAATGCCAATCTAAACGGGCTCTCCGCCTGCTGAACCCTGTTTGGCGATCTCGCCGGTATGTACGGCGGTGGCGGCGACGGACTACGGGCGGACGATACCGTGGGGGACGCCGGCGGGGCCCCCTGGAGGTAATCGCTCAGCTCGTTAGTGTCCATTCCAGGCCTCGTGGCGTCCTGACGTGCGTAGGTGGGCTCTGTTGAAGCCTCCTGGGATGAGACTGTACTGGTCGGTGACAGCGGGCTGACCATCGTGTATTGGTGCGTGGGTGCTTCGTCTCTCCGCGTGCCATTGGAGGACGCCAATTCGGCCAATTCGAGGTCGTCCGAGTCGCTCACTGCGCCAGCTACAGCCCCAAGCAGGCCGTCCGTCTCGTCTAGTATCGCGAGTTCCTCCCGGTTGACGCGGCCCAGATGGGGCAATTCCACCGAACCCTTCAGGTGCGCCCCGAGTCTCATCATGGCGAAGGCGTCCAATGTGTCGGTCCAAGTGGGCAGGCTGTAGATGTAGCAGACGAGCACAACGAGGGCGATGGCTTGCGCGCTGATGAGCAAGCTAATGGCAACTGTTGCCCCAGGGGCGTAGCGAGGCGCGACAAAATTGGTGCCGGTCAAGTTGTAGATGGTCCTCGCCGCGTCGTTCGAAGCGGCGTCTCGAAGAACGGCCGCATTGGAGAGGTACATGCCGACGCCGAGGGTGCTCTTTGCCACCTTTTCAAATTGAAGACCCTGAGCTATCCTGAACAGTGTCTCTGGGAGCTCCTTGAGCGTGCAGCCTTGATAGACTGAGGCAAACCACGAGTCGTATTCGTCGTTCTCGGAGTTATAGGGCAGTTGCCAGGCGCTGAATGGAGCTTCCAAGGCACAGGCTTTGCGCGTGGCATTCTGGATAGTGCTGTTGGAAGCGACGTCGTCTGGCAACTGTTGATCTGGGAAGCTCTGCCTCAAGAAGTCGACAACAACTTGGGGATACGAGCCATTTCCGAAGAGCGCCTCGGCAGTTGATCGCAACGGACCTCGCAGTGAAGTCCAGCCAGCGTACCGGTCACGGTTCCAGTCGTCTTGAGAGCTGTGCAGTGTTAGCCAGAGCTTTTGCGGCGGCTAGTTGTTCCACTCACTCTTTGGTGATGAGGTTACCCAGCCAGTCGTAGTCATGAAAGTGGGCCATGTCCTCATCCGTGGGCCACTCATCGATGAGGTCCGAAGGACGGGACCCTGTGTGCAAGTTGCCAATCTCGAAGAACGCCCGCGTCGTCCTGGCGACGCACTTGATGGTGACGTTCTCAGCTGGCTCCGGCAGAAAGTCCTTCGATTTGGCTGCCTCTGCACTGATTTGCGCGTCGATGAAGAGGATTTCCTCGATATCTTGGCGACGCCTCGGTGGAACGCCGTTGGCCGTGTTCGTATAGCTGCCTGGCATACATGTCCGCAATACAATACCGAAGCCTTCGAGGGATGTTGCGTAGCCATCGCAGCTGGCGGGAAATTCATCGCGGCTCGCAACCTTGCAGTTTGCGAACGAGCTAAGCCGGATGGAGTGCTGCCTGAGCGGACCTGTTGTCGCCCCCGAGGGTACCGCTGATACCCAGAACGAGTCGTTGTACATCTGGTTCTCTCCCGTCGTGAAGCTCCGCTGCGTATCGCCGTCTCGCCATAGGTTCTCTTGGATGTCTGATGAGGTGATGTTGACCATGTCGCTCCTGACAGCCCTGACGACGAACGGGGCGTCTGCTTCCCTGAGTAACACCGGCTCGGCGTCCTTGCTGACTTTCTGGGCATGGTTCCCCACACCGTCGCAGGTCCGATCCCACTTGCTCAGGTGTCTTGAACTGTCGCAGGGATACACCAGGCGGCTAGACACCGGCATCAACACCGCTTGAAGGGGTGGTTGCACGGCAGCTGGTCATGTTAGCCCAGATCAGCGAGAGGCATAGTCCGGCTTACTGAGCAAAAGTAGACAGGTGGCCAGCAGCAAATAAGACGACGACTCGCCGCCCGAGATGAAGGCCGTCCACTTCAGGTCTGAGATGGCAAGCAGTTGTCGGACAGTAAGTGACTGCTGCTTAGACCGTCGCTGCGAGAAGACGACTGCGCCATAGGCCAAAAGTGTCGCAACACATGGCAGAGCAACGACAGCCGCCAGGGTGCCCAGAAACGAAGAGAAGACCAACCACCGGCGGTAGTTATCAAGGTCATGTTGCATGATTATCCCCCAAGGGTCGGAGGTCGTTCGCTGGTTGATGACGCATACGCAGAGCCAGGGAGCCACCAACAACAGAAGATAGGCAGTTAGGATGTAAACGGGCCGCCGAGCGTAACGCAGAGGTTGCCGAGACATGTCGGTCGGCCTAGAAGCCGTATATCTTGGCGGTGGTCGTTCAGTTGAAGTCGGGTTCCTGTGCATCGTGGTTGAACGGACGTTCTTAGGAACCAAAAGAACGAAAGATTGCACCAGGAACTGACGAAAGGAAAAGACAATGGTATTATGGCATAGCGACGATGGCTCGATTGGCTGTTTGGCGCCTTTTTAGTTTGCCGCGAGGCGTTTGCACGGTCGCCAAGGGTTGGCTGACGGCAGCTGACCGCAGGGCGAAAGCTTGCAATCTCCGTGCGAGCCCAGAGGGAGGAATTTGGGTAGGAATGTAGTGATGGGGCGCAAAGCATCCTCCAGGATGACAACCTACCACGAATGTGTTTCTTTGAGAACAATCCACGCGGGAACTGGCATGGCATTTGTGGGCGCCAAAGGAGGCAGTCTGCAAAGGGAGGGATTGCATGGTGTACAATTGCACTGGGGCAAATTATGCGGATATCGTTGTTGCTGAGGAATTGCCCCTCACTCTCCAACGTTAGAAGGATAAGTATCCAATCCGTACGTTTCGTTAAGGGAGACGCGTGTGACGACTTGCTCGTCCTCCATGCGAACCCAAGTCTCGACCGACATTTCGGGGTTGTCGCCCTTTGTGAAGGAGAGCTTGATCATGCGAGCGCCGCGGTTCCACGTGCCGTAGCCGCCGTAGCCCGTGTGCTTCGCGAAACAGAGGAATGGGGCCTCAGCGCCGAGTCCAGCTGCATGGCCCGGCCACGTCGAGCACCACGAGTCGCCGTGGTCGTGTCCGACGTAGACGCTGTGGAGGCCCTCGGCCTCGAGCAGCGCCTCGATGAAGGGCGAGTCCTCGGTGCCCTGACCCTGGATGGCTAGCGGGCTGTCGGCATTCAGTCCCGGGAACTTGGCGGGGTCCAATTCGGACTGCTGGGCTTCGAGAAATACATGCGGCGGAATGTGGACAAAGGCGACGCTCGGAATGACGCGGCCGTGCATCTCCTTGAGCTCGTCGTAGGTATTGGTAAACCATTCGGCGGTCTCGGGGGCAACCCAGTTTGGAATATCGTCCATGTTATCGGAATCTGTCTGATAGCTAGTGCCGCCCCGGCTGTCGAAGAACCACAAGAGCAGCATGGGATCTTTCGAGTCTCCCTCGTAGACAGGGACGTAGTAGTTTGTGATGCCCGGCAGCTTGTCGCCCATAGAGGTCGTGTAGCAAAGGTCGTAACCCTTTTCTGCGCGGAAGAGTTGCTCACGATCCAGGTTGTGTTTGGAGTCGTGGTTTCCGTAGACGGAGGCCCAACGCTGGTTTTCCTGAATAAGTGGCTGCACAATCTGGTCAATGTAATTTGTCGAGTTCTCCTTGTGAGTGTCCTCGCCCGTGATAAGGTCGCCGTTGAGGACGACCAGGTCTGGTTGCTCAGTCTTCATGACCGACTGCATGACTCGGGTGGAGTTGACGTCCTGGTCTATGCCCCAGCCGAATTCCTGCTCGCCAAAGTGCAGGTCGGAGAAGATGGCGATGATGTAGTCGCGTTGGGAGGACACTTTAAGCAACGGTTTGCTTATCGAGGGTTCCGTTAAGGGCCACTTGCCAGGCGAAATCTTGGTAATCATGATGAACATGGCGGCAAAAGAGATGGTGAAGACGAGGATGAGCTGGCATATCCTCTCCAACAGTCGGAACGACGACTGTGGGGGACGCGGCCGAACCGCCTCTTCCAGCTTCGAAGTCGGCATCGTGTGCTTTGGATAATCGCAAGACGCCGGTTGTGGCGTCGGGATCCGAGAAGCACAGCGGGTGTCGAGGACGGGTGCAGAGGGTCGAATGACAAGCAAAGGAGGGAAATTTGGGAGAAACAAAGCCACGCGACAACTTGGGGGACCAGCCAATAAAAGCAAACAAACTTGAATCGGGTACGATGCGTGAAAGAAAGATGATGGGAATTGGATGAAGACGATGTCGGGCAGAAAAGACAGTTGGATTGCTGAAGCTGGTCAGGAGCTTGCTGCTGGGATTCCAAGGGCCAAACAATCCCAAACAGAGCCAAAACGGGCCCACTGTGGCAGATGCCGTTTTTGGCAGGGTGTTCCACAAAGCCCGGGGGCCCAAGCTAACGAGGAAAGACGAGACGAAGAGGCGCAGAAACACCTGCAGATTCCACTGCTCAGTGCAGGCATGACATCGGAACAAACGCTGCAGTTTCCCCGCGCCCAGGGGTTCTCGTCTGTTGTTTCCTGCCGCCTCGCCTCATCCAAAGAGCTGCCAACGGCCGAACATATGGAGACGACCTGGAGAATACAACGTTGAGGAATCGAAGACTCTCAGCGGCTTGCCTGTGTTCAGAAGGGGCCGACTGCAAGCCTTGTCAGAATGTTGCAGCTGTTGCGGGCGGCCCGGGGGAAATCTGCCCGAGTTGACGAAACTTTGTTCTTTGACACCTCGCAGGATATAGGGTGCGTCTGTGTTGGTTTAGTCTTTAGAAACAAAGGCTCTTACCTACCCTGCGACTTGCGATACAGCAATGTCCATCAGCCTGCGCAGTCAATGACGAGGCTTCATGTCGACATCGATCGTACGCGTCTTCTGTCCTCTCGACGCGCCCTCGGCTCGCGATGCCAGTGATGAATTGCGTCAGCCCCGGCGTGAGACACACGAGGTGGAGGCGGAGGTGCCCCTAAGGAAGGGGCAGCTGCACTGTAACTTCCCTCGATTCCCCTGCCCCTCCCTGCAGCGAAGCTCCTGGTGGACGATAAAGCTTTCGGTTGGAAGGTACCGTCATGGGTCTCTGTTAGCCACATAGACGAATTGTGTCGGCACCACTAACGTCCAGCTCCCCTTATCGGACGCACTACATGGCCGCTTCCCCGCCCAACCCAAGCTTTTTCATAGCTCCAGCAACAACTTAATTGACCTTCCCGTCTGGTCCAAAGAGCCCACCTCTGTGCGAATGATGGGAATCACAGTCGTCATCTCTAGCCAGCTACCCTGGCCTATCTTGGAGAACTTTTGCTGGTCCCATTGCGTGGTCCTCGCCGTTAGCTTCCGATCTGTTTGATTGATAAGTCAAGTGATGCTCCCCTGCTTGTGACCCTGAACTTCACCCGCCATCTCCGCGACTTTCGGCCCCAGGACCGCCGCATCCTGAGCTTCATGACACGATGCCACTCCCTCAAGCCATCCCCTCGAAAGAGGCCGACATCTACCACGACACTTTTCAGGTCCCGCCTCCATACGAAGTCGCTGCCTATCCCCGCGTCCGGTCCCGCCGCGCCCTTGTTCGAAGCCTCATCTCGTTCCGTGTGCTTGTTTGCATCTTCGTTGGCGGCCTCCTCGCCTGGCATACCTTTCTCCTCGAGCGAGAGTCCGAGCTCCGCGATGTTGCCCAACATGCATCGTCTTCCACTCATCTGACTCGCTTCGAGGAATCCGTCAAGCACTGCGCCGCCCTCAAGACCTTCCCTGAGAGCCCCAAGCCGGAAACCCGCAAGTCCAACCCGCGATGGAACTCTGCCCGTGGACAGGACAAGCCGGTCGTGCTGCGCAACATGACCTTTTTCGACGGAGAGTCCGTCGCCTCCGAGCCCATGGACATCAAATTCGAGAAGGGGCTGATTACTGAGCTTGCGACGACGGCCTCCAAGTCCATCAGCTCCGACGGAGTCACCGAACACGACTTGCACGGTCGGTTCGTAACGCCCGGCCTGGTCGACATGCACTCGCACCACTCCTCCAGCTTGTGGCCAGCCCTCCCCATCACGGGAGATGAAAATGAGGTGAACAAGGCGTTCGGCCCACTGACCCCTTTTATGCGCATCCTCGACTCTTTGAAGGCATACGACGACGCCACCCGCATCATCATGTCTGGTGGGATCACCACCTCGCTCATCCTGCCGGGGTCTGCCAATATCATGGGCGGCGAGGGAACCGTCATCAAAAACGTACTCAAGGCTGGCGAGCTGGGCGAGTACGTCGTCGAGGAGCTGCTTCTTGAGCACAACATTCCGATCGAGGAGCGCCACCGCTACATGAAGCTGGCCTGCGGCGAGAACCCCAAGCGTGTATACGACCATACGCGCATGGGCAACGCCTACATCCTGCGTGATCAGTTCGCCAAGGCCAAGGAGCACTTGCAGAAGCAGGACGAGTACTGCGAGGGCGTCACCACCATATCGGCCCGGTCCGACGAGCTGAAGCACCGCTTCGTCAAGGAGAATGGCGACTTTCCCAGCGACTTGAGGCTCGAGTCGACCGTGGGCATGCTGCGAGGCCGAGTCGCCATGCAGAACCACTGCTACCTTCCAGAGGATTTCGAGACCATGCTTCGGGTCACTGGGGAGTATGGCGTCCGGGTCCGGGCCTTCCATCACGCCCTCGAGGCCTGGCAGGTTCCCGAGATGCTTAAGGCGTATGGCGAGTACGTAAGAACTGTGTTATGCGGTGGGCTCTGCTAACGGGATAGAAATGTTACCATCGCCACTTTTGCCGAGTTCAGTCTGTACAAGTTCGAGGCCTACGCCCCTAACCTGTCCGCCGGCAAAATCTTGAACGACCACGGCATCCCGGTTGCGTATAAGAGCGACCATACCGCGACAGAGAAAGTGCCTATTTCATTGAGTTAAGAGGGATTGGAGAATTGAAACTAACGTTTTTTTCTCTCATAGGACGAACGCCAAGTACATCATGTTCCAAGCGGGCGTCGGCCACGCATTCCACCTGCCGGAAGACAAGGCCCTGCAGTCCGTTACATCTATCCCGGCGAATGCAATCGACCTAGGATATCGCGTTGGGTATGCTCGCCCGGGCTACGACGCCGACTTGGTTGTCTGGGACGCGCATCCGCTGTCCATCGGTGCGACCCCTCTGCAGGTCTACATCGACGGCAACCCCCAGCTGGAGCACCAAATTGTCCAAGAGAGCATGGGCACGACCTTTAACGAGGCATCGGCTAAGGAGGCTCTCCCCGTGACGCCCAAGATGCGGACAGAGCTTGAACCCGAGAAGAGGGAGGCTTTCTGCAGCAAGACCAAGAAGGCCAAGGCCGGCTTCGTTATCAACGGCATCACAAATACCTTCCTCGAGAACCACCCCCAGATGCCGACGGTCTTCCGCGACGTCAGTCGTGGAAACTTGACTCTCGTCATCAGCAACGGCGCGGTGGTTTGCCTCAATACGCCCGAGGACTGTTCGTCGGCGGTCGCCCTGGTTTCTGCGAACGCCGATGTCACTACCCTCGATCTCACCAACGGCCACGTCCTTCCCGGCCTGACGGCTCTGACGGCCTCCCTCGGCATGGTTGAAATCGCAACGGAGGCATCTACCGGCGATGGCAACGTAGACTCGAAGAAAGACGGCAACAACCCGGAGAACCTGGACTTTGCAAAGTACGGCGTGCAGCTGGAGGGCAAGGCCTTCTCTCGTGCGCGCATCGGTGGTATCACACGTGCCATCACACCGCCCCTCAGCGAGGAGGGCACCTTCGTCAATGGCGTCAGCGTGGGTATTCTTACTCGTACCGACCGCACCCTCCTCGACGGCGGCGTCTTCCGGCCCGAGGTTGCGCTCCACGTCACCATTGACGAAAAGGCCAAGGTCAGCGTGGGCACCGTCAGCACCGCCGTGAAGAAGCTGCGTAAGATCCTTGTCGATGGCAAAGGAATACACAACGAAACGACCTTTGGGGAGGTTGCCTCTGGCAAGCTGCCGCTCATCATCAACGCTAACAGCCACGTAAGTCGACTACGGCGTGTCATGGAGTGGAAGCTGACGCAAAGCTAGTGGGACATTCAACAAATCATCAACATAAAAAAGGACTTTCCTGACGTGAACATTGTCATCCAGGGCGGTTCCGAGGCGCCATTGGTGAGTACCCGAGAGAAATAGTTTGGGGAATTGGTCTAACCAGGCAACCAGGTCGCTTTGGAGCTTGCGGAGTCCCAAATCCCCGTCCTCCTCACGGAAACCCGTCCGGCGCCTACCTCTTTCCGACACCGCGACGCCGTTGTGGGCCCCCCTCTGACTCCAAGCGTTGCTCGTATCCTGAGCGAGGCAGGAGTCTACTTTGCCGTTGCGATTGTCACTGATAGTGAGTTGCCGATGGACAACCCTTTGACGCGTGAGGAAATCTACTGACGAGCGAGCAGTCATGCCTGCCGACTACCGCATCCACGACCTCGCCCTCGAGGCCGCCTGGGCTGCCAAGTACGCCAATCTGGGTGACAAGGAGGCCGTCCGTCTTGTGTCCACCAACGTCGAGGACATTCTTGGTCTCCCCAAGAGCAACGACATTGTGGTGTGGGAGGACAGCCCTCTCGAGTTTGGTGGCACCGTGGCACTCAGTTTCGAGACGGGCAAGAATGGCGAGCTCGAGGTTGCCGCTTGCTGGCCGCAAGAGCATGATAAATAGGGGTGAGCGCGCCTTGCTACGAACCGGTGGAGAGCCGGGATCCTTTGTACACTATCCGAGACTTTGTGTTCGAAGGGCAGAGAGAAGCTAGAAGCATACGGCCACCGGCGCGGCGGAAACGTTCTTGCGCGTGGCATGTCTTGAATTCGCAGTCATGTGCCATCTTCAATTGAACAGTTCACAAGTAGCAGCTATTGGCCGTGAAGCGGCCTTGTGCGGGAACGAATATCTCACATGTAGAAGCCTGGCTGGCGAAGCACCCCGCACCCTCAAACTCTTAGCAAGGCTTGTCTTTTTCAGAAGAAATCGTCCGGCTGCAGGTAAACGCTTGCACATCGAGTCCAGCCGAAGAGAGACAACGCCCAAGATGTGCGTTCCGTCAACTCCCCGTAGACTCTGCCCATATGGCCAAGCCACCATGCAACCGACCGGGACACGGCAAGTCTTCAAAGCAGCATTTCGTCACCTGGTTCGAGACAACACCCAGGGTGCAAGTCCTCGGATCTACATTAGAGGTTCAGCTTCGAGAACAGACGGAACTAGTGTCTTGCACCGACCTCATCTCATGAAACTCGAGAGGGTACGTTTCGCGACCGTTTCCTTGGGTATGGCGCTAGAGAGACCGCGAGACGAAACGCAGCGACCCGTCAATAACATTCGCGCTGACCGTAACTTGTCAGGCCTAGCCCGGACCGTGAGCCTTGGCTCCGGGAACCGGGCACGTGGCACTGAGCTATGTTGTGCACGATTGACGCAGAGCAGAAGGGAGGGGCGGGCACATTGCGGGCGAGGGAGGCAAATGGTAGACTAGACGCGAGCTGACGAGTGTTAGTGAAGCCGCTTATGCAGGGATGGAGCTTCTTGGAGTCGCTAGCTGTAAGGCCCAAGGACTAAATTGTGCCGGCCTCTATCGGCAAGATAATGGAAATCCCACATGTAGGACGGAAGCACGGCGAGGACGAGGCTGTCGATCGGTAGACTTGCGGGTGCAATGGGCTCACGCTACGCTCTGTCATCGCATCCCGAAGCGCAAGCCACCTTGGCTTGTTAGGAGCTCAGAAGTCAATGGGGAGGCGACATATGCTGGACATGGGATGGCACCGTCTGGCTTGGGATGGATTGTCATGCGCCGTCATCGACCCGTCCCTATGAGCGGGAAGAGAGCCGAGATTGGCAGCAGGAGGAACCGGCATCTCGCCAAAGGATCGTCGCAACTTCCGACATGAAAAAGAAAGCTAAGCATGGTTTGCATGCCAAACTGCCGGTGGCCGCCGAGCGGTGCAGTGCGTAGCAAGAGAGGTAAATGAGATGTGAGGTGCTCTTCCGTGCTGACGGCGTGCCGCAGACGAGACGGTTGCGGGCGGCGACTTCGTCGTCCCAAGCGATGTCGTCTGTACCAGCTTTGGCAGACAGTCTGTTTCATCACTACTTTGCGGGTTGTCGATTCCCGCCTCGGATTTGTCGGTTGTCTAATTGAGTGGATCACCATGAAAGGCAGGAGCGTTTTGGAAGCGCGCGCCAGTCTGTGATTTCCCGCCCTTGCGGCGGCTCAGGGGGTGCAGCCTACCGAGATGAGGCGAGCGTGACTTGCTCGAAGGGAGAACCACTCTGCCCAGACAACAGAGCTTGTGATTATATGGGCTGTTTCGTCAAACAACCCGTATTGTCGGACTCGCCTGTCATTCATCTCGGTTGATGACCTGACCTTACTCGTGCGCACCCCGTCTTTGGATTCTTGGCAATATCGAAGTCGAGCCGCTGTGGCGCTGCACAAACCTATGCACACGAAACGCTGCCAACTGGGGGCGGATATTGCTCGGCCTCGAAATGAGGATGGAGGCAGTGTTGACAATCGACGGCGATGTGGAAATGATAATGGCGAATGCCGACGTGGAGAAGCTTGTTGTCACTGCGAGACGTTGTCTTGTGCTTGCAAGGTTGGCCGAAGAAAGAACGAGCCTGTCTTCGACCTGAGTCTTGGGGAGAGAGGTAGAATGTCTAGAAACCAGTTGACGTACCGGACTGAGACTGTTGCAGTATGAGACGGGATGACGGCAGGTTGTCGACGCCATTCGAGGCTGGCTTTATCCGACAATAATGGCGTTGTTTTCGATATGTCAAGACCTGTCATATTTAACGTCCCTCAACTCCACTCACATCGAGTTGGTGCAGAGCCAGGCGGAACTCGCGAGTTTTCGTCAATCCAAGCACATCGACCAGCCACTCGACGGCCACAGCAAGCCGTCACGGGATACATCGTGCGTGCCAGCAGGGACAGCGCCGGCAGGCGGCAGTCGTAGGCTGTGCCTCTAAGAGACATGTGTGGTGGCGCGCTTCAACAGTCATTATCGTCCCCTTCATTCGTCGGGACATGGTGAAAGTTTATTCGCAGCCCCCAGGTGCGATGACTGGGGAATGATGCCAGTTCGCAGTCGGAGGCAGCAGTCGACCTCCCCGCCGACCCAGCCATGGGAGCCAGGAGGACGTGATCTGCCGGATCGCCCATGATTTTTCTCGAGAACGCGGGTAAACATGGGATGGGCACAAGGGTCAGACATTCTGAAGCCCCACCAGAAGACTGTTCGACTCGAGCTTGCCGGCTGTCATGGCAGGGGTTCAAGACAGATCACCCAGCCTCGACAGAGTCTGGGCCTTGGTGGACTCACTAGGGTCGCATCCATCGCTGTCTCTTGGAGCGGCCGAAGGACGGAGGAGAGAGGATTGCCGAGTCGCCATCCGCAAGAATGATTGGGATCATTCGACGGCCGGCTCAGTCTAGAAGTTGTTATCTTGAGGTGGAGAGCGAGGCCGAGATGGTGGCATCGGGTGCATAAGTTATGCAGCTAGAAAATTCTTTGCACGGCGGCCAAGACCAGCGACCTCTAAGAGAGACATGGACATTCCGGCTGGAGGCAAGAAAGGGATTGTTCGAGTGTGCGTCGCTGCGGTTTCACCAAAAGGCTGACCCTGAAATTCCGAGTGATGGGTTTTTGTCTGGCAGATGACTGCTCGGGAGCCCGGTTCGGACAAGAGCATGCTGACTGTCTAACCCTCAGGGAGGTTCGGAGTCACGAGAGTCGACCCAATGGTGCTCTTCGTCTTCTCGAGTGGTTTTTGGGGCCGTTGCTTCCTCTGGAACTGAAAGTCTCACCCCTTCAACCCCTGCAATCGGGCACGGGGAAACCCCTGCGCAAGTGGGGCTTACAGCACGGGAACCGCTTGCCTGGATAAGGTTAGATGGGAAGGCAAACGTTCCGCTGTCCATCCCCTGGTGTCCTTCCCGTTTGCTCGTTTCACTGGCGAACTGAGACACGGAGAGCAGCAACAAACGGAAGCAGTGTTGACAGAGGGCTGCCATTGTTATCCTTGAAGGGCCTGTGTTACCTCCTTCTCTCGTGGCAATGCCGAGTCTCTCTCGGGTAGGCATTCTCGTCCACTCCCGGACGGCCTGCTCACTCATCGGCGAGTCGCAATATCCTTATCGCAACCAACAGCCTGGCTGCCTTGAGACATGGCAGACGAGAGAGCCAGGCGAACGAAAACACCATGAACTAGCGGCACGTCATTGTCGGCACCCTTGGGCTCCTCTTGCCCCTGAAATTTAGCGACGAGCAGTGTACTAACAGCCACCAAGCCCCGAGCGTCGATAGTGTCGTTTCCACGGCCTCGGCTAGATGTTGCTGGCAGCTGAGTGCTGCTCCCAAGCGGACAGGCGGTCCCCATCCGGAGAACCAAACTTTTTTCGGCGCCACAAACGGGCACTTGGAGCCCGTTAGCAGTTCCCTCCCCCCTCAGGTCCTGAATCAACTAGGTGCAAGCTGACTGGACGCCACGCTGCGCGGCACAGCGCTAGCAAAGAAAAGAAGCCAGACTTCAGGGGCGAGTCAGCGTGCTAAGAACAGTCCCAGCGTCGTACCGAGCGACAATAGGCCGCGGACCTACACAAAGTTGGCAGCCAGGCATAAACCCAGCCAATGGGGTGCTGTGGATATTATGCACCATGCAGGAACCACTGTTGCAACACACCATCCCATCTTTTTTGTGCATTCCCGTCCCCTATTCAGTGCGTTCTGCTAAAGAGAGAGAGAGAGAGAGAGAGAGAGAGAGAGAGAGAGAGAGAGAGAATCAGATGAGTGGGGTCCAAAGGGGGGGCCTGTCAGCTTGAGTGAGCGGACGCCTTTACACTCACTCTCAGCTTGCCGCCGTTTAGTTTCTTCTTCCCGCCCCTCGGCCGGTTCTTGGTGCTGGTGTGCAATGCAGCAAATTACCGCAAGCCATTCATATAGTTGTATAGGTAGAGTTTTGCCTCCCCATTCTTTTTTTCGCAGCTCCTGCGCTACTGCGGATGCAGATTCTTGGTTGTGGATAATGGCAGGGTCGACTGCTTGGATGTATGTACTCGAAAATAGGTCATGGAGCTTTGGGAGCCTGATGAATAACAGCAACCCAGGGATCCGTCCCTGCCATTCATCCCCGCCTCCCCAAGCCCTCAGAAGCGGGCTCCCTTACCAAGCGGTACCTACACTACTCTGCTCGCCCGAACTCCCCATCGTTCCATCGTCGGGCTCACCGCCAAGACGCATCCCCCCAGGCGGCTGCTGTACACTCACGCCCTCAACCTCCCCTCCGCCCTGCGTCGGAGTGGACGTTTGTCGCCAGTTTCCAAGGCCACACTACCACGGATGCTCCATGGCGTCACGGCTGAGCGTCTTTGGCTGGCCACCCACCCTCCTAGCGTCTTCCTACCACCACCCAGGCCCCCATCCCAAGTGCCTTGCATCTGACAACTGCCACTCGCCCTGTCCCGGCCATCCTCGTCCAAGATGCCTGGTGTTTATGTATAATACTCCTGCCCACTTCCTTCCTCCACCTTGATCTACACTTGACTTCACCTCTCCCCATTACACCACTTTCACCTGTTGTACCTTGCTGGGCATTTCTTCTCTCTCCTTACATCATTCTTTTTCAAAACTCGTCAAAAGCTGAGCTTGCTGAGCACGTCCTCTCATTACACCTCCCGGCAGCGTCTCTGATCTGTCTGATTCATTCATTCACTCACTCAACTGTCTGACACACTTTTCGTCACTCATCCGAGTCACTGCAATCCCCGAGCAACTGCCCGTTCTTTCCGAAAAGTGCTCCGGTATCAGCATCCACAGTCTCTACCCAAAACCCAGCAAGAGTCCCAGCGACCGCTCTGTATCCGCCTGCCCTTCTCATCTCACATATCCATCTCATCCCGCAATCAACCGCAACCATGAAGTTCGCTGCTGCCGCCACGCTGGCCGCGCTCTTCGGCGCCGCCTCGGCCGGCTCCAAGTCTGACGACAGGACGTTCGCCGTTCTCCGTTTCAACAACAAGCAGCTTGTCAAGACCCGTGTTGACCCCATCATCAACCCTGGACAGCCCGCCACCCACGTCCACGGTGTTATGGGAGGCAGCAACTTTGGCATGTCGGCCACCGGCGAGACCCTTTCCCAGTCCAAGTGCACCAATGCCATGATCAACGGCGACAACAGCGCCTACTGGTTCCCTTCGCTGTATTTCCAGGACCCCAAGACCAAGGAGTTCGAACCGGTTGAGGTCTTCTACGTCAACGTCTACTACTTGTGAGTATTGATGCCGTTGTCGAGTGGACCAAACTGACTTGTACAGCTTCGATGGCACCGACGACGAGATCAAGGCCTTCCCCCGCGGCCTTCAGATCTTCAGCGGCAACGCCTCCGCCCGTGCCCCGCCCTCCATCGGAGGAAAGCAGAATCTCGAGCCCGAGGATGGCCCCATTCAGCCCGTCCAGTGGACTTGCCCGAGATCGAGCTACAACCCGCCCTCGTACCCTGTCAATTCTGACGGTTCGACCGCCGGCATCGTCGACCCCAACAACCAGGGCTCCGGCGTTGGTTTCCCTGACCAGAACTGTGACGGCTTCGGTTCTCCTCTCCGCGCCGACGTCCACATGCCCTCGTGCTACAACCCCAAGGCCGCCCTTACTGACTATGAGAGCATGGCTTGGCCCTCCAGCAAGGGTGCCTCCAACGGCCGCCGCAAGAACTGCCCCGAGGGATGGATCCACGTCCCCCACATGTTCTTCGAGGTCTACTGGGATACGCCCAAGTTCGCCAGCCGTTGGACTCCCGGCCAAGGCGCCCAGCCGTTCGTCCTCTCCAACGGCGACGCCTCCGGTTACAGCCTGCACGCCGACTTCATCGCCTCATGGGACGAGGACGTCCTTCAGCAGATCATCGACAACTGCAACGCCGGCTCCTCCGGTATGGACAAGTGCCCCGGCCTGTTGAAGGGTCTCAACACCAACAAGGACTGCACGATTAACTCGCCGGTCGATGAGGTCACCGACGGCATTCTCGCCAAGCTTCCCGGAGACAACCCTCTCGGCGGCTTCTCCTTCGGCCCCATCGTTGGTGGAAGTGACAGCGGTGCTGCTGTCAAGCCTTCCAGCGGTGCATCCTCTGTCGGCTCTGCCAAGCCCTCTGCCAGCAAGGCTGCTGCCGGTTCCGTCAGCCAGGAGGAGGCCCCCAAAACTTCCGCTGTCGCTTCTTCCCAGCTGCCCATCCAGGTGGCTCCCGAGCTGGCGAGCACCAAGCCTGCCGGACCCACCAACGCCGCCGTTGCACCCACCGCTAGCCTGGGCGGCTCCCAGCCTTCCAAGGCGACGTCTTGCCTTCGCAAGACCAAGACCGTGTGGAAGACCGTTACTGTCACCTCGCCCGCCGAGGAGTCCGGCGCCGCTGCCACCCCGGCCGGCTCGGCCGACGACTACAGCAAGGCCCGCCGCCACGTCCATGAGCACATGCATCGTCATCGCAGCCACCGCGACTGAGCGGACTGGCCCACGTCGGAAGAGTTTCTCTTTGCGCTATCGAATCTTTTGCGCCTGTACCAAAGTTCTCTTCGTTAGATATTCTAGGGCCGTGGTTGGGAAGGGAGTTTCAGAACGTATACCAAGGGTCGGTTTGAAGACGCACGTTCAAAACACTGGATATGGAATTCGGGGCTTTAGAAAAGCATCCCCCTTGCGCGAGTAAAATAACGCCACAGTTATTCTTTTTCGACTTGTTTATTTGCTTTTTACGACGATGATGATCAGATATATACACATCCTCTTAACGGGGAGAAGACCCCGGGGGGGAAGGGTTAGCTCAAGGGCAACTGGATTCGCTTCTTGTTTGCACCTCGGAACACATACATTCGATTCTTTGCGCGGGCCTTGTGAGAGGTCCCTCATTTGGGAAGGTTATTTGAGAGATGGAATGGAAATGGTGATAGCCTGGTGGACCAGATAGAAACAAACCAGACACTTTCCATGAATTCGAAGTGCAACATGATGTGTGTGAGAAATGCCCAGATTTGCCATTGGTTTTGGTCGTTGCAATTAAGCTTGATGGCACGTTGGCACGTGGCCCACTACCTCGGGCCGCCAGGATGTCGATTTAAGGTTATTTCGTCTGCGCAAGAATTTGACCTCATTTCCTTCTGCGGTCACAGAACTTCTCTGATTCGAATGCCGGATCAGACAAAAATCTGCTTCAGTCTCATCGGCTGCCCGGGTGAAGCAAGGGAGACGTGACAACAGACGCGTGCTGGAAAGTCTCGAAACGGCCGCGTCGACACCTGTGCACTCCCGATGATACCCACAAATTCTCCGAGCTCACGGTGCCCCACCGCAGAAATCTTCACCTCGACCGCCGACGTTCCCCACAACCGCACACCGAGACGGGATGCACCACGCCGCAAACCAACGCCGGTGACGTTTGCATTACTTTGACTGATTCAAAGATTCGTCATCGCCCCCGCCGTCGCCATGTCGCTGTATCACGAGACGGCCGAGATCCTCTCGGCGAGCCCGGACCACGGCGGCAGTCTCAAGAGCCGCGTCTTTGGCAAAAAGGGCCTCAAGTCGCCGCCCGCGCAGGTGTATGCTCTCGCTCTCGAGACATGCAAGTGGAGCGGGGTTTTGAAGGAGGTCATCGAGGCGGCCGAGATCCTGCGCCACGAGCGCAAGGTGCGTTGCCCGTAATCCCCTCACCCCGGCTGAACCGTTGCTAACCTCGTCGCAGCTCACCCCCGTGCTGGCACTGCTGCTGGTGCATGACTTCCTACTGGCCAAGAAGGGCATTGCGCTGCCGCAGACTCACGGTCTGAGAACTTCTGTTGAGAGGCACAAGGCCAGGCTCACCTCTGAGCTGACCCGCGCGAGGCTACGAAGGAAGATGCCGTCGCTGGAGGCGTTGAGGGCAGATGTCAATGCGAACTCTGACCCCGAGGGAAGGCACCCTCGATGGATCAGGGTAAACGTGCTCAAGAGTAATGTGGAGGACCAGCTTGAGACGACGTTTAAGGCGTACGAGAGGGTACTATCCATCGAAGCCGTGACGCAGTCGACGGGCAAAGCCATCTTCATCGACGCGCACGTCCCCAACCTGTTAGCGGCATCGCCCGGAACGGACGTTACGAAGACGCCAGCGTACCTCAAGGGAGAGATTATCTTGCAGGACAAGGCCTCGTGCTTCCCGGCGTATCTGCTCGACCCGCGGTCCGAGGACGGGGACGTCATCGACTCGTGCGCGGCTCCCGGGAACAAGACAACACACCTGGCTGCCATCGTCAAGTCACACGAGCCGGAGCAGGGCGCCCAGAAGCAGACCATCTTTGCGTTCGAGAGGGACTCCAGGAGGGCGCAGACGCTGGAGAAGATGGTCAAGATCGCGGGCAGCAGGGGCCTGACCAAGATAGGACCAGGCCAGGACTTCCTGGACGTCGACCCCAAGGCGGACGCCTACAAGGATGTCGGAGCTCTGCTTCTGGACCCTAGTTGTTCGGGCAGCGGTATCGTAGGACGGGATTCTATGCCGGAACTGCATCTTCCCGAGACTCCCGGCCCTGCCGCGGCGAAGGGGGCCAAGGGGAAGGCGTCCAAGCAGGACAACCGCAAGCGGAAGCGAGACGAAGAGGAGAAGCCGATGATGGTTGACGACGACGGGAATGCTGTCGAGGTGCAGTCGGAACAGGAGCTGCAGAAGCGGCTTGACGCGCTCGCTGGGTTCCAACTGACGCTACTGCTCCACGCGATGAGGTTCCCTTCGGCGAAGAAGATTTCCTATTCCACCTGCTCGATTCACGCGGAGGAAAACGAGGGGGTTGTGATCAGGGCTCTTGCGTCAAAGGTTGCAAAGGAGCGTGGGTGGAAGATTCTGGCGAGGGAGAAGCAGGTCCGCGGGATGCGCGAGTGGCCTGTTCGTGGACTGCCCGAGGCGGCGGTTGGTGACGAGACTGTGGCGGAGGCTTGCATCCGGACCTACAAGGGCGATGGCCACGGCGTCATGGGTTTCTTCGTCGCTGCGTTTGCAAGGGACGGAAGTGAGGGTGCAGCCGATGATGATGGGCCGTACGTTAGGGATGATGAGGGGCGGATCGTAAGGGACGTGGCGGGGATGCCGGTGCTGAAGAGCACGGGCGAGACCGTCGTCTTGGAGGACGCTATTGCGGCTCAGACACAGGCACCGGAGGAAGGCAAGGACCTTTCGAGTGAGGACGAGAGCGAGGAGTCGGATGACGGAAGTGACGAAGAGGAGGACGACAACGAGTGGACCGGGTTCGACTAGTTCATTTAGGAATTAATACAAGAGATATCCCTCCGAGGTGATTAGGCTCGGTGTCACCTGGGTCAATGGGCAGCCGTTTCGTTACAGAACCAACCTCTTAACACCATCCCACATGCAGCAAATGAGTCTTTTTGCCATGACAGAAGCCACGACTGCTCATTCTCAGCGCAGCTCCTTGGCTGCTCACCTCGCCTCTGAAACCCCTTCTGGAGACTATATTGACTTGTCTTCAGTAGTAAGCCGAGTGATTGGTTGAACCAGTTCCTTTGAGTGTACAGAGGAGCATCGCACGCGAGCTCTGGTTGACTTGTTCGCTGTTACTGTAGACTCAACCCTAATCTCTGTCGACTTGGCGGACTTGCCAACGCGGGGAGGGGACATCTGACAGGAAAACGAACAAGTGCATTATGGGCGACTATTCTAGCATTTCCATCAAGGGTATTTGGAACGGATTCTGAATGTGGTTACTCTAGGAATTTGGTCTAATGGTATTATTGGACCATGCTGTCGACGACGTTGACGTTTCATGCAATGCGACCTGGGCAAGCTCAACCCTAGCTCAGGAGAACATCCCTGTCGTGTGCCAAACAGGGGTACTTGACGACGTTCCACCATTTCTCAACTTCGAATTCCTCCGTCTACAACCCACTCGAAATCAGACTTCTGCGATGGTTTTTACTGTTCTTGTTCGTCTGGGCTTCTGGGTGCCACTGGTCGCTGGCGTGGCCTATCAGGAGCAAGCGCCGCTTAGCGCGGAGACTACTGTCCTCGGGACTGAGGAGATGAGGCTGATTGCCTGTAAGTCACTCCGATATTTGAGATGACCCTTAACTGACCGATGTAGGTGTCAAAGTGTGTGATTTTCAAACTCCACTTAGGCCTCAATGCTGATTAGTAGCTATAGCATTCGGAGGACAAGTCGAAAACATTGGAGGCGGAGTGGAAAGCAGCGCATTCCTCGACTGAGTTCCCCATGAGCTGGGTCGACGACCTAACCGAGGAGCCCTGCGCAGGCCTGCCAGCAGATGCGTACCCGTCCATCAGACTCCTCCGTAGTGGCCAGCCGTCAGTGGGGTACCTTGGGCCGCAGACCAGCGACGAGTAGGACCTGCCCTCTCCTGGAAGCTTGCGACTGACACCGTCCTAGGATACTGCGCTTCATCAACCGCGCCAAGCGCTCCTCCCAAGTGCCTGTTACGGTGTCGGCCGAAGCTGTTGATTCATTCAAGGGCGTGGACAACTTTGTCTGCATCGGACGCTTCCCGTCAGCGGCAGCAGACCGTCAGGCCTTCGAAGCCGTGGCGAAGAAGTACTGGACCGAGTTCACCTTTGGCGTCGTTGATAGCCCGGGCGCTGCAGAAGCAGAAGTCGTCTGCCACAAACGCGACGACGAGAGCGTCCATACCCGGTCCTCTGGCGACGGACTAGAAACATGGGTCGTTGAGGCCTCGAGACCCGTCATCGCGGAGCTTACGCGCTTGAACCACCAACGCTTCCTCGACGTAAGCTGGCCCCTCGTCCAAAACTTGACAAGCATCGAGCAAACTGACCACGACGTCCAGCGCGGCTGGCCAATGGTCTACATCTTTTCCCCATCACCCCAAACCCGCGCCTCCATCCGCGCCGAACTCCACGCCTTTGCAAAGAAGCAGTACTCGTCCCTGACAGCTGTGACCGTCGACCCGGCCTACTTCCCCGACCTCCTGGCCAAGCTAGGCCTCAACCCGTCGGGAAACGACTACCCCGTGGGGGCGGTGCACCAGCTCTCGAAGGGGCGGGTTTACCCCTACCCCAAGGGCAGAGATTTCACGCCGCGCGAGCTGCAGGATTGGGGCCTGGATGTGTGGCAGGGACGGATCAAGCCGTGGACGCCGCCCGGCCAGGAGCCGGCCGAGGACGTCGGGAGCGGCAACGTGCGGATCGTGGGGTCGCACAACCTCAAGGTCAAGAACATTCCAGGATTGAAGATTAAGATTGGAGGACGGGAACGGGACGAGCTTTAACTTCACTGAGACCGGATATGCAAGGCAGGATGAAGTAAGTTTCATGAACTCTATTAGTACTCTATGATTATGCAGAAGATGCGTCTATCTGGTATCTGAGTTGTGTGGCTCCTGTAGCTGCCCTAGTAATGCCCCATTAAATATCCAAAACAAAAACTCCGTGCAAATGCTAGACATCATGCCGTGACACGTGTCTCTCCGGGTATCATCGTCTATCCCATCCAACTTTTGTATGCGTAATTCCCAAGATTGTGTGTTGTGCAAACCTAAGCCTGCACCTTGCGGGCAGCTTCGTCATCACGGAGCTCGCCCTCCACAGTCCGCTCGTCATCAGAGAGCACGCCGCCATCGCTGGCCGAGGCAGACTTTGTGTGCGCGTGCTCGTTCTTCTCCTCCTCGGCCATGGCTTCGTCCTCGTTGACCTCCTCGTTCGTCTTGCGCATGCGCTCCAGAACGGCGGCGGCCTCGGCGGCGAAAGCACATTTTCTCCGGATGATATGTCCGTACTTGTAGAAGAGGAAGGGGCAGGGCAGGCAAGCGAGGGCGAGGAAGGCCGGGATGGACGAAGCCCAGTGGATGCCCAGGTTCTCGTACATCTGAGTGGTGAAGAGCGGGAAAGCAGCGCCGAAGAGGGACCGCATGACAGAGTTGGCCGCGAGGACACTGGCGGCGAAGATGACGTACGAGTCGATGAGGTAGTTGAGCAGACTGAGGAAGACGAGGACCAGGCCGGCGGCGAAGAAACCCGAGGCGATGATGGAGACGATCCAGTGGATCTCGGGGCCGTTGGTCCAGGCGAACCAGAAGAGGCCGATGGGCAGGAGGCAGGCGCCGACCATGGAAGGGGGCAGGCGGGCCTCGGGAGGGGCGAAGCCGCCGTGGGCAGCGGAGACCTTGAGGTAGCGACGGCTGTCGAACGCGGTGTAGATGACGGCAACGATCATGCCGACGGCGACACCCAGGAAAGCCAGGCCGCCGACGCCAGGAGACCAGCCGCGGTGGCGCTGGAAGACGATGGGGAACGCGGCGAAGAGCATGTAAAGGGTGCCGTAGATAATGGCCATGTAGATGGATGTCAGGAGGACGATGGGCTCCTTAAAGAGGAGGATCCAGGGGCGGGAGAGGGCAACCTTGAACTGCTGGGCGACCGTCTTGCGCGGCTGGTGGGCCTCGTACTTGGAGAGGTACGACTTGCCGGTGATCTCGGAGAGCTTTTCGGCGCGGCGGCGGAGGAGGACCGGGGCGTAGGTCTCGGGGACCGTCAGGCCGACAACGATAAGGAGAATGCCGGTAAAGATGGCCATCAGGCCTTCGATCCAGCGCCAGCCCTCGGCGACACCGAGAAATCCACCGACAATGGGACCTAAAAATCTTGTTAGTGAGGGCGACACAACCACGGAGAGGGAAAGAACATACCAATAGACGGTCCGAGGAAGGGAGCGGCAGCAAAGATGGCCGTGGCCAGGCCACGCTCGTTCGCGTTGAACATGTCGGCGATGACACCGCCGGCGTTGGTCATGGGCGAGGCGCCAAAGGTGCCGGCAAAGAAGCGTAGGATGATGAGCGTCTGGATGTTCTGGGCGCCGGCGGCACCAGCGTTGAAAGCCGTGAGGGCGATGTAAGTCGCGATGAAGAGGTACTGACGTCCGTACAGCTCGGAAAGGGGAGCCCACATCAGGGGGCCGACGGCGAATCCCACGACGAACAGAGACACACCCAGGATACCAATCTCGGTGGACACGCCAAAGTCACGGATGACCTCGGCAATACCGCCAGAGTAGGCTGTGCTCACAAAGGCGACTGCAAGAGTGGCGATGGCCTGCTCGATGGTGTATGTCCACTTCTTCCACTTGGGGAAGGTCTGGGGGTTGTGGGCATCCTCGGGTAGGAAGTCGACGACGTAGGGCGACTCTTGGGTGCCCTCGCCGGGGTACTTGCGCTCGAGGACGGCCTCTGTGACGCCGGCCTGGTCGAAGAGGAGGTGGAAGTAGTTGGCCTTGTTGACGGGCTTCTGGGCCTCGACGTCGGCCTCGGTCGCCGTGATCGAGGACGAGGAGGACTGCGGCGCTGACGCCATTGTGAAGATACTGAGGCGAGGAGGACTTATGGAACTCGCGATATCCTCGTGGGGTGGCACAGGGGGGTATAACCTTATCAGCTTATTCAAGGACGTGCTGCGTGATCGTCGAGTGCAACGGTCAAAGTGTTCCTAGTGGGATGAACAATAAGAGCTCTAGGGCGAGATCTAATCCCGGAGAACTGGGACGGCGGGTTGTTCTATATACTACATCATACTCCGCAGGCTGGGCATGGCCGCAGTGGATATTTCTAATGTGATTTCCATCCCCTTCGTCGGTGCCCATATCAGACCCCCTTCGCCGACCCAGCGGCAGGGGGTGTGACGATCCACCGGTGCATGCCCACCCGGGCAGTTGGCTTCCGCGTGCACAATTCATTGACCAAAGGGCACGGAATCGCCCTGTTCGTCCGGGGACAACAGCGGACGGTGGTTATCTCCGAGCCTGGCGTTGGGCTAGTCGTGATGTGTCGCAGGTTACCCGTAAGCAGCCCGTGTCCTGACGAGGGAGTTGCTTGTTCGGCGTGTGCTGACGGGACGGGATTGGACAGGATTGCAGCGGTTTGGCTTTGGCGAGCTGCGATGGCAGGTGTCGAGCGCATGGACGAACACAGAGCATGGAAGTGGATCTCGTCGTCGCAGTGGACTTTTTTTTCTTTTCTTCTGTTCTTTCTTTCCGCCCCAGGTACGTACCTGTTTCTGCATGGCGGAATGACGTGTTTTGTTTGCGAGCTAGGGGCGGTCACGCCGGGCCTGTTCCGCCGAGGCAACTTGTACACTAATCGAGATTTCATGGGCTGGCGGCTCGCTCACGGTGGGTCCCAATCCGGACATGTCGGTGGATCTGGCCTCCGTGCCGAGGTGCAGCGTCCAACTCCGACGGATTTGGGCGCCTATTGCCCACCGCCCCCTTCATCCCCTTTTTCTTTATTACAAAGCCACGAACTCCAGGACAGGACTTAGGACGATCGTCCGGACTTTACTGCGTTCGATCCCCCGCCGACGCGCACGCGCGCTCGCAGTCGGATGCTGCGACGAGGCCGGCTTTAATATGTTTGTGTCAGTCACAGTAAGGGATTCATGGCTGTACCCATGTACATAGTATGACCGTTGGCACGAACACCGGCCATGCATGGGCCCACCCCTCATGCGAGGCAGCATGGCAAGGAACGGAGAGTAGATGGGCTGAGAATCGGGGGCTTATCGTCAGACGTGTTGGGACTTACGGACCTCCCTGATCTGGACCGAGGGGTGCGATCTCTTGCCAGATGATAAGGTGACTCAATCCAACCAGCCGCAGACTGCGCTCTCCGATACGTCAGGTTGGCCATGAAAGCTCAACGCTCGTTGCGTTAGCCGAGACATGATGACTCGATGACTTGTTCGAGCGTCTCGATCAGAGGGCTCTTTCACTATGCGACTGTGAATCTTTACACTCATATTCGGAGCCGAACACCGGTCCCGATCCAGGAGATCACCCTGCCGGCTGTGGCGCCTGGGAGGACCCTTGCATAGCTGGCTGCCTTGGCTGGCTTAGCTGGCTTTAGCTTCCCGAGCAGTCGGCTCTTGAGAAAATCTGTAAGATTGCCAAATTGCCTGGGCCGCTGCTGGACATGGTCAGCCCGTGGAATCTGATTCGCGAAAGAGCATGCGAGAATCCCATTCGACGACGAGCGAGCCTTGACGCTCGTTTACAAAAGAGCCCCGTCGCGGGTCCACCCTGGCTTATCAGGTGTGCCTCGGGACTTTGGACTTGGCGTGCTTATGTTTGCTTTTAGTTTACGACGGGTGCAGTGCCATCGGCGTTTGACCGAGCAGGCTGCAAATCACCGAAGCAGTGTCGGGGAACCTCGGCTGTCGCCGTGGCTCCCTTGCCTTGAGGAAAAAAATAAACTTGGAATTCCAATGTCACCCTGCCCAACCCATGCAATTGGTCCCGCTGCCCGCTGAGGCTAAACGACGATCGATGAAAGGAAAAAATAGAGGAGGGGGGAAAAAATCGAAAGGTTCTAGAACTGGAACGACATGGCCCGTCCGCGTAAACATCGTCCGCATCCCCAGGCCCGTGTCCGTCAGTCTCGTCCCCTCCGCGCATCGGCCAGGCGTATGCCTCCGCGGGCCCTGAAGTGCCTCATGAAGTCCGAGCCGGGCCCGGCCGCACGGCGGCTCCGGTCCGCCAAGACCAAGCCTTCGGCGAACCTCGTCGTCTCTTTTAGGCTCGCCCCGAACAGCTTCATCAGCTCCGGCCACGCGTCGAAGTGCTCCGCCGAGTCGACCTTGATCTCGACGAGGCGCAGCTGATTGCCGGTCGAGATGATGGGTAGGAGGTGCAGCAGCAGGGACGTCTTGAGGTCTTGTCTCTCCTTTTCTAGGAGGTCTGTCGTCGTCAGTTGCGTTCTTCTAGGCAGAGGCTCTACTCACAGCACATGCGCAGCGCAAACTCAATGTCGATGGCGTCCTCGGCGTCCACGAGCTGGATGTACGGCACCGTGTGGTTCCAGACCAGCATGCGTGTGATCTTCTCAAACGCCTTGGCCTCGTTGAGCAGTCCCGCCGCCAGGCCCAGCCGCCACAGGTCCCCGACGGTCAGGTGGTCGATCGACGGCTCGTGGAAGCGCAGCATGGTCTGCGACGCGAATTTTAACGCGTCGACGAGGTCGTACTTGTCGGCGATTACGGCGACTTCCAGAATCGAGTCCGCCGCCGCGATCTGGCACACGCGCGAGTTCTGGTGGTGCAGGATGTTGAGGATGAGCTCCATGATCTCGGGGTCCTCGTCGGGGAGGCTGATCTTGACAGGCTCCGACCCGCGGTCGAGTAGCTTCTGACCCTCGGCGAAGCGCGGCCCCAGCATCGCCCCAAATACCCGCGACGCCCGCTTGAGGATGAGCGAGTCCGCGCGCAGCTCCGTCGCCTCCTCGCCGAGCCCGACAACCAGGATCACGTCGCCGTCCGGCACCACGGGCACGCCGCTGTACTTGCGCGACCACATGCGTGCCGCGAAGCTCGCCGGCGAGCGCACCTCGAAGAACTTCTCGGGCGGCGCCGCTGCCGCCGGCTTGTCGATGGCCATGTGCTTGCTCAGAGGGTGGTCCATATTCAATTGATGTGGTGATTTGGTGGTGAAGGACCACGAGCGAGAGGGAAAAAAAGAATTTCTGCTCCCTGATTTGGAGTCGTGCTTCCTCCCATTGCCACCGTTTAGCCTTTCCCCTCAAACGCAGGTTCTCCCTCCTCGAGCAGAGTCAGGTCTGCTGTCGGTGCTGGGGACACCCAGGCCCCTCGGGCTCGGATGAGACGCCTGGCGCAAACAAGTCGCCCTGGTGGTGTTTCCCCCGACTCAGCCCGCCGTGAGGAGTCGATGTGATGGCGTCAGAGCCAAGGCTTCTTTTGGCGATTGAGTCTGGAGGTTGGCCGGGTGTTCCCCGCGGGACCCTATGGGCGGGCGTCCATGAGCGGTTGCCTGCCGACGCCAGCCTTGTTGGGTCGGGTGAAACTTTGTAATCGCGTCCAGTCGGTCGTTCAATGGGCTTCCCCACGTTTCCGTTTCGAGGGTTGTCGAAACCTGTCTGCTCTCGTCGTGGGCGACAGGTTGGTGGCTCGAGCTTGTCCACAGGCAGTCCCCAACAACGAACAACGTTTCACGTGTTGAGTTCGTCGGGGTCGGTAAATCGTGACGTTGTTTCTTTCCGGTTTCTCATTAAGGTGATTGCGGGTTTGATCAAAGTCAATTCGACTGTGTCTCTCGCTGATCGTCCCATGATGGTGGCGGTCGGACGGTGTTGGGCACGGTGATGGCTGTCACGGGGGATTTCATGTCTGGCATAGATACGCCGACGTTGCTGCAAGAACCAACGACGTCCGCTGGTGACAGACCTTGAAGGTCATATTAAGAGCGAAAGTTTGGGATTCAAACTCGCGAGGCCCAAACTCCATGATAACTGACATCGCCAGTTTGCTGCCAGTTGCGATCCGCTCGGCTACGGCATTATCCTCCCGGTGAATCTTACTGGGACCACAGCTTCTGCTCTAACGCCCATTCTTGGAGTTCTTGGTCTCATTTATTTGTACAGATGAAGCAACACAGGTCCGTCCTGGTATGTAACGTGGCGGATCAACAAATCCCCTTGAAGTCGCTTTGTTGCTTGTGTCTCGATGCAACGAACCCACTTGCAAGCAGTCACTACAATGACATCTGGCATTTTGCGGATTTTCCCCATCCTCTTGAACAAATCCAACTATTTACGATGAACCAGCGGTAGATGGACATGGCGGTTACGTCGCCTTGTAGCTCTCCAACCCTGCTTCACCGAGTTAACATGATCGTCTTAAATAAAAACTGACAAGAAAGGAAAGAAATGCTTTCTCTGAGTTCTTGTCACTCGCATCCATTGCCGGAGACTTCTTGATCCCGCGCCGAGCCGAAACCCAGACACGGCGTGTCAAGCTACGCAGGGGTCGAATGCGTTGGTAGGAATGGCATAATCTATAGTAGACATGAAGTCAATCGTTGGCAGGATGATCAGTGTCTGGCCCAGGATAGCGCTGAATTGGCCGAGTACGGTCATCTTCTCCGTTGCACCAACACGACGTTCACGGTTCCAGACATGTACCGCGGATAGTTGCCGCTGCATATGAGGACATACGAGTCTCTTGGATTTCATGACACCCTTCCTAGCAACGAGTCAAACAAACACAGACAGCAACAACAAAGACTACTGAGACTTGAGCCGACGTACAGGACATCGAAAGCGCCCAGCGTGGCTCTCCTGGGTCAAACAGCTACACGTTACGATATGGCCTTCCCGTTGCCGCGATTAAAAAGCTCGCAGGCGACTAGGCACAAGCACTTCAAGGCCTTTTCCATTTATCGCAAGAGGTACTGGAGAAAGTGAAACCCGGAAGCTGGTTCAAACACCAGAGAGAGCACCACTGTTGGGACGAGTCGTTCGCATCATTCCCCTGGTACGTACAGATGAAGGCACTCGGTTTGCTTTGCAGTAGGGGCCCTGGCTCTCTGGAACCTCCACTGCCTGTGATTCATCTCGTAAGAACCGTCGCTTCCGCTAAAGAACAGACGAAAGCACGACGCCTCGTCGAGCCCTCGGTTCTTAGCGGGATGACGTTGCGCTTCAGGTAGGCCATCGGTGGTACTCGCTTGGCAGATTTTGATTGTTTGTAGGTTAGCAGTCTGAAGAATAATGGCCTTCATTACAAAGTTCAGAGACCAAGCGCTGTCTTCTATCCTTCCTCCTCAATATTACGGGGCCTCGATGTCGGAGGCTGATTGGGCTCAGCGATGGATGAGGGCGAAGATGGCGTCGAAGAAAAGTTGATGTAGTGTCCTTGCGAGCCTCTGGGACTGACCAAACCACGCAGGCGACGACAGCACCTTTGCCGTGGGTCAGTGCTCTCTTAAGAAGTATGGAGGTCGAGTCAAAAAGCGACAAGTACCCTTTCGGTGGCTACTGGACCTCGAGGACGGAGTGAATGACACCGGGCACCATCGCAACAGACCGACCAACCTTACACAACTGTGGATCTCGGTCCGTGCCGTTGTCAGATAAACGAAAAACATCGGATCCACTGTGCGCGTAGCAGGCGAGATACCCGTCCCCAGGGCCAACCTGATAAGTCATGATGGTATCAAGAACCAGCAGCAATTGAAGCTGGTCGAATGGGTTTGAAGACTGTTCATAATGGCTGGAACCATGCTGGTTCCTAAACGGCCCCGGTTTCAACCCGAATTCCATTTGGACGCTCGTCACGTCACCAGCGCGGCCGTCAGTGACCCCCCGATGCTTTGCCAGTCCGATCGCCGTGTCAGAGGCCGCGGAGCCGCAACCCGCCGGCGACTCCCTGCGCGGGATCATGCAGCGGTTCGTCCGCACTCGCCATCAGCTCTGTCTTTTAGACATGAGTTTCATACGGAAAGTGTTTTCCATGCCATGCCAAGCAAACAGCTCTCAGGACCCATTCTTTGGCTGGGTCTTCGTGGACGGCACGCCTGGGTTGACTTGCGCGCTGCATATTGGGCGGCTCCGACGTGACAGTAATATGGCAATCGATGGAACACAATTGCAAGTAGATATGAACTTTTAGTATTTCAGGTCGTTTGTTCCTGTTTCGGAGCACCCATGCTACGACTCATTCAATCCGGCCAAAGCCCACAGGGGTTAAAGCCGAGCGACGGCGACCCGAACGTCCGACGCCGCCGATGTCCGAACACCTCCTATAAGGCTGCCTTCATCCACCAACGCCCTTTATAAGAGAGAAAGTCGCTCTTGTTGCGGTTTCTTTTGACTCGGTTTTCACTTAAATCCGGATCAAGACCTAATTCAATACACGGCCGGCTTTCGCTCGGTTGATGACATCGCCTGGCAGCAAGATACCATAGAGTCCAATATAAACACCCCGCGGCATGGCAACGCAACATCCTTCCGAAGCCATTATAACGGCGCCTGTCCCGGCTGAGATGGAAATGACCGCAGTTCCGGGTACCCTCCAGGCCTCGGCGCCGGAAGCCCTCGGCTCGGCGAAAGACTCGGATCCGTTTCTAATCACCTTCGCCCGGCCCTACGACGCTGAAAACCCGCTCGACTGGCCCGCGGGCCGCAAATGGATGGTGACCGACGTACTCTCGGCCACGGGCTTCAACCGCATCATGGTTTCGACCATCATGGCGCCCGCCCTGACCAACATCGCGGCGGAGCTGCACATGACCTCCACAGAGTCCGCCATGGCCTTGTCCATCTACCTGCTCGCCACAGCGTTCGGGCCCCTCATCATCGGTCCAATGTCTGAGATCTACGGACGGCAGGTGGTGCTACACGCATCGAGCGTCTGGTTTCTTATTTGGAATGTGCTCTGCGGGTTCGCTGCCACCAAGGGAACGCTGATTGCTGCCCGTTTCCTAGCGGGCTTCGGCGCCAGCGCCATCTACTCCCTCGGAGGAGGGGTCTTGGGGGATGTATGGCGACCAGAGCAGAGGGGCCAGTCGCTGGGCGTCTATCTGCTCATTCCACTGCTCGGCGCAGCCGTTGGTGAGTTGTTTTCGCCGAGGGTCGAGTGAGCGGCCCAAGGCTGACCATATTCAGGCCCCATCATCGGCGGCTTCATAGCCGCCCGCACGACTTGGCGCTGGATGTTCTGGTCTACGTCCATCTTCCAAGCCGCCATGATCTTTGTCTCGTTTTTCAGCTTCCCCGAGTCATACGGTGCTCTGGTTCTCCGCCGCCGCGCTGCACGTCTGCGCAGAGAAACCGGGGACAGTCGGTACTACACAGCAAGCCAGCGGCTTGATGCCGGCAGGTCCACCTCGGCCGTCGTCGGACGGGCCTTAACGAGGCCTCTTCGGCTGCTACTGTTCCACCCCATCATCCAGGTCTCGGCCGTCCTGTCCGGGTTCAACTATGGCATCATGTACGTGACTCTGTCAACGTTTTCCGATCTGTGGAAGGGGCAATATGGGCAGTCTGTGGAGATCAGCGGGCTTCATTACATCGCTTGCTCTCTGGGCGAGCTTATCGGGTCGCAAGTCGGTGGGCCCATGATGGACCATCTGTACAAGCGTCGGCGGCAGCCTACTCCAGAGTCTCGCGTCATGCTCATGTTCTTTGGGATCGTGCCTGCGTGGATTGGGGTGCTGGTGTATGGTTGGACGGCCGAGTATCGTCTGCACTGGCTCGTTGTTGACATCGGGGTGGTTGTCATGATGTTCGGGATGCAATTGAGTGGCATGCCGCGTAAGTGTACTTCATCTCGCTCGATTGTGCCGGTCTTGAAGCTGACTGTTTGGCTTGCCAGTGACGGCGTACGTTATCGACACGTACGGGGAACACACGAGCAGTGCTATGGCGGCTACCCAGTTTGTCAAGAGCCTGACGGCATTCTTGTTCCCACTGTTCGCCCCGAGCATGTATCGAGCACTGGGTTACGGGTGGGCAAACAGTGTCATGGCCTTGGCGGGTGTGATTATCTCCTTCCCGCTTCCCGTCTTCATCTGGACGTACGGAGCTCGGTTGAGGGCCAGGGCGACGTCGACCTACTGAAGAGGCCTTGTCATAGCCTCGAAAACCTGCACACAACACTTAGCTGGTATTTGTTGTTCTATATGGAAACGATAAGAGCCTGTCATCTTATCGGTTCGAATATCAACCGACGGTCTGAAATGGTCATGGAGCAGCAAAACAATAAACAGCAAGTACCTTTCTGAACAGATTACACACCTGGTTGTCTGCCGAGCAATGTTTCACGGAACGTGAAAGCTCCAGACGATGTCTACCAAAACTTGACATTGGATTCGAGCGGAGTGGGACGCCCACGACGCAAAACAAGGAATCGGGGATAGCGACTCGTCAAGCGCTGCAGTTGGAAGTGATCAACCTCATGCATTTCGTATTGAATAGGTGCACCATATCCAGCCACGCGGGGCGCGGCCGTATATGTGGATCGCCAATGAGACGAACCAAAGCACCACTTCGGGCGAGCAGCCTCGGAAACGCCACCAAGCGTACATCGAGCCAAGCCAGGACGACTCCGCAGAAACCACCTTCCTATCTTTTGTTGTTCATCATTCAACAGCAGCAGCAACGGCGTCGCATGGTCTCGTTTCTCCTCGGATTTTGCCAACTGCCGGACACAGGTCACTGACTATCATAACCTTGATGGGAGTCCAGTGTCAGCGTGGACACTCTAAGCCGGGGGACGTGTGAGTCGAAGCCTTGAGGCGAGGTCGGAGGGATAGACGTATCGTATTTTGCTGATATTTCCCTGCCGGTAGACCCTGAAAAAAATGAGGGTTTGCACTCTCCCGGGCCAGAGGTACAATGCGCGGTGTGTCGTTCTTCTACATCGCGTGCCCTACGGCAGACAGTACCACCTTGCCTGCCGCTCCCGATTATGGGCTTTCCAAGGACTCGAAGCGGGTTATCCAACACATAACCGAGTCCATAAGTGCTGGCTTCTGTGTACGTGCAAAAGAAGCTTACCGAAACATGGGAGAGCTTCTTCAGCCAGCCGTATTCCTCATACAAAGTCCCATTCGAAGCCCCCAAATATGGGACTATGAAACGATAAATTCGGCAATGGAGCGGATGATTGGACAATGATGGCCACAACTCATTCGGCATATCGGAAAGGGATTCGAACTCATGGCCCTTGCCTCAACATAAGCTTTGGGTGAGACGATCGAATACTCGTTGCGCGTGAATACTTTCCAGAGGGGCTTTCTGTAAACGTTAGGTTCTGCAGACAATGTGACATGAAGATGTTAGACACAGTCGCCGCAGGTTGATCCGGTGGAAAACAATGCGGGCTACTTTGCCATCTCAATGTTTGGAAACATCTTCGAAAACGGTTCTGCAGCTCCTTGCATATGCAGGTGATCAAGGACTGCCGCACAGTTCCTCCAGAGAGCTGGATACTAGCAGCTGCAATTAGCCGCCTTTTCAAGTGAAAAGCATTTCCTGTCTCGCTAGGGACTCAATAGGGGTGGCTCCGGTGGTTCATTCGTGGACAGAAACGATTGTTGCAATACTTGCGTACTCGGGACTTTTTGCCCACGGCGTCGTACGCTCAGATGAGAAGGAAAGATTCGCCCAGAGAAAAGATGGCAAGGCTGGCCTCCGTGGGTGAGCCGGGTCGAAATGGTGCCCCGCCGTCTCTCGCAACTCAGCGGCCACGCGCCCTTAAAAAAACACCGCCGGTTCGGGAGGGTATACACGGGGTAAGTCGGCGGTGTTTTTATTCATTTTAGGGCGCGTGCCGGCTAGGTCTGACACCTGGGTAGGAGTTGTGGCCCAACTGTACACGGTCTTGCTTGGAACGCAGGCTGGGATACCACGAGTCGTTACCGACGACTGCATCGGGCGAACTGTCACTCGGTCGTCTCTCCTGGCTCTCATTAAAAAGGTCCATATCATACCGTGTGTCGGTTTGAAATTGGCACTAGGTTCATTAGCGAAGACTTACAAGAGGTGCCGTGAGCGATAAGCAGGGCAATCCGCATGACAAGGGATGAACGATGGCTCAAGCATTCTGAGCCAGTCGCCCAGGCTATTGGCTTCGCTCAAACCGACTTCAGGCAAAGTGTGGTCGAGAGTCAAGCATGGTTTGCTCTCCATGCATCCCCTCCCTGAGGCCGCGGATGCACCGTGACAGGACCGTCATCTTGGGCGCTAGGAGAAATGGCTGCAGATCGAGCCTTCCGCGGCGACGCACCAACACATGGCATTACTTGTTTCAGCAAACTCGTAGGCGTCCAGCTGAGAATAGCAGACCAATCGACATGGGACCCGGTGCGGGGTTGGGTGGTTGGGTGGGCAGAGATTATGCCCAAAGTCCCCCGTCGGATTCTTGTGATCCTCTCAGTTCATTCGGGATGCGTGAGATGAATAACATCGGCATTATGGATCATGGGGTCTCACATGGCGTTGGTGGTAGATTGCGCTGCCTGGGCGTTTGACGGGTTGGAACCTACGATACGGCCTCGCTGCCACACACCACCGGCAATTCTATGATGGGTAGATGGCGACACTCGGCGGTAGGCACCCTTATACGGCGAGCCAGATGTAGGGCGGTCCACATCTCGGCGCCGGTTAGTTTGACCCGTTGCGATCCTGCTTGCGGCGGAGGGCATGCTCTCAATGGGCTGGTGGTGCGGCCGGTGGATTTGCCATTGTAAGAAAAAGAGATGCGTTGGCAGTAGGGCCTCCTTGTGCCTGGTCTGGACCCGACAGACTGTTACCGGACAGCGCGACGGGTGAGATGCGGAAATGAGCGTGGCTATCGTTGCGGCAATAGCAGGCAAGAAGCACGTCGGAGTATGTCCGCTCGGCGTCGTCTAAGACGGGGCCTCGCGTTGTTTGCGAGATGTTGCCGAGTCTGATGGACATATCAGACACTGCAGCTGTGGCCGAGGCAGACAGCCGGATACCAACTGGTACCGCCGTGCTGGGACAGTCATCGCATTGTGTGCCATACCTTGGTAGCAACTCAACCAGGTGGGTGCGCAGTGGGTTCTCCATCGCTCGACATGTCTCCCTCATTGGCGTGGGTACTTTGTCGATGGCGCTGATTGACAAGTACGGTATTTGAGTCCTCTACGAGAAGGCCTAAAGACGCTGCTCCATCGTAACGGCCGTAGCCTTGTGTTTTGAACTTGGCGCCGCGAGGCATACGAGCTGGAAGTCAAAGAATCGAAGCTGTGGCTGCGTGTAGGTATGAAGACGAACATGGGACCGAGCGTCACAACCAAGTCTACATAGTAAACTGGCGGGATGACGGACCCGCCGCCTAGCTCGTTGCCGACGGGAGAGAGCCCCTGCCAAAGTCGAGGTGAACACAATCACCAACAGCTGAGAACCAACAAAAGTGGAGAGAACGGGTCAACGGTTAGGACACGGGACGCCGGGGGACGAAAACGAGAAAGGCGACGTGGTCATGGAGGTGGATCTTTGGACACAAGTGTGATTGGCATAGGTACCAAGGGGGACCTTGTATCCGTAAATGACCCCATAATGGAACTAGTTTTGTCGTCCCTTACGGAGCCCACTGTCTCTCTGGGTTGGACGACCCGCCAGCTGGCGCGCGACCGTCAGTGCATCGCTCTGTCTACGCAGTGAGGCGGCCTCGTTGGATTGGGACTTCTTCCGACCTCGTGACTCGATGCCCTTCCTGTTGAGCTGGCCCTGGCTTGTATGAATCGAGCATTGCCATCACGCACCTGCTTTATTCTGTCCGCCGCTGTCCAGGATCGACCAGCTCAAACGCCAGGAACAGTCCTCCAGCCACCAGAGGTTGATTTGACGCCAACCCATACAGCACGCGTGTACCTAGCACACCTCGACGACAGACAGATAAAGCACGAACCCGCCCACGGTCGGGTGCAAAGGTGGGCTGCAATGGCCCGTCGTTAGCGGCCAGGACCGCCAACTCGGTTAGCGGGCGCAGGTCAGAGGTGAGCAACGCCCCTGGATGCAGCTATCCCCTCGCGAGGAAACGGGGAACTGGAAACGAACCGTTTAAAGAAAAAGAAAAAAAAAACACAGACTGGATTTGTCTCACCGGCCGTCTCAGCAGTAATTGGGGGTGCTCGTGGAAGGCGACATCTGAGACCCCAAAATGGCCCGACATCCAGGTACTCTGGGTCGCGGGCGGGCGCGCGCTCGAGAGGCTTGTCTGTAAACATGCACGATATGCTCGACTTTGTTCCACCGCTCACCCTGGTCGTGGCCCCTGTTTCCTATCGGCAACAACATTGCTCGCTGACAGGCAAACGAGAACCCGGAATCAGCGTTACATCTCTGCTGTCCCCGTCAGCGGCATGCCCACACCAGCGTCCCAAAGCTGTAGAGCTGCAAATCACGCCGGTCCTGGTGTGCCAACCCCGGCTCTGTAATCTACTGGACCATCTCTCGTTGGTTTTGGCCGTGGGTGATTGGTCGCTTCGCTGTGAGGATCAGAGGACTCCCTAAAGGCACCGCTTAATGTCCGTGTGCAACGTAAAGAGTCGTGCAATCGAGGCTCCACGCGCCGTTGTCGAGGTCGCAACGAGCGGCATACGTCATCAGGATGCTTGCCCCGAGTGCAGAGCGCAGCGTACAATGGCCTGCCAAGCAGAGAGCCGGGAGCAGGCGGACGATGGGGCCAGTGGCCATAACGTCGGTCCCGAGAAGGTGTTGCGGACGTCGGATGGCTGCCGGGGCCCGCCTCGGCGCAGAGATGCTTTGAACTCGACTCGGAATGCTCCGTCACAGGCGACGGCTGCTCCAGACAACGAGACCAAACCGACAGGGCTTCACGCTGTGAGGGCAGTTTGAAAAGGGGAAGACGGAAGCGGGCTGCACCAGCTCATTTGATGGGTTTCTGCGTCGGCTCTGGTTCGAGACCAGCGGCGGCTCTGTCTGCTATAGGCGGTGCTCAGACTGTGGACCTGGGAGCTTCAGGCAGGGAACGCAGGCCGTGTCAGCACGGAGAAACGGCAGATGCAGTGGTCGGTCGGCGGTTTGTTATTGCCCGGGGTGCTGGTTCGTGAGAAGTCGGCAGTCATGCGCGTGGCAGCAGGGCGATTAGCAATGTAGGAGAGATGAGGCCGAGGAGTGTCGAGGTGCCGACGGAAGGGTTCAGGTGTGCAAAATAACGGCGCATTATGCGATTTTACGGCGTAGATAGGTCATTCGCCGATCGGGCGAGCAAGCGGGACGGGCGTTTGCCTTGATTGAGGCGGCATGTTTGCCCAAGGTCGAGAGGATGTTGAGCAATACAGTTGGGAGGGCAGCGGAGGAACGAGGTGCAGGGCGAGGATTATCAGTGGCTGTCTGGGGGTTGTGTTTGGGCTGGGGCAAAACAGAGAGCAAGAGGCAGAAGCAGCGGGCCGGATAGGAGCAAATGCCCCTGTGAGTGATCCAGTTGCCCTTGACCGTCAGGGCTGGCCGGCAAAGAAGTGATATCTTGGTCCATGTAAGGTGTGCTCGTCCAGGATGCATGTGCCTCGGTTTCCATCTAGCCCGGTAGCCGATGACTCGTCCAATGTGGCAAGGGCGAAGGGGCTTTCAGAAGGTGCTTGTATGCGTTGCCGTTCTAGGAAGTTTCAGGCCTCGGGTGTGTTGCAATCTTCGACTTACATGGCTCAGCAGTGGCAGTCGACACGACGGGCGGGCAAGGCATTGATCTCGACCTCCACTCGGCGACCGTTGCTTAATGGTCGAGGGCGGGATTCGGCCGGTGGCAGCACATAGTACAGAGTAAGGCGTTGGCGAGCGAGCGAGAGGCCTGACGCGGTCCAAAGGTCAGCCAACAAACAGAAGACAACGGAGAGAGAGAGGGCATTGCCCGGGCCCGGGCCGCACTCACGCATGCCCTGCCAGCAGAGGCAGAGGCGGGCGCAGTCGAGGCTGCGGCAGCGACGCGGGAGGAGAGTTGTCGCCGAACTGTATTCCAGAAGCGTAGTCGTGTCTTGGGCAGGGTGATGCAGTCGATGCAGTCGGGGGAAGGGAGGGAAAGGGAAGGGATGATGCGTGGGCCGGGATGAAGGATGGATTAGCCCCAATTACAATTTCCACCGTCCAACAGAGGCAGGTCCCTGGGCACTACAGATGATGCCGCACCCCCCCCCCCGAGTGCAGAGTCTTTCTATATTGGTACAGGCAGGGCGTTAGTGCCATGGAGCTAGCAGCGTGGTGACAACCTCGAGGGCTTCCGTCGCACGTGCAATCGAGGTGAAGGCATTGATGGGGCTGTGGCTGTTGTGACTGTCATACTTCTTGCGCGCCTCGTGTCACCCCAGGCTAAGTAAGGCAGGCTCTCCGTCGTCGACGCAAGGTAATCGACGGCTGATTTTGCCAGATGAGACGGGCGTTCCTAGCGCGGGCCGTGACCGTCGAGCAGCTCACTAAAACAAAACAGAAGGCTGTATGTGGTGTAGGCATGGCCCCTGGCGCCAATCGCCGGCCGCCATGGGTGCACCCGTGGTTTAGCGGGCCCTTGAGGATAGCGCATCCCCGCAAAGTTGACGACAGGCGACGATGATGCGAGTTGTGTACTAGCCAACATCTTTGTTGAGTGGATTTACACAGAGAGGCGACTGAGCGACTGTCTTAGGTATGCATTGTGAACCGCGGATATAGCTAATGTACATACATAGTAGCCAATCCAAATGCGGGACGCCACAGCGACCGGAATGCTGGAGCCTGTTCAAGTGGTCGGTCCAACAGCATCAGTTACCAACAGGGGGACATTTGTCCCCCTCGCGGGTTTACACTAGGCGTGCATAGTCGCGTTGTATTGCGAGCGGTCTCCGGCGCTCCCAGGTCCCCAGCTGCAGTTCCGACGACACGGCCGAGAGAGCCTGATTCGCCCAGCGGCTCGACTGGGCACAGGAGCCTCGCATGCGCAACCTGCACGCCAATGGAGACTTTGCTCTGAGTACATGTTGCACAACGCCCGCCCACTGGCTCGCCATCCCCATCTGCACTTGCTAGACACGACTGAAATGAAGCTACCCACTGTTGCAGTTGCTGCACTCAAGGCCCAAGGACCGAGGACCGGTCACCTCAGGCAAGACACCCTGATACGTACCTCATTGGGCGTGCACCTTCCCACGCTCCCAACCGTCCAGTCCGGGCGGTGTTGGCTGCTCCTTCCCTCAGCTTCTCCTCATCTTCTTTGTCCAATCACGCCGTTCATCCGATAGCCAAGCAGTACGTACTCGATGCAAAGTACATGTCACCCCCTCTCTCTGTGTCTCTCTAGGTACTTCTCCATCCATCTATGCTTCTTCTTCTTCTCTCTCCTCTGCGCCGAATGGAAAGCTACCATGGTACGGAGTACCTCGCGTCCCCTTTTCCCCGTTCCCACCCCATTCCCACGCACCCGTCTTTCCTTTTCCCATCTGGACGGTGGCCGAGTGCGATGCGGTACCCTCCCTAACTCCCCTCCTCCGGCCACTCACCGACAAAAACCCCGCCAGCCACCGTCCCGACTCCCCAGTTGCCCGCGAATGTCGCCTCCTGTCTCGTCCCTGATCGGATCCATGATCCCGGTCCCTGTCCTGGTCGCCGCACCCCTGTCCATGCCTCTTGGCCGACGGCCCCAAGCCCATCCGTTTCCGCGCCCTCTCTCTCGTCTCTATCAGCTCCTTTCTTCATCGTGTGTACCTGCGACAAGTCATTTCACCCGGATCCTGCCACTGAATGAACGCCTCCGCGTCGCTCTCCCTCCCGCGTCCACGTTGGTTGTTCCGTCATTCGGATCATGACCTCTGCTTGCTACGGGCTGGTGGCGGACTCGGGCAGTCGAGAGAGAACAATCGTCGCCTCAGCCAGATAGCACTCACCTCGGGCGGGCGTTGGAGTTGGCCGTCGTCCTTGTTCAATTTGCTTGCTCTCGTCGCCCGCCCCTGTCTCCTTGGTGTCGAATCCCTCCTCGGCGCCCATCCTCTCTTCTCTTCGCTTACCACCCTTCGCGTCCAACAAGTCCACAAAGTCCAGTAAAGACCCAAGGCCCCAATTTCTCTCCCCCATCCACCACATTGTCCGACGTGGGACCAGATCCCGGTCTCTCCTCGAAAAGACAAGCCAACACTGCACCTGGTGTTTTGCGGATGCCGCGTGCTGATTGACGCTGGCCGGCCCTGATCCTCGCTCGTCCTCGCCCTTTCCTTCTCTTTTCTCTCCCCCTTCGCCCTCGCCATCCGCCTCTCCTCAGCCAAGCGGGCGACCTACCGCCGTACGGGCTGAGCGAACAGGGAGTCCAGACCCCAGCGCGCACTCGTTTGGCGCCGTAAATCGACTTTGGAATTGCGTATTGTCCCTGTCCGGCTGTCCGCAGCTTCATATACATACGTGCCAACGACCCCCCCACCGCCCACCACCACCTTGCCCTTTTCTTCTCTTTACTACCTAACCGTGCCTCGCCTCTTCACGCCGCACACCCTCGTCCACACCCACGCCTATCCGACACTGCCTGGTCTGATCCGACCGGCCAAACACAACTCGCCGCCTCTCGCTCGCTCGCTCACTCACAATCACAACATTTCTCCTGCATGCAAGGCCACACCACTCCGTCTCGTCCTCGATTCGTGCCTCCCGGTTCTCAGGTGCCGCCATTAAACCAAACCCGCTGGTCATATACTCACCAAGGATCTTCCCAAATTAATTCTCTCATCACCTTCGTCCCGTACATGTTGCCCGTTACCGACAACGAGTAGAACGTGACCCGACTGCACATTTCGACCAGTGGCCGGGACAGTGAGGAGGAAAAAAGAAAAGAAAAGAGAGCGAGTCGAGCCTGTTCTGTTCTGTTACAAGACGTCTGCCCAACCTTGCCCGCCAAGGAGCGAGGGTCCATCCGACAAGACGTGGGCAAAAGAGCTACTCCCTGCTACCTCCCGTCCGCCCGTTCCTCTCCAGCATCCAGCATCGTTCTCCCCTCCAGCTTCTCGACTAGTCCTCTCGATCTTTGTTCCTTTGCGGGAACTCCCAATGGACGTGGTCTGACCTGCATCCGCCATCTGACGCCGTTTCTTCATCATCCAACCAAATCTGACCATCTGAACCCGCCATTCCTCACCTCCCCACGCACGCCGATCGTGGTGAGCGCATCCGGAGCAAAAGTCTCTTTTTCCACGCTTCACTCGGCCAAGGGCTGAGTACGGATCTGAGACCTCTCCACCCACTGGTGAGCTGGCTCCGAGCGCCACATCTCGAGCCGAGAACGTGGATTTGTGGCCTTCCGCCGGAACGGGCGTTGGTGCTAACAAGGGCATCTTGCTCTCAGTAGCATCTCGTCGTCATCTTTACCTTCCCATGTCCTTTCACACGGCAGAACCTCCATCTCGTCAATACGCTGGCTACCAGGCGGAAGCAGACAGCATGGCTCAAAGACCTCCCTCGTGGGCGCCTTCGCCGTCGTACAGCCCGTTGAAGCTGGAAGGCGGCTACGTCTATGAGTCCGAACCTGCGCGGCATCCGCATCCAATGAGCATGAACTCGCAGCCCAGGCCAGTCAAGCGCGAGCACCAGCCCGAATATTATCAACCCGAGTACCAACAGGCTCAGTACTATCGCCAAGACTATCACCATCATCACGAATACCACCAACCGCCTTCGCCAGTCTACCACCAATCACAACAGTACCAGCATTACCAACCACTACCGCACCAACCCGCGCAGCTCACAGACCCATACAGGTCGGCACCCATGCCTAGGTATCCCCAGGAACCGCCCCGCGAATCGCCGACTTCAGCCTCAACTGGTGAGCCCTACGACGAGTACCAGGCGGCGAGAGAAGCACACTTCCTCAAGCGTAACCAGCCCCCGCAAATGCCGCAGATTCCGCAAGGCGCGCCGCGCGTGCTGAACGACACGTACCAAGGAAAGGTCGCCATCCCCTTCACGCCACCGAGTTTGAGGATCCCTGCGCAGCGACCCGGTTCTGCCATGCCGGTGGCTGGAGCGTCGTGGAGCGCCACCAGTCAGTCGGACAGGCTCAAGATCGAGGACCTCCTGAGCGGTGGAGGCAACGATCTGAGGACGGTCCAGCGCGCTCCGGAGCCAGACGTCAAGGTGGTGAACAACGAGTACGAGATTTTCTTTCGCCAACAGCCCATGGCGGCGCGGTGCTGTGGCTACGGCGAAAGAGACCGGAGAGTGATTGACCCGCCGCCCATTGTCCAGCTGAAGATTAACAACCCCGATCTCACGCCCGACGAGCTGTATCAAAGGATCCACCACCCAGCCTACGTTGTCCACTGCAGTATCTGGAACGAGGAAGGGACCGTCGACAGCACCAACATGCCCGATGACGTGGCGAGGCCGGGTAAGCGCATCATGGGTTCGCTCGTGTCGTCGCCCTTTGTGGGCCAGGATGAGAACGGCGAGGAGGGCTGCTTCTTCTGCTTCCCTGACATGTCGGTCCGCACACCGGGCCACTACCGCCTCAAATTCGTCCTGGTCGTCGTCGATCCCGCCCACAGGTCGTTGCGGGCGCCCATCAGATCAAGTATCATGAGCGCCGTCTTCACCGTCTACAGCGCCAAGGACTTCCCCGGCATGCAGGCTAGCACCCCTCTTACGAAGCGTCTTAAGGAGCAGGGTTGTCTCATCTCCATCAAGAAAGGCAACGAAAAGTCTGGCGGAAAGAATGCGCGCCGGCAGCAGGACGACAGCGAAGAAGAGGAGGAAGAGGAGGAGGAAGCCGGGACATCGGCCAAGCGCAAGAAGACACGGAAGCAGAAGTGAATCAACGACATCCGGAGTAGCAAGCCGGTAACCGGTAAATGGAGCATAAGGTGGTAACACGGCGTTGGTGGAGATGGTCAAAATCCAGCGAATATACGGCGGCGATGGTTCTCGTTTCGGTCGGGCTATTCTTTACAATGCGGGCGTACAAGAACGAGTGCGCAGTGCTTCAAGTTCGACGCTCTCCCAGAGACATACCTCATCACGACCTCGGAGCGAGGGGCTTCCGCGATCAAGGTCTTCTGCCGTGTCTACTCATTTTTGTCGCATGTTTTCCTTTTTTTCTTCCCCTTTTCTTATTTCTTACAGTTTGCTCAACATTTCCTCGTATCTATATATACCCTTAGTGGAACTCTTTATGGGTTATGATCATGGAGAAAAACAAGAGTCTGGGAGATGGTCGGCTCTTGAGGGCCTGGCTGCATCATTGGCGGAAAGAGGCACAATATTTAGTTACAAGCGATTTGCCCTCCCCCGTACGTGTACAGAGTTTAGGTACTGCCACCTTGCTGGGCATACACATGAAGACAATCAAAGTCGGGGCGCCGCCTTATCTCTGGCATTCTTACACATGCTTGGTGCTGAGGCGAAGCTTGATGACACCGCTAACCCTAGCGAGCGGGCAAGGGATGCCTTGGTTCGCTTTGGGGTGTTGACTTAGACATGGCCCCATTAACACGCCTCGGGCGTCGTTGGCGCCGACGATCTCTATCCAGCTTCCGGGCCATTGTTACACAGCACGCATTCTTCGGCACGTGAGCGTACGCTCCTGGTCCACGGCCCGAGGTGTGGAAGTTGCCGGTCGGGGTTGGCGAGGGAGCCTCCGAAGGTACGCGCATGTCTTTGCAGACTGACTGCACGCATGCTCCATCACGTCACGCAAAGGGTTTTCCTGGAGGCTCCCTGGCCAGTCGGACGATCTGCAGCATGGCGAGTCAGGCGAGGGTGCATGGGGGTTTGCACCGTGGACCACCAAGCTTGGGGCGTATGGTGCGTCGCGATTCCGCAGCCACCCATCCGCTAAACTTTCGGGTAGGGCGGGTGGGCGGATCGTAAATCTCTCAATCTCGTTTTCATGATTTACGTCGCGGGACGACTCGCCGTTTGACGGCGGCGCGCGGGCCCGACCCCGGAGTGCTAAATTAAACCCGGCCTGGCGGCTCCCCGTGTCCCAATCGCGTGCGCCGAGTCATTGACATCATCGACTCGTACACATTGTTTTTCGCAGCCAAACTTCGTCCCCGGTTACGTGCGCCGCGTTGCACTCCCTGCCAAATCGTAGAATTCGCTCTGGCTGCCACATTGACGATCTTCAAGGCTCGTCAACTTGTCGTGGTTTGTGATCCTTGCGTTACACACCAGCCGCATCCCTCACATCTCATCACGATGACCGCCGGCCCGCGCGTCATTTACTGGTTCCGGACCGACCTCCGCTTGCACGACTCGCCCGCCCTTGCGGCCGCCCTCGCCCTCGATCCGGCCGTCCTCTGGCCCATCTTCACATGGGATCCGCACTATGTCTACCGCGCCCGTGGGGGCCTGAACCGGTGGCAGTTTCTGTACGTCCCCCGGCGGGCCCATGCCTCACAAGCTTACCAGAGCACGCAGACTAGATTGCCAGAACGACCTGTCAGAGAGCATCACCAAGCTGAACCCCCGGTCTAAGCTGTTCGTGCTGCGCGAGGGCCCGCAGACACTTTTCCCCAAGCTCTTCAGGGCGTGGAAGGTGACGCACCTAGTCTTTGAAAAGGACACGGACGTGTACGCGCGCGAGAGGGATGAGGTCGTTATGAAGGCCGCCAGGGAGGCGGATGTCGAGGTCATCGTCAGGAGCGGGCGGACGCTGTGGGATAGCGACGCCGTCGTCGCGAAGCATGGCGGCAAGCCGACCGTGTCTATATCGCAGCTGCAGGCGGCCGGCGCCAAGGTCGGGCCCATCACGAAGCCGATCCCCGCGCCGGAGAGGCTGCCGGATCCCGGCGAGGTGCCGGTGGACTTTGAGCAGACGCCGCCCGAGACGAGGCCCGACTTCAACGCGGGGCAGCGGACGGAAGGGGACGCGGCCTACAAGAAGATTGCGGGCCCGAACGGGGATTTTGCGGTTGAGACCATGGAAGAGCTGGGTTTCCCGTCAGCCACTACGCCGCACAGGGGCGGGGAGACGCGAGCACTCAGGTTGCTCGAGGGGATCTTGGCAGACAAGAAGTACACCGCCACGTTCGAGAAGCCAAAGACGAGCCCCGCGGCGTTCGAGCCGCAGTCGACGACCTTCATGTCACCCTTCTTGCACTTTGGGGCGCTGTCGGTGCGCGAGTTCTACTGGAGGGTGCAGGACGTCGTGTCCAAGTACGGGAAGGGGGCGTCAAAGGTACCGGAGAGCTTGATAGGGCAGCTGCTGTTCCGCGACATGTACTTCGCGGCGCACGCTGCGCTGGGCTACAATTTCACGCAGACAGCCAACAACCCCTACTGCCGCTTCATCCCGTGGCACCTACCGTCCAAGGTCAATGCGAAGACGGGTCTTGTCACCGGAGAGTACCACATCGACTCGGAGCAGGCGGACGAGTGGTTCCGGCGGTGGAAGTACGGGATGACGGGGTTTCCGTGGATCGACGCGCTGATGCGGCAGCTGCGAGAGGAAGGCTGGATTCACCACTTGGGCCGCCACGCGGTCGCCTGCTTCCTGACGCGAGGAGGGTGCTACATCGACTGGGAGCGTGGCTGCGAGGTGTTTGAGGAGTGGCTGCTCGACCACGAGCCTGCGTGCAACGCAGGAAACTGGCAGTGGCTCAGCTGCACGGCCTTCTTCTCGCAGTACTTCCGCTGCTACAGCCCCGTTTCGTTTGGCCAGAAGTGGGACAAGCATGGAGCCTTTGTGCGACGCTGGGTGCCGGAGCTCAAGAACCTGGATGCAAAGTACATCTACGAGCCGTGGAAGGCTCCGCTACCCGATCAGAAAAAGGCCGGGGTCAGGGTGACCGGCCGCGGGGAGAAGCAAGAAAAGGGGATCTACCCGAAGCCCATGTTCGACTTCAACGAAAGAAGGACGGCGTGTTTGGCGGCGATGAAGAAGGCGTACGAGGTCGGTCTGCACGGCAACGACGACAGGGTCCGGGACGGTAGCTGGCGCGAGCTGTTCGCGGGCCAGGATACCGAGATGATGGACGAGTTTGAGAGCGACGACGGCGAGCGCGCAGATCACACCGGGGACGACCGTCCGGGCGTCAAGGCGGAGCCCAAGGGAGACGAGATTACGCCGGCCAAGCGAAGCGCCGACGAGGGCAGCGCCGAGCAGCATGCCGACAAAAGGCAAAGGTCCTAGCCAGGCGTCGTGCCAAGCTAGGTCTCATGCATTGATCTGGCCCGCAGGGCGGAGATGCGGTCGGAGATGCGGCCGGAAACATTACAGGATGGTCTTGGCGACAGGCTGGCGGGCCCTATGAGAGGTGTTGAGTGACTGTAACCGATATTGAAGACTTCAGGTTGAAGTCAGTGGTCTCGTCAGAGTTTTAATTGGCCTGACGGGCGGCGGAGAACCGGCGTCGCAATACGGAATCTTGTCCGCGTTCACCGCCAATCAGAGCATGATGTGACAAGCTGGCCAAACCGGGGTCATTTGTTCTTGGAGAACATCTCTAAACGTCCGCGGCACGGTGATGACACCACCAAGCCCAGGCATGATGATCAGCCTCTTGGTCAGGTAGGCCGCAGAGGCGACAGGGTTGTGGAGGGCGGTCTCCGGGATGCTTCGTGCGGCAATAGGGTGCCCTTGACCGAAATATATTCCGTGACGGTGTTTCCTATCAGAAAATCTTGCGATCGGATGTGCTATTTATCAGGCCGCTCAAGGTGAAGTCGCGGAAACATGAAAGAGTACGTATCCCGAATGATGATGGGAACTGTCCTTGGGTATTCGTTTGTTGTTACGTTGCTGAGACAAGCTGTCGGCCTTTGGCGTTGGATGTCGCGCTGTCCAGCCGGCCGTCAACCCGGCAGCCCCAGCCAGACAACCCAGCCTCGGTCAAGAACCCTTCCAGCTTACGGGCATCATCGAATCTCCCGATATGGGCAGCCTCTTCATCTCACACTCGATGCAAAACTTAGGCCTAGACCAACACCTCGCGTCCGACACCTCCCACACCTTTGATATCTCGCCCGATGACGCTGGGCGCCAGACCAGCACCCTCTCGCAAGACGTCAAGATGGAAATGGAGCCTGTTCTATACCAGCTGCATAACACTGTTAGGGCAGCTGCATTGCCGCCCGTCTCCGTCATAATGGACGACTCAACCAGGGCTCTCCTCCGGTAGAAATGCTTAGAGGTCACCGCTATAGCATTGGCAGCTGGCCTTGGAGATTTATACACGAGCGTCTGGGACCAGTACCTCGTTGACGTTGTCAGAGCTGCCTCGTATGCGTTGGGTGTGGGATAAGACCTTTGATACTAAAACTACCGGCGTGCTGTGGAGGAGCTGCGGAGGAGGATAGTGCAGTTGTCGGTTGGGGCGCGCAGGAAGGTATGTATACCTAGTACCCGCCACGAGAGAGCCAACCAATGGTTGTCCGTGGGCTGCTGAGGCACAGGAGCTTGGACGACGTGGCGGGTCTCGAGAACCGCAAAGAGGAAGTCAAACGCAGAGTGCACTGGCTTCGTTGAATTGTTTACCTACTCAGTAGAGATTTACCTTGAAACTGCTGAAGAGTGATTTAGTCGCAATGTTCGCAATACTCTACCGAGCAATGCGCTGCTGCGTAAAACTCGCTGCATCTACCTGTCTGTACCGGTTCACTGACCTCGAAAAGCGGGGCATTGGGTTCCTAATCGGGAACGGCCGTCCAATCAGGATGTCCGGTCTGTGCAGGCAGTAAGCGTCCAGACGGAAGCCACTAATTGCGTCTCCTTCTCGCCTTACCGCCTCAAAGTCTCTGGTGTCACACGTTCCAGTTACGTTCCGTGGTGAGGCTGGATCAAAGCAAGAACTCAACCATAGCATTGATGCCTGCTTGGCATTGGCACGAACGGAAGGTAGAGAGCCATGACACAAGCTAACTATGAGGTTCCCTCCCGAGATATAAGGAGCTGCGAGCTCCAGTCCAGACGAGAGATCTCACCATCACGCACCACTAAACGACACACACCGGGATACAGAGTCCAACATGTCACAGGCAGTCGACCATGAGGCCGTGGAGGTCATGCCTGAAATCCGCGCCGAGCAGAAGCCCATTGCCAGCAACCGAAAGGTGAAGGTTCGCCTCGGTAACGACGGGCCATCCTTCTCAAACACAGACATATGCGTCTCCCATGGCGGCAAGGAGAACGCTCTGTCTATCCAGCTGAACCGCACAATCCGCGTACCCGATAACAGAGACACCAACGATCTTCCGCCTGGCATGGGAATCTTCCCCCTCTTCAAGGTCCGCGACTACGCAAACAAGATGCCCAAAGACATGGCCAAAAAGGGCGGTGTCTTCTTCCCCATGTACCAGCGCGAGGCCATGTGGATCAGCTTTAGTGCCAATGCACCGTTCGCCATCAAGATCTACATCGGCGGTGTCAACGCCGTCTCCGGATTTCCCATGACGGAGAACGACAAGACTAAGGAGAAGAGGCTGAAGATGCTCAACAGTGGCAAGCAGATCCAGGACTATGTCGTGGTACCCGAACAAAACTGGCTGGACGGCATCGTATCAGAGGATGGCAAGATACGGCAGTTCGTCGCACAGCCCAAGGGATCCGGCTTCTCTGTTGAAGCCCAGGTCACTGGGGACGAGAAGGTTGGCGGCATCCAGATCGAGCTCATCCCCGTCAAGAAGAACTTGCCCTCCGAGTTCGATGTTCGATATCAAAACAAAGATTTCGAGATCGTCACCCGCACCTTCAATCTCTCTAAAAAGAGCCTAACCGCCGAGAGCACATGGGGAGACGTCAAGAAGCTTATTCGCGACGAGTTCGACGTTGCCGTCCAGGAGCAGGTTCTCCGTCACTACGGAAGCTATGTAATCAATGGCCACAATGGGTCCGACTTCTTGGATTTCTCGGATCATTCCAAGCTTGGTGACACTTACTTCCCGCCTGGATTTTCCACAATCAGTGTTGTTGATCGGCTTTGGCAGCCTCGAGGTGGTGCCAAAAGGCGTAGGATCGTCAGTGGCAGCGACGGCGGGTATGAGCCCACTTCTCCGGTGGCTGCTGCAAGGGTGGGACTGGTGGCCAGTTCTGCTCTACAGGGGAACACTAAGACTAGCACGGAGAAGGCCATGGTGCTTGAAAACGCTGACGGAAAACACACCGAGAGCAAGTCCTCGAGTGCGGCACCGCCGCCGGAGGTCAAGGAGATGGGTCTCGCAGCTGGCGGCCTCATCAAGCAGTCGATAGAAGCCGATACACACCCTGCGGATATTTGGGACGTCGAGGCTTCGGTGATGATGAATCTCCAGATCCTAGACGTTGAGTCGTTCTGCGCCGTCACCGGCCAGCCGGCCCCTAACACGCCCGTCGATGCTCAGTCGTACGCTAATAGCGGGTATCCCTTTTCCGAGATCTGGGGAGAGGAGAAGAGCGGCATCAAGGGCGACTTCTCCGGGGTCAAGAGTGTGGCGCAGATCGAGGCCGAGCGAGCCAAGGCCAAGAGCAAGGACTTTAAGGAGGAAGAGAGCGTGCCGGTGCGGGTGGTGCAGCTGGGTCACTTCAGGAGCACTTTCCGCCCCGTGGATCTGCTTAGGATGGAACTTGAGGGACTGGGTCTGAATACATGAAGCTGGGTCATGATATCCGGACTGTCAAACGGCGGAAACAGCCTCCAAACACTGCACGTACTGCACGTTCTGGATTAAGAATATTCCTGGGCTAGGCCAATATGTCTCCAAGTCTCTTTGAAGCATTTCCGTGTGAACTGTCAGCTAGAATCCCTGCATTCAGACGTCTTGCTACGATGTCACCTAGATGTCCACGAAAGTCATTAGTGAAGCTTGGGTCATCCTTCAACCTCTACAATTGCTACGAAGGCCGGTCTTCAATGAGTTGTGCACGTGAAGCTTATATGCACTCAATCGTCATGCCATCACCTTGCGATTTCACATACTTTCTAACAGTCGTCAGGGAAGCGGGCGGACACCGTCTTGTCGCTCCAGAACTGCCGGACGACGGACATTTGTCATGTCCGGTCCATCACGCGGCCCAGGTCTCATCCAAGAGGACGACGTACGAACTGAAACTGCAAGCTGCCCTGTCAGCATCCCGTCCGTTCTAGACGTCAAGTCTCCGGATGCCACTGCGATGCGCATGCGGAGCCAAGCTGGACCTCGGCCCCCCCGCATCGCCATCCATGCCATCCCAACATTTATCCCACCAGGAGAAGCCCGTTCCCCATCGTCTCAACCTTTAGACTTACATGCCTTGATCGGACGGTGTCGAACTCGTACCTCGGCTGCACCACCGTCAGGGACGCCTATATCAAAGACGTCGATGGCCTGGGTGGCTTCGTTGACACGACATACCGTGCTTTCTTCCCGAGCTCCGAGAGTGACCCGACCACGCGCAACCCACATACAGCACCGAAGCCGAAGTCGAGACCGCCCCCGATTAACCACAATGACAGGCCGTTCGCACGACGTCATCGTGAAGCAGACCGGCGCCGGGACCCGCCTCGGCCGGTCCGCCACGGCATCCCCATCGGCCCCCAACATCGCTGCCCTTATCGCCCACGTCGAGGCTTACGGCTACGTCGTGATCCCCAACGCCTTCACAGCGGCCGAGGCGGACGAAGCCCACGACGAGGTCCTCCGTCTCGCGTCCTCGCCGACCACAGCCGGGCCCGCCGGAGCCTCCGGTGGCCGCAATGCGTTCGAGGGCCACAGGACCCGGCGCGTCTACGCGCTCCTCAACAAGTCGCCTGCCTTCTACAAGTTCCCTCTGCACCCGGCCCTGCTCGCTCTGAACGACCACTTCCTGGACCCCGGATTCCTGCTGAACGCGTTCCACAGCGTGTACATACAGCCGGGGGAGGCGCCGCAGCCGTTGCACCACGATGACGGGTACGTCGGTGTCCCACGACCACATCGCCCTTTCGGAACGGTAGAATTACCCCCCACCTTCCCCCCTTGGCGCATCGCTGAGCACGGCGGTTGACGAAAAGCCAGGGCGTCATGATCGCGCTCAACCGCTTTACTGCCACAAATAGCGCCACCGTCGTGATCCCTGCCTCCCACACCTGGGGTCCGGATACCGACCTCGCACAGGCCCGCCGCGAGAATACGACCCCCGTGGTCATGTCCAAGGGCAGCGCCGTCTTCTTCCTGGGGACCCTGTGGCACGGCGGCAGGGAGAACACGTCGGCCCACGAGAGGAGGGCGCTGACGGTACAGTACTGCCAGCCTTGGATGCGGCCGCCCGAGAACCAGGTCCTCGCCGTCGAGTGGGAGAAGCTGAGCGGGATGCCACGGCGGTTGGTGGATCTGCTGGGGTACGAGGTCGGGGCGCCGTTTGTCGGATACGCTCATGGGCTTCACCCGTGGAAAGTTGTGCAGAGGCGACTGAGGGAGCGGGAGGGAGGTGGAAACCAAAAGTTATAAACGAAAGCTGGGTTCGAGACTAATCTCTCACCCAAGAATGTCCAGGGAGACCACATGGATACACGTCACTCCAACTCGCTCATGAAAATCTGGCTAACTATTGTATTGAGATGACCGTGACAGGCCGTCGTCTTTCTTTACCCCAAAATAAAACCGCCTTCCCCGCAAACAGGATACATGTATCTACAAGAATAGGATTAATAGTCGCACCATACGAAGATTAAATGTGTGTCGCATCTCATCGGATGCCAATAGCTGTCGTTGATGTGACGGCGTGTCCCCAGCGAGTGCGCCATGTCTCATTCCTGCCTCGATGGCCATGTAAATGTCCCAAAATGACTAAACCGCCAACCGATGCCGTCCCTTGGGACCTGGCTCTTTTTTCTTCCCATCATATCCGATCGCGAACCGAAACAATAAGACTAATAAATAATATAATGACCGAGAGAGACTCGGACCATGTGACGAATAAAATTATAGGGTGTAAATGCTGGAGAAAGTTGAGGGTATCATGGCGCTTGCTACAAAATCAAATAACTCAAAACATGACTCGTAACCGTGGGCGCCGGCTGCTGCGCTGCCGTGCCGTCGACGGACGCCGACAACAGTCTACACAAAGTTATAGGCCACAGCCAGCGCTAGTGTCGTTGTCGTGAGAACCCACGAAGGCGCTGACAGCACCGCCGTGCTGACGGCGGCCAGGAGTGTGTCGTTGACGTACTCGGGGCCACATAATGTATTGACTTGCTTGGCGGCGTCCTCGTATGTTGACGCGATGGCGAGTTTGCGGTTCGTAGTGAAGGTCTGGTAGATCTCCATGGTCTGGCGGATACACGAACCGCAGGTGGGGTTCGCGCTGGCGGGCAGAGTCATGTTGAGCGGGAGGTAGTAAAAGTAGACGTTGGAGGGCGTGGTAAGGTTGGTGACGGCGTTGGCGAAGCAGTACATTGACGTGTCAGGGTCGGTAAGACAGGTAGCCTTATACAACATCTCATAAGCCTTCAAGCCGAGGTAGGTCTGCATCACGATAGGGTTGCCGCTCTCGTAGTCGGAGCCGCAGTTGGCGTCCAAAGTGAGGTTGCCGGCCACGCCGTTGAGGAACTCGGTGCAGTAGTCGATGTCGGCGCTGCAGGTGGCGTCCAGCACACGCACGATGCTCACAAGCTGCTTTTCCGCTTCAAAAAAGGAGTTCGAGCCCTGCGCAAGTTAGTCCACGTCGTACATCGCCCAGCGATTTCTACATACTTGAAGCAGCATCGAGAGCGGGTAGCATTTCTTGAAGTTCTGGTTGGTGAGGAGCGAGTTGATGAAGCGGGGGCATGAGGCGCCGTCGTTGCTGGTGAAGTTGAAGGCGAGACTGGTGTCGAAGGGCGAGGGCAGCGGCGATGAAACGTCCACCGTGGCAGCGGGAACCGTCACAGAGACGGTCAGCGTTGTGGGCTGGACGGTTGCCGTTCCGGTGGTGCTCGGCGTAAGTGTGATACCCTCCTCTTCTCGCTTCTTCAGCTCGTTGTACTCGGGCGGGACCATGGTCCAGCGGCCCTTGATCATGGTGGGTGTGCGGTCGTCCATGACGAGGGCATCCATAGGGGGCATGACTGCAGGAGCAGTGATTTGAGCCGGGAGCGCATCTATCAAGGGTGCCGAAGCCAGCACCGTGGAGGCGATGGCAAGGAAAAGAAAGAGCCATAGTGACCGTGGCGGGCGGGTGGATGGTCTAGACATGGTGAGATGTGTGGATGCCATCATGATGAAGCTGCGATGCGCAGGTGTAAGAGACAGAACATAATACTGTCCTCTGGTAGCCGAAAAGTCGAGTGAGATGTCCCTCGACAGGTGCGGGCAGAAGCCGACAGGTTGTTGATTTCTTGGAGGACCCCACGTTGATCGGCGTTGAACTGTCTCTGGGCGATGATCGACCAGATCACGCACGCGATGGTGGATAATAAAATGGCACCAAGGAGAAACAAGACCACCACTCCACTGGCTGCCGGCGGGTTGCGAGGTTGCTGTCTACCAACGAAGGCGACGGATAAACGAATGGACTCGGCCAAGATGACCGGAGAATATGAAGGCTCGTCTCGTGGTCGGCGGGTTCGGGTGGCTGGGATCGAGGGAATGCTTCAAAGCTCTTATGTGTTCGACGCGCTGGGTTGAAAAAGCATCGATTCAGGAAGCCGTACGAGTCGACAGCTGCTTGATAGTCCTTCGCCACGGTCGGTTCGACGGTCGACTTTTGGTGAGTTGACGAAGTAAGCAAGCTGAGGCTCTTGGAAAGCGGCGACGATCCCTGGCTCTCGCTGGGGGGGGGAAGGGAGGTGAAGAGGTTATGAAAGAGCGACAAGTGGACAAGTGGGTGAGATGAGATGATGGGATGGGAGGGTGGGGGAAGCTGGCAGCAATATCGGCTTGGCTTGGCTCGCCCGCGTGGTGAGAGGCGTGGTAGGCCAGCAGGGGAACAGGGGACCAGGGTGGTGAGCAGCTTCGCAGCTTGGTCCGGATCTGACTGGAAGCCCTTGGGAGCGCGAAAAGTAGGAACAAAACAGAGTAAACTGGACAACAGGTCCCGAATAGGGTAGCGTCGAGACCCGTCAGAGGACCGTGAACGGGCTTCTTCAGTGGAGCGCGAGCGATGATGCATGGACTGTGGCCGGGGTGAGTCGTATTTACAACCGACAGCTACATAGACACCGGAGCACCTTCCTTGCTTCCCTTCCTTCCCTTCTTTTGCGCTGTTTCTAGTGTACGTACTACATGGTAGGTACACTTGGACTGGTTCATGGCCGGTGGTTCTGGGTCCAGGTCTAGTGCTGGACCGGCCACCCTTGGCAAGGGACAGGGGAAGAAGGAGGGCGACAGGGGTAAGGCGGCCGGGAAGGGGAAGGAGGAGATTTGGCGTCAAGCCACTCAGCCAGCATGAGCCAATATTTGTACCTGCTACGGTGGTACATTAGGACAAACCCGCCAACTCGCGGCCTAAAGTTACGCCGACTACCCTACCCCCCAACATTCACATGCTTCTGCGATTTCAGCAATTATCACTACTTTAACTTAATAATAACCTCCTTTCTAATTGACTTTATATTATTGTTGGAGCTTAATAACTACCTGAAGATGCCTTGTGGCTAAAGAGTTGACCTTTTGTAGTATTGGCAGTTAATTACTAATGCCTATTGTGATAGTGTCAATTACGCTAATATCATACATATCCTTCTTTAAGAGACTGGCCTTGAGGTATCCCTTTGTACTCTTGAGAGGTAGCTCTAGGCTTAGGGCTTATTAAAGCGTATTTAGGTACAGTAAGTAAACAAATCTAGGATTATTTAGGCTATTAGCTTCTACTTTTATACTTATGGTTATAGCGATTAATTAATTGCTTATGACCTTTAATAGGATGGGTATACTATATTTATAAGGGCTATAAAAGCTTTATGCTTACAGTCTGGCATGAAACAACGATATAGAAATGATGATAAGCGAAATACTGTTATTGAGGTAGTAAAGTCCTTTATAGAGAATAACCTTAAATCTTTAAGTGTTATCAGAGGATTTGGTAAAGGATACCTTTACTAGTATATCTGCTATAAGGCTAGTATTATAGTTAGTAAATATTGTATATATGCTTATTATAAAGAAAGATTTCCTGGTTTTATATATTAATGGTAAATTAGTTATTGGCGGTATTGAATAGACTTTAAAGTACCAGGCCTTAACTTCCTTTAGTTACTTGATAGATATAAGAAGTTAAAGAAGTTTGGCTTTTAGATATACGCCTATATTAATGCTTATTTACGTAAGATTATCTGGGTCTATGTTGGGAGGTTAGTAACAGTAAGAATAACAAGGGGTTATTCATAAATAGTCACAAGGAAAAGTAGAGAAGAATAAGATAGACAGAAAAGGTATATATATATATTAACCGTTAAGGTATCGTTATATCTTCCGTTGTTTATATAAAACTGTCTAAGTAGAGGGGATATCTCTTAGTTATATAGAAAGTCCCTTAGATACGTATAGTATCTAAGTGTATATCTAAGCGTATATCTAAGCGCCGAGAGGTACTTATAGTTTCTCGTATATGTATATATATGCCCGTATATGCCCGTAGATAAGCATAAGCGCCGGCATATGTAATGCTTAGAAGTATATGCGTTTATATGCAGTAGACTGCATTAGTTTGCAGTAGTTTGCATTAGTATAGTTATATATAGTAATATATACTTTTATAGGTTATTTTTCAAGAAGAGTCTAGAAAAAATAACTATATATTTATAGGACTTTTAGTTATAGAGTTATAAAGAGATTTATATATAAGAATTATAAGAATTTTATTTCTTAATTCTTAGTGTAACTACTGTAATTAGTACGCTGAAGTAGTTTCTTTGTATAGTGTTAATAGCTGAGATAAGGCTATATTTAATAAGGTTAGACTATAGGGTAGAGACTCCTTTATAGGTAGGAGCCTAAGGAGTAATGGCAAAAGATGCCTAGATAACAGTTAGCTATACTAACTCAGAGGGTATTGTAACTACCTTTTGCTAAGGGGATAATATCTAGTCATGTTATATATGGGCCTTATTTATTGGCAATATGAGGATTGAGAGCTAGTGGAAGCTTCTTCGTATGGGCTAAAGTGATTGCTGGATTGTAGGTATACCTCTTATATTAGTATCATATTAGTATTTCTAATACGTCTAGTCCTACACTAATAAGCTGATTATAACAAGGCACTTTATACTAAAGGATATTATATGCCTTATTATTGTATATATAATATATAGTAATATGATTTAAGAAGAGATTATTGACTTTGTTAACCTTTGGAATGGTTATAAGATTTGCCTATAGAAGAATTGTCCTTATGTAGTCTATAGTATATTAACTGATTTTTATAAGTATGAACCTAACTGGGGGATTCCCTTGGAGTCGTTAACTATCTAGCTAGTTAAAGATATGTTTATGTTACTTGAGGAGGTTAAGATTAATGAATTTGTGATGAGGGAGATAGAGTAGTGGTGTATAGAGTAATTAGCTGATATAGGTATTTTGCTTAAGAATCTGAAGCTTTGTATAGAAGAGGATTATAAGTGACTTTATATGAAGGTATATTTGTAATTAAAGGTAAAGATAATAGTGTACTTTGAGGCTGGTAACTAGTAGCCTACTCTTATACTTATTCTATAGCTAAAAGGAGGTTAATAGAGATATGTAAGTGATCTAGATGTAATAGTGATAATAACTAATAGACTGATTAAATAATGTATAGCTAGACCTTTTTATAAAGAACTACCTTGCTGACCCTTGATATAATGACCTTATTGGAGAGTAGATACCTGAGGATGAGTTAGCTAGGATAAATACTGTATATGCTGAGATGGTATTACCTGATTAGGCTAAGACTGACGAGTCTGACTAAGGGGTAGTCTAGCGAGTAGCTTTGTGAGTATAATAAGTAGGGCTAGACTTACTGCTACTTTGAATATCTTTACTTTGTTGCTGTTAGTCTTCAAGTATATCTAAGTTATTATTTATATTGCTATTTTTATTGCTAACAATAATCTCTTTACTAACCTTTTTCTCTTTTTGTGTAATTGTCTCTGTAATTATATTAAGACGCTTACGCTTTTGTGGGCGCTAATCTTTATTATTAGAATAGTTAAATAAACTTAACTTTATGTTAGTCTTTTGCTTTTTTTTAATAGGTATAAATAAAGATATTAATAATGATCTCTTAATGTGTGATGTAGTAGATTCTTGTTAGCTATAAATAGAGCTTACTTTTTTGTTAATATTAAAAGAAAAGAAGTAGAGGTGTATAGTAATGCTTTTCTTGCTTTTCTTTACTCTTTATATTCTGAGATCTTGAAAGAGGTCCTTTATAGTCTTACCCTTATAAGGCAAAGGCAGACTAAAGCTACTATTGTAAGTAGTATAATTAGAGTATAATTTAAAGTCCTATTATTGATTAAATAGGAGCTGTGTAGCTGGTGTAATAATTAGGCGGATGTGTTGATTAACTTAGTCTAACTTAGTAGTATTAGTAATATTAGTTTAGATAAATAGAGTAATACTTAGCTTCTTTATTATATATAAGTAATAGGAAATAGAAAATATAATCTAATAATATAAGAGACTTATAGAATAACTTAGTAGTCTTATGGATATAAAGACCCTTATATAATTTGTGGCTGACTATTTAAATATTCACAGATATATTAATGAAACCTATATTGTTAGAATCATTAATTTGCTTCTTCTTCTTGCTTAGTGCTTCTTGTGATATCTTTAACCCTCTCTTAATCCTATCTTTATTACTGCTATTATTCTTAAGGTTAATCGTCTTATCTTGGACTTGAGTATGAGAGATGGCTTGGGTAGGGGTTGTATAGCTTGTATTGCTAAAAGCCTTATTATATAAGTAGGATGGTTGATAAGCAGAGATATTGACTAATTAGGCTGGTACTTTATGAGGTAAATCGTTGCTAGAGGAATCGTTAAGAGTAATTGATATAGGCTATAGCTTGTTACAAAGGGGACAGTGATCCCTTTTGAATTTGCCTTTAAGCTACTTGTGTTTGTAACCCTTGGTGTTTTTTACTGATAGGTAGATTAGCTGGTCTATAAAGTAAGCTATAATAGTAATAAGAAGGGTAAAAAAGAAAGAAATTAAAGTAATAACAAGGAGGTATTAAAGGGGATATTATTCTTTTTTTTATATATCTAAG